AGTGTGTTTAGAAGATTGTTACTTACAACATTCGATACCAAAGAAGGATTAGATGTTGAAGCCAATGGCGAAGATGGTGATGATGAATTTTGCTCATTGAGGATAGTCATGCGCTTTTGAACCGATTCTCTATTAAGGATATTCATGTACAAACACCACTTGAATTTATAGTATCTTAGATTTCGGACTAATAATGTTAATTACATTGTTGATTGTATGAGGATAAGCATACCTATTCTTAGTGAATTTGAAATCGATTGGGAATCCAATCAATATGTAACATTTTTCCTTCATATAACTAACTTTACCACAATAGTTACATATAACTTCGGTCTTAAATCTTCTCTTGAAATTCATTATCGCTGTCATTGTTAAATTGTCAATAAAAGATTGACACACAACTTGCATCTATTTCTGATTTTCTTTTCTTAAAGCAAGATTGTAAACCTCATCTAAGCTAGGAAAAGTTTCATGACTAGGATTTGAGACTTAAGAGCTAAATACGTCTCACTAAGTCTATTGATGAATCTAAAGACGTGATCCTTTTGTTGCATGTTCATAAATTTTTGAAAACACTCATCATTACAACTATCATATGAGCAATGATGAAAAAGCCCGTGATTTCTCAATTCTTTTCGAACACCATTCAATCCTTGCATTATCGGGTTGTGAAAATCTCTTCTTTAAATTCTCCAAAATCTTAAAAGCGGAATCAATGTAGAATAGTAAAAGTAATCGCGAGTGAATAAACTTTAATAACCAAGCAACAATCAAGTTATTGCATCTTGTCCAAGCATTATATAGAAGATTATTAGTCTGTAGGTGGTTTAATCATTCCATCCACAAAACTAGTTTTATTTCTAATTGAAAGAATAAGTAAGGATGATCTACTCCAAATAGCATAGTCGTTAGACGTAAGTTCGGGAGAAACTACCACGGATCCATGATGATCAAAATGATGCAAAAAAATACAACGATGAAGGATTTTCTAATGGTGAGATTACATTTGAATTAGACGAAGAATCCACTATTCTTCCTCCTCGTAGCCATTGATGAACTCTTAGTAAGATTTCAACAAAACAAAAACAACAAAGTAGAAAGATTTTTCCAAGAATTGATGAAATGAAGCTAGTCAAGAAGAAGAAGATAATCTTTGTTGAAGCTTAAAAGAACTTTTTAGAGGGAGGGGGAAGTAAATTTGAATTCTACTTCTTTTATTAATTATCAATAAATGCTTACGCATGCTATTTATATATACATAGCAGTTAATTTGTCTAATTGTGACAAACTAGCCAATCTTAACTGAAAAGCTAATAAACTATTTTCAGTTTCAACTAACTACAACTAACTTAAATAACTAATTATGTTCTTTCGTTGTACAAGGATTTTTTTATAAAAAAGATTAAGTCCAAAAATTTTCAGATTAAGGTTTTTGTAAGATAATTTTATAGATCACTAATCATAAAAGCTAATGCTATTTTAATTTACGCAAATCTTGATTCCGAATAGGATACATAATTATTCTCACCCTTTTCACCGTAGGAAGTCTATTTTGAATACAAATTTCAGTTAATTCATCATTTTTCATTATTAAACGGACCCATAGATTTTTTTTTAATATCAGAGATAGTAGCTGAATGGATTCCAAGATATGACTGCACAACCATATATACAGAGAAAAGTAAGTTATGTGGTAATCATTTACTTTTGTTGTTGAAACAATTAGTTATACAGTAGGAATATCTTTGAAATCTTGGAAAAAAATATTTCATTAATTCCCTTTTTCTCTTAAAGCAGCATAAGTTTTATTGGAATTAGAACAGTTGGAAAAATATAAAAAAAGTGTTTGATGAGAAAGAAAACTTCTATGGTTTATGACTAGTTTCAGTTCTTGTACTTTTACTTTAAAAAACTCATAAAAAAAACTCAATATGGTTTCGCTTCAGCATAAGAGATTTCTAATCCTTAAGTAAAAATTTTTAGTTTTGAATTTTCATGTATAGAAGGAATTTTTAAGATAACCGTATCTATTTTATAGATATAATCGAATAATAGGTGATTAGTTTGGGTTTTTATATTAGAATATTTTTGAGATTAAAAAACTCATAAAAAATGTTTGATGTAAAGATGTTTTGAACTTCAAAAAATTAGAAGCCACAAAAATGACTTTTTTTTTAGTTTTTAAGTATTATTTGACACAAAAATATTTTAAAATCCAAGATTATCGAACCCCTTTACAGTCACATTCATAACTACAATCATTACAGATAACAGTCTTGGCCACGACAACAAAATCAACACCCGCTTGACACGGAAATAATGTGGCATCCACGGCATTTGTAAAACTTGTCAAGTAGGGCCCCTAGCTCCCATATAGATTCCTTCATCCTCATCCCTTATCGCAATCCCGGCGGAGCTCAACCCATTCACGTTTTTTTCTTTTTTTCATTATACAGAATATTGACTCTGGGCGGATGGAGTCCACGCGAATGATGATCAGATCTGTATTCTTTTTTTCTCTCTCTCTCTCTCTTTGTTTCAGGGCAGATCCACTAACTACTGATCCATGTGATTGATCACAGTACGTCACGATTCGAATAAATGGACCCCCTGCATTGGATTTTTCAAACTTTATTTCTCTTTTTGTAATCTAGATTGCAAGTCCGTTTCTCTTCTCAATTCTTTTTGCTACCATATGATACTGACAGAAGATATCATATATATACATGCATGTTGTTCTTTTAAAAGTGAAGTGAGAGGATGATGCTATGATGCATACCCAGTGCATTGAAATAATATTTTAGAGAAAAATGAGTTAGATATCCACAATATGCTACAACCGTACAATCATTATATACATAAGATTAATGATTTGTATGATATAGTACGAGATAAAAATCTTATTTTTCATAATTAATGTAAATCAAATTTAGTCGTCGAGTAAAATCGTTTGATTTATATATATTTACTAACAAAATAGTCAATAATATTAACATAAAAGATTGTATTTGAATAATTGAAAAATTGTTTCAAAACATTATTTTAATTATTTTGTTTAAAAAATATTGATTTTAACACGTAAAAAAAATAAATAACAAATAATTAGCCTTATGTGTGAAGATACATAATTAATTTTTAACAAAAATAATGATATATTTTAATTATTAATTTTAGAATATAAAAAAAGAATAAATAACAAATAATTAGTGTTATTTATGCGGATACATAATTAATTTTTAATCTATATTATGATCACACTTAGTAGATTCAGAATATATAGTATAAATATTTTTTTCAACAAAAAAAAACCCATATAAGTTGTATAAAGTCAATAAATTTAAATAAAAACTATTACAAAATTGGTTCTCATAAATTTTACTTCTTAATTTATGATGAAAGAGATTCTTGATTTGCAAATTAAATTATAAATTAGTTCTTCTCATTTTGTAAAAAGAATGAATTAATTCTTTTGGTTTAATAAATAAATTATTTAATTTTTAAAAGATGTTTTGGCCTTTTTGCTATTTCAATGTTTTTATTTTTTCTTTTAAGAAATAGAGAAAGAATAAAAAACATATGAAAAAAATATTTCATAAAATAAAAAAATAAATTATCGATGGTCAACATTGATTAAAAAAATAAAATAATTTATTTTTTAAACCAAAAGAAGGAAATTTTTTTTAATTTGATGAGAATTTTTATAATAAACAACAAATTTAAGAGATTAATTTTAATCAATAAAAAAATATAACTTAATACATGTGTTTGTTTTAAAATTTAAAAATATAAGAGGCCAAAAATATCTTTTAAAAATATGAGGAATAAAAAGTATATTTTAAAAAAATATGAGATAAAAATGGACTTAGTTAATAACATGAGATGTCAAAATATTTTTAAAAATATGAGGATTTAAAAATATATTTTGAAAATATAAGAGACCAAAAAAAATGAAGTGTAAAATTTAAAAATGAATATCAAAAAATATAAAAAATTACGAAAATACTATTATAAAGAATTATAAAATTGCTATTAATAAATAGTGAACTGAGGCAAATAAACAGTAATTTACTGTTCATTTGTCTCAGTTGTTTTAGTCTTTTTTTTCAGGTAATATCGCAGTTAAACAAGACAATGATTCACCGTATGAACTTCTTATTTAATGAGTATTCATGCTGTCGTGGGTAAATGTTTTGGGTGGTCCTCTAAGTTTTGATTTTAATTATTTTAACCCTTCAGTAAAATGTTGTGCGCGCCAACTCTTATACTTCCAGTTGACGATCGTTTTTTTCCATGCTTAAAATTATTGCCATTACATGTATGGCTGTGCTCTTTTGCCACTTGCGACACGTACACATATAAGTGAATTGAGGGACCTGAACGCCACAAATGGCCAATGGGAGATGTAAATTGTAAGTGCCAGGGTTTAAATTTTTATTGCAAGGACCACGCGGGTAATTTATGCTGCTGTTTAATTAATTAATTAATTAATTTTTTTCTGAGAAGGTATGGTTCTGTCGTTGAAACAGTGAAAGCAAATACATTATGATACGTAAAAATTGGTGATACCAAGACACGTTAGTAATGCTTTTTACTTTATTTTAATGCAAAATTTGAAGGGATAAAAAAAAGACAAAAGACAAAAGGCAGAAGAACAAACTAGGGAACATCTCAGCAGGTTGGCTGCAAGTTGCAATACATGTAGCTGTCCGAAATCGTTGCAATCTCAGGGAGGCTGATTCGGGACTACCGATCTGGACAGGTTGTATTAATTGCACAACTTTCAATATCAAAATGTTCAAAAGATATCTGACTTTTAACTTTTAAATCTGTGGTTCCCATTGGCAAGAGGGTCATACACTCATACTCTATGGACCCAAGTCATGCATGCTCAAGTTCCATACCTTGATGGATTTTGTTTGGTCCTGTCTTCATCTCCTTTATCTGCTACGACTTTTTGTTAGCACTTGATTATAACTAAGAACAACCAAGTTGTTGGATTCTTAGTCGAAAAATCTGGTACCGATTCCAATGTCTGTTTCCCGACGTTTTTGTTGAACATTTGTTAGTTGTTTCTGATAAGTGCTAACTGTCTCAATTGGCATAAGACGATCATCATGCCCCATGAATTTAGTCAATTTGAATTTCGGCTTCCTTATCCACCAGTCCCTTACAGACCTTTCCCAAGAAAGATAGGGAGGAATAGACAGGCCTGACTTTTTAATCTAAAAAACTGAAGAGAAAAGTGAGTCAAATTATTTTAATTACTGCATTATTAAAAAAAATTATTACAATCACGTTATTCAATTTAGAGCAATTTGCCTAATTGCAATGCGCAGTTATTTTTCTTTTTTGCTTTGTAATTTGCTTTCTGAATCGCTCACTTACTAAACAAGCGAAAATCTCACTATCATATATATACAGGGCAAACTTCTACAAGAACATGCCACATGACCAAGAGGTCCAAGAGGGTTTCTCATGCCTTTTGGCTATTAGTTTAGCAGTCAACACTAAATTAATGAAGAAGGAAATTAGGTTAATCTGAAAGAAGAATTAAATTTTTTGTCGGACTAAATTGCGACAAACATAAGCATTACCAACAGTCAGCAAACACCGTAGTGCAGCTCGAACCATGTGTGTGGCACAGAAATTCTGTGGTTTAGCTCCATGCAAATTAGAATTTTCGAATGAAGGTCTAGACGAAATTAAAGACCTTTTTGAAAATAATGTAGTAACAGAAAGCCACAGATGAAAAATTGGTGAATCTAGAAAGTTCTCCTGTGCTTACGATTTGCAGGATCGTCACAAAAATGGCAATAGATGAAGCAGAAGGTAGTGTATGGTTGGTTTGGAAGTCCGCAAACAGCAGAGGTTGGACCTAATTGTCCATCATATTGGAAATTTTTGGTCGGTCATATTAAAATGAAATGCGAATAATACAGAAGAAATGAAAGACCTTTCATCATCGACACACAAACTGTGTAGTCCTAATCCTGTTTGTTATTATTGGTCACTGACAGAGACTATTCAGCACCATACCTTTCTTGACTCTCACCTCTGTTCTCAAATTATTAATTCCTCATTCTTCTTCGTGAAATTTAACTGAGAGTAACACAATAAACAGTTGACATGGGCACATGGTATGGCATTTAGAAGCCAAGAATTGTTCCTTTGTCTGAAGAAGAAAGCTGGTACCATGATCCTTTCTTTGACTGAAATGATTTTTTTCTTTTTTAATGAATTTTCCTGAAATGATCATACTTCTTACATTTGACACATTAAGCTAATACATCCTGATATTACTTCAATCCGAAATAACAAATCCACTAGCTTAATCAGACTTGTAATAAAACTAGATCCCGTTAAATCCAACCATACAGCCCTTTTCAAAATTAGATTCATTGTCGACTCAAATATTGTCCAAGATTGAAAACATTATGCTCCAAAAGGAAACACTATCTGCTAAAAATACTCAGCACTTTAGAAGGCTTAACTGAACAAGCGTCTCCGATGAGATTTTAAGATATGAGAAGTCTTGCGTATGTTTCAGAATCCAGATACTGTGGCTGTAAATACTCTAGAGATGAGCTATTGATGGAAACACGTTCTGGCCCGGTGCAATCAATTAGAAGCAATGTCTTCAGACGCTTGGAAAAACATCAGACTAAATCTCTAAGAAACATGTACTCTAGATTTACATATTCTAACTTTAAGTACTCATATCTAAACGAGAACAGAGCGACGAGGGAAACTTCACAATGCTTTAGTTCGAGTTAAGCATGAAGTATTTCAAGGTTTCATATTTGAAGACAGAAACAAGTAATTTAGAACTATTTCCTGACATCTATTGTAAGAGTTTCAACGTCAGTAGCAACCATTTGCCGATGTAATGCTCTTCATCGAGAAGGTTTCCTTCAAATGGTCAATTAAGATGATAGCATACAGTCTTGATTCCATCAGTGTGACAAAGATCCATCAATGTATGGAAAAACTTGGTATCTCAGGTTCGACCATTCCAATCAATTTGCTCAAGTCGGTTAAGAAATAGTGAAGCACAGCTTTCTACATCTTTTGGACCCCAATGTTAACGGAACAAGCTCTTCAATGGAAAGGAACCAAAATGACAAAAGTTTTTACATTTTTCTCGAAGGCGTCGACTACAAGGAGATGATACCAGGAAAATAGAGAATCGGTGGCTTCAAGGGAAGCGCATTTTGAACCATCCGAGATTATTTGCACTTACCATTACTAAAATGTACCGAATGGATTGGTCATTGAGCAGCTGGGTTTACCGTGTTCCCCAACTGTCTTAATGGCCTTGTTCCAAAAATTCAACCCAATGCATAAATGAATGAAGGGCCTAACGAATAACAGCAAACACACCCTGTGTTCTTAAAGTAACTGAAATTGTCACAATCTCAGGGCGAAAAGTTATTTGGGCTTTCGGCCTTGTGCAAAAACCAAGAGTAAATTTCAGAGCCTTTTTGAAAATCCACCTCTAAAATATGCAACTTTAGCGCTGAGGCCCTATTCAATGCTAAATAGCGCCCAATTAAGCTTGACAGAGATATCAAACCCAATATGGCCCAGAAACCTGCCACAAACTGCCTTCTTCTTCTTTTTTTATCCCTTTCAATGAAGAAAGTTTCATTCCCGACAAAGCTAAATCCCAATCCACGTACAAAAGGGCCTTCAAAGCTGAAGGAGGGTTGTTAACCCAATCTACACGGCCTCCAACGCTTTCAACTTAACAGTACCCACAATGGTTTTTTTTTTTTTCACAAGTATTAGCTATTTTTTGTTTTGATTTTTTTAATCAATAGTCTTTTTTCTTTTAAATTCAAATTCTGTAAGGATGATGGGAATGGGTCTTTAAGAAAAACTTTTAACCATGGTCTAAAATTTTTTCAATAGTTGTACAGTTCTAATCAAATCATTCCATTCATACACGTGGGGGAAAAAAACAGGTGATGGGGAGTGCTGGAACCGATGTTGATGGCTAGTTCTCACTTCTCAGCTTTGAACCCATCTCAAGGGCAAGGCTGTACTGATAGCATAATTGATTCTCAAGTTTCATACCTATCACATAACCATTTCTTGACGACAGAAAAATGTAGAAATTCCTCATACTCGTCTCCAAAATTCTATTCGATGAAGCTTAAAATATTAATAAGCTCTCCTACCCAGCTAGCACTTTCAAAAGATAAAATCAAGACTAATTTCAATGCTAAATGGATAAATTTTTTATTTATTCATTTAAAAATCAATCTCTAAACTTTTAATTTTAGATTTGATATTTTTTAACTTTATTTTTAATAAAATTTATTTCATTCTATTATTTTCAACGATTACTCTCTCTCTAAAAAATTCAATTCTTAATATTTTGAGCTAACATTTTGCACATATGTTAGAAAAAAAATAATTTATTTTAATTTTTTTAGAATTTGTCAAGGTCAAAGAGTATATATTTTTTTATTTTTTGAACATAAGAAATATAAAAAAAATTAAAAGAAATATATAATCCGTAATGATCCTAAATTTTTTAGACAGTTTCAAATAAATTTTATTTTCATTATAAAGCTATTTGCATGATCATTAATTTTTTTATAAAAAAACATATTAAATCTCAAACAAAAGAAAAAAAATTAGAAGAGATTAAACCCAAAATTAGAATTTTAATGATTAATTTGTAAATAGACTAAAGTTGTAAAAGGTTTGATCCATTTAGCATAACTTCAATTGATGGATAGGTTACCTGCAAGCATAGAATACAAGCCGCCATCATTTTATTTCTCTTTCCTTGGAAAAACTACTAAACAAAAGAAGAAGCAAGGGCAAAATTACTAATAAACTAAAAGAGGTGGAGTTTTTGACCAACGATAATACTGTTCATCCTATCATAATATACTGTTCACTCATGTTTTTTTTTTTTTGGTCATTCAAATTTTAATCTCCAATATATGTACTACATGCCTTTTCTTTTCTTTTTTCTTTTGCTTTTTTTTTTCATCAATTTATATTTTTTATTTATTTAATTAGGTGTTAAAATTTTTTAAAATTAACCATCACTTTTTCTACACAAACCGAAGATTATATATATATATATATATATATATATATATATATATATATATATATATATATATATATATATATATTATCTTTTTTAAATTAATATTTACTTCATCTTATATTACTTTTATTATTTAAATTTCATTCTTTAAATTTATTTTTTTAATGAAAATTCCGAGCCAATTAATATTTTTATATATAATTTTATTTATTGATAAATATAATTTATTTTTCTCTATGTTTGAATTTTAGAATAAAATCTTAAAACATGATTGTTTTTTCTTTTTTAAAAAATAAATTGATACAATATATATCATTAATTCTTATAATTTTTAAAAATTTTATGAAAACACAAAAAATAGTAATAATTAAATAAAAAATTAATGAAAAATTATAAAATTTTGAAATGATTTTGTTCTATCTACCTACGACGTTGCGTGGATAATTTCAAAAATTAATCTTCTCATCAGCATTAAATAAATTATTTTTTCATTTGTTATTTTTTATAAAAATCTATCCATTAATTATAATTTTATTTTTATAATACAATATTATTAAAAATATATTTTTAAATTTTTTAATTCTCGATTAATATTTTAGTTAAAATCAATTCATAAAGAATAATGATTTATTTTTTTTAAAGAAAAATTTTATAAAAAAACATTAGAAAAAAATCAATTGAATAAAAATTATGATTAAAAATTTTTTAAATTTTTAAATGATTTTGTTCTATTAGACCCGCAAGATAGCGCGGACAACTAACTAGTAACTAACCATAATTCATATCTCAATGGACATTCATTAATTGGATTCCTAAATTATTTGCTATTCTCAACTATACCCTTTCCTCTATATCCATTAATAAGTTATATCAAAATTTTAGATTTATGTTTTCAAAATTTCAAAGATTTTAAAGAAATCTAATAGTTTTTTCATTCAAAATCTGTTACAATGTAAAATGAAATTGTATAATTGAAAATAATTAATGTTTTAAATATATAATGTGTATATGCTTGATTTTTCTTTAAAAATAATTAAGTAATTTAGTTAATTTTATCACATGTTAATCTATATTTTTTTATATGGATTTAAAAGACATAATAATGGATCCAATTAAGAATGAGTTTTGCTCAATACAAGATTTCGAATAACGTAAAGATGAACATAAATATTTTAACATGACTAATATCCATATTTTATTTTTTATGATGTATCAAGGAGATATAGCTTAGTGGGATAGGATCAACCGATCAAGGTCCGCTAAAAAAATATTTAATTATTACTTTTTTTTTTGTTTTTGCTAAAAATTTAAAATAGTGTAGCTCAAAAAAATTTATTTTTTCAATTCAAATATGACCGTTCAAAATGTGGATCACATTGCAAGATAACTTTCGAAGGTCATTCTTATTTCATTATGGATACCAATCTCACGTTATACTGAGCTGATCAACTTTTTGGTTTTTGGCAAAAAAAAAAAAAAAAAAAAAAAAAAAAAAAATTCTAAACTCTCTTTCTCTATCTCTCGCAATTCTCTTCCATCCACGGTAAACATTTGTTTCTACTTCTATTCACTCGTTTACCTAGCCACCCAATTTATCCATGTTTTTATTTTGACTCACTCGTCCAGCTACTCAATTTACACTTTAATAGCACTGCATGTTTTTTTTCTTATATACCTATTACGTCTTACTACTAGTTGCATTAATTTTATATAGTTGTTTCACTAGTATTTCTACAAATCATACTACTAAATCTTTACATTTCAATTGATTTATCGACTAATCCTTTGATCACTTTTCAAAAACAACCTTCATATAAAATTTTAAAAATATAATTTACAATATATAGGTTATAATTTAGAGACTAATTTGTCGTTTGTCCAAAAAGAAATTAAAGTAAATGAAGTGCTGCTGCAAGTCTGGAGCTGAAATTGAAATTAACAGCGAAAGGACTTGATTTTCGCAAGTGTGGGTGGATAGTTTGTGCCTTGCCCACACAATGGGATTTCCACGGTTCGACTATAATAATTAAACTTGTTGGTCAGTTAGGGTTTTGGAAGCCAGCTTCAATGATTAATTCAAATGGAAGCTGACAATTTAAGTTGGTTTAAGATCAAAGCTCCCAATTGTGCTTGTCAAATTATGTGAACAGAGAGGGAGAAGCAAACATGGGTGGCAGTGAAAGTGCAAGAAGAGCAGTGGATATGCGGGGATCAGTTGCATTTGGGTTCCAAGAATCCCACATCGAAACCAAAGGAAACGACCTGTCAGCAAATACTCTATATAAAGCCAAGCAAACGAATATTGCAAACCACGCAGCCGCGCGGTGAGCACAGAGCGAACTATTCTTTCGCCTTTTACTAAAGAATACCGTGTGCCCGCCGCAAATAGCGGCATACGCAAATTTTTGGAGGGGTCTGCTCCTTGCGAGTGGCCCCACAATTATATTCTAAGCTTGTGATGTTGCTGAGGGAGTAGCGGAAAGAGTTTTGATAGGCCAAAGCGTTCATTATGTTGATCTAGGGTTATTCATCTTTCTAGATATCTATATAATTACAAGTAAGTTTAGCCGTCCCGAATTAACAAGGTTTGCAACTTATAAGTAACATGTTAATATATACAAGACGATATTTCTGCCCAAAATGCTTTGACGCTGGTGATTTTACTCATGTTTTTCCCCGAGACTGCTAGCAGAGAAGGTTGTGGACTTCCCAGTGATCTGGTTAGCTGGAAGGCAAGAGCTCCTAGCATGCGTATCCAGCCAGCCACTTTGTTATGCAGAAATTATAGGGCATTCTCGCAGCATTAACAAAGAAACTAAAACTAAATGTGTTTCACCGTAGCTAAACACTTTTTTTTTTTTTTTTGAAAATTTTGATTGTTTTGGCTGCCGTTATGTGATCTTATCTTTATTTTGTTTTTACAATTTTGTTATTTGTGATTTTTTTTTGTCTCTACATATTACAATATTTTCTTTACTTTTTCATTTTGGTTCTTATATTATATTTTTATTTTGGTCCTTTAAATTTTAAAATCATTCTTATTATGTTTTTTTTATAGTTACATTTTAATTTTTCTTAAAATGTTTTATTAAATTATTGAAAATAGCCTCTTTGATTGATTTTAATACATTATTGTAGTTAAGTAATAATTTTATTTATCTAAATATTTTTTTCCTTGCGAATTTGTATAATAATTTACTCCAATAAAAGGCATTTAGTCTAATATGCAAAAAAAATAAAAATAAAATTATTGAAGTAAATTCCTTTAATTGCAATCATGACGACATGGAATGCATGTTCGCGAAGACTACTATATCAACAATGAGAGCTATTCCACAATCGACTTGAGAAGATGAATTAACTACTTTAAACACAACCAAGAAGTCTTTCCACAACACTCTGCTACCCAACCCAATTTAACTGCAAATCTGGTCACTGCAGCTCGGACCTGCACTTGAATTTGCAAGTCCTACCGTCCAAAACCTGTCCCTGGTGATTATTACCCATAAATCGAAAAGCCAGACTGGGACCTTAGACTATCAAATGAATCTACCAGTTGTTGTGTTAGGAACAGGGGGCTGTGAATTTCAAGTTGCTGTACAGGTCTGTTGGATATAAGTCTTCACGGACTAAATAATTTTCCTGCTGACATTTCCACAATTTTACAATATGATGCCATCATGATATTTATTTTTTCGCCCATTAGAGCATTAAACACTGTTATTGTGCAGATATGTGCAAAGATACAACAGCATGCAACGACATTGATGTAATGGAGGACTTGGATTGGAAAGCACCCTGACCTAAGACTGCTGTTTTTTATACTTCCAAGAGTATACTTGATATTTACATTAGTAATTAGTAAGTTGTAGATTTCTTGAACTGTTAGAATTTTTCAAGTTGATTAATTAACCTTTACCTCCAGGACTATATATAGTAAAAAGAGCATTCAAAGGGATAATCAAAACATCCTCCCTCAATAAGAAGAATTTGGATAAGAAACGCAATGAGTGCATAGCAACTCTTACCAATTAGTGCATTCTTTCAAAAGAAAAACAGAGAGAAAAAGAAGGGTTTAAGGGGACCTGTTGAAAGTGCAGAAAGAAGTTCCATGCGATCTCAAAACTCTGCAATTGTAGTTCAAACCCTTCAAAAGAATACTAGGACTCTAGGGTGGCATTTTTCGGCAGAAACGCATTTGTTTGATAGGCAGAATTCCTGATCCCGATCAGGACTCATTCCTAGATAAAAATCCAGAAAAGAACAAAGAGTTGTATGGGAGTCGTACAAACATCCTTTCGATTTTTATTTTTCAAGTCTTCTGAGTACTTGAAGTTTTGCATCATGAACTGTACTAACTTTTATTTTCATACATAAGCCCCCAACGGGCCTTTAACCATCAAACAAAGCCCAGCAAGTGAAACCAAAGACGTTAGAAATCATGGTCGTAGAAGCTCTAGAACACAACACCCCTCTCTTTTCGCTTCTGAGACCTCTATCAGTCTTCATGGTCCTGTGAGATCATTTCAATGCTCGGTTTCTGTTTCCAAAAGCTTGAATTCGATCCCCCTCCAAGTTTGCAAAGAAACAAGGATGAACATACTGACCATATGAACTAATCCTCCATCTCTTCCCTTTCCCTGGGTACAGCTCCAAATTGTTTAACTAAAATGTCCACGACCAAAGGCACCAAGTCTTTGCATGGAACACTTTTCTTATAAGGCTCTCCCAAATGCGAGTCACTCCCAACTCTTCCTCCAACATACACATCTGCTCCTTCACAAGGTTGCCCATTTTCATCTCTTGCCTTGCAACCCATGAACCCAATATCAGCAACTTGTACCTGCCCACAGGTATTAGGACAGCCTGTCCAGTGCATTCTCACTGGTCGAGTCACTGACACTAACCTCTGCACCTCCTCGGTTACCTTCAAGGCCCTAGCCTTTGTTTCAATTATTGCTTGCCCGCAAAACTGGTTGCCAGTGCATGCTACTAACCCTTTCATGAGAAGAGGTGGCTCAGGTGAGAACCTGTCTGTCAATAGAGGTTCTTTAAGTAAGGCTTCAATCTTTGAGTTCTCGATGTTGGGAATTATGATGTTCTGCTCCACAGTGAGTCTGAGTTCGCTAGAGCCATAAATGTCGGCTAAACGAGCTAGCCCATCCATGTCATCCGCTTGGACACGACCGACAGGAATGTGAATACCTACATAGCTAAAACCTCCCTGCTTCTGTGGATGGACACCGAAATAATCCCTCCTCACCCATTGCTTTTGAATCAAATCTTCAGAAGATTCTCTAGCTAGCTCTTGATGTGGCATTCTTTTCACGACTTCTGACCTGAATCCTTCAATGCCCTGCATTTATACATAATTCGCAATTTGATCAGGGAAATATTACGATTAAGATGATGAATTCCAAAAAGGGAGCGAATAATGTGTTAAGAGATGAATGATTACTCACAAGTTCGTCAATCAACCACATCATTCTTGTCTTTTGTCTGTTCCCTCTGAAGCCAAGATCTCTGTAGGCCTCCAATACTGCTTTGCACACTGGGAGCACATCATCGGCTGAGACCCAGGCATCGAGAGGAACTGCCTCAGCACATCGCTTGGGACTAAAGAACCCACCCACCAGCAAATTGAATCCAAATCGCCCGTTCTTCATAGCAGGCATGTAAGCAAGGTCATTGATGTGAGGATGCTCGTAAAGATCATGAGAACCCACAACACATACATTCCACTTCCTTGGCCTACAAAGATGGAGAAAGGTTAAGGTCATTGAAAACCACTATGTTGCACTACGATTGTAGTTTTAGGACTTGAATACTTAATTTCAAACTATCTGACAAATATCCATCGAGGGGTCAGGCACAAAACATTACTACCATTTAGAGAGCACATGTGCTGCAGCTACTATTTCTTCACTAATTGTATTATAATATTATCCAATAATTGAAACTTAGCATCAAAACTAATGTTGGTTTGATAATTAGAAAGCTAGAGAATAATGTGATAATTTCCTCCAAATCATTGGAGATTCAAACAATACCCCCTCTTTTTTTCCTGATTTCTAGCTTCTCACCAAAGCCACTACAAGTCATGTAAATGGATACGACAAATTTCAATTCAATATGCAATTCACTCATCATTTGAAGCTCAAATACTAAAAGAAGTGAGCAAACTGAAGAAACTTACAAGTTAGTGAAAGCAGGATTTCCACGAGAATTAGCAGTGATAAACTGGGACAGCAAGTTGGTATAAGGTCTGGTATCAACAATCTCATCTCGATCAATTCCTGCAAGAGGATTTCCGACAGGGTTTCTCACATTGTCCATGCCACTCTGCAGACTTGTCAAGCCAACTTCAGCAAGACCCTTCAGTATTTCTGGCACATCAGGCAATACCACGCCACGGATTTGCCAGTTTTGTCTAGTAGTCACATCTGCACATCCATCTTTCCCATACTTCCTTATCACACTTGCCAAGTATCTTGTTTGTGCACTTGTTGTCACCCCATTTGGTAGCTTTAGTCTCATCATAAATCTACCATCTGATCATCAAACATCAAAAAGAATTTACAACAAAAGAACACATCTTAATTCATTAACGTATATATATTATAACTTAGTAAGCTCAAACTTACATTGATGCTTTCTTCTGTGAAAGAGACCAAGCCACTTGAGTCTAACATCAATATCATCTTTAGTGCTCTTCTCTTTGTCAATTTCTTCCATTGACAACTTAGCAAGATCCTCAATCCCTTTTTCCATGAAAATCTTCATTGGCTCTCTCTCTATCTTCACTTTCTCTTGAGGATTAATACCTTGTCTAAACTTCTCTTTCAACACATAGTATCCATCTTTCTCCTCCACTCTCGGTTCCAACCTCCCTGCATCTACCTCTGTCTCCAAAGGCTGCGCCACAGTGGGGGGTCCAGCAAAGAGTCTTGATCTTGGTCTTGCAGAGGAGCTTGGAACAGTGTGTGACAAAGGTGGTGTAAGAAAACGAACTGAAAGTGATGACATGATGATGGTAGATAGTTTATAGAGGAGTGTGGATTTTTGTTAGAGTTGTAGAGAGAAGGAATGGCGGTGAGGAGGGGGAGGAGGAGGAAAGAGTGCATTTTGTAGATGATGTATGGGGCCTTAGGAGGAGAGGAGAGGGTGGTTCTTTTTTTTAGTAGGGGACTTTTGGGAGGTGTCAAGGGTCATCTAATCTGTTTGCTTGGTGAAGGCGGTAGCTGGAGAAGATGACAGTTGATTTGGTTTTCGCGTTATTTAGTAGTTGTTCTTTATTTATTTCCTATCACTATTTATTACTCTCTCTGTACTGAAAATATGGCACTTTTTTATTTTTATTATATTTTATTAAATCATTAGGTAAATTTTTTATTTATATTTTTTAAAATATTATATTTTAAAAATTATTAGTTATTAAATTTATCATCATATCATATGAAATTAATATTAATTTTAAAAAAATCTAAAATTGAAATGTTATCGAAAGAAAAATCATCAAGCTAATTAAAAATTAAATTTAAAATGATTATGAAATAACATATTAATAAAAATATTTTATTTTTAAAACTTTGACATATGCTATAAAAGTCATACAAAAATTAATATTCTTTATGAAAAAAAATTCTTTTGAAATTTTTATATTAAATATATTTACATGTATAAGAAAAATATATAAAAAATTGATTTTTTTATTATTTAGAAATATCTTTAAAAATATATTATTTAAAATTTTGATGAAATAAATATTTTAAAACTGATGTATATAAAAGAAAAAATAACAATCTCTTCGAGAGAATATTTTAGTTTTAGTTTTCTAATATTAGGATCATGTCGAGATGCTTACATGACCATGTGATTGGGCATATCTGACGGTGGAGAATTTAGGAGTCAAAACTAGTAAAATTTACATGCCTTCTTTCGTTTTCAATCGGGGAGCCAAGCCTCGAAGAAGTTTGAAGTTTGAACACATCAATTATCACTTCGTTTAAAAGCATTGTCTAATGCCTTAAAACTCTCTTATGTCATTCCTCTATCCTGTTTTCTCCGTTTTAATAGTGACATATTATTTTTCCTTTTTTTTTCCTTGTCACTTTAAAATTAAGTCATTCATTCCTATCTAAATTGAAGGTAGATTTTAATTTGCTTTTCTGAAGATCACGAGGTATCTCAAATTCTCAATTTCCATCACAAATGTTTATTTTGTGTTAATCAGATCTGTTGCATATTCTCACTGCTCAAGAATACCATCATTTCCTATAATTATTCAAAGGAAAGAAAATCTAGACATGAATATTAGAACGATGAGAGTAGCCTGCTTGTTTTGTTTGACATTTTTGCTGGGGCAACAGACCATGAAAAATGAGACAGTAGAACAGAATGTTGCCCTGATCTGTTTTTGGTTCAAGGTTTCAACAAGCACCGCAACGAAGGGACCCTGACCTCAAGAGTGAGGTGAAATTAGGAGCTTAACTTTCGAAAAGAGCCAAGGGACACAAGCTCCACTCGCCGCCACAAAATATAAGAGCAAAACATGTGGCCTTCCGAGACCTTTCGCTCACTGGTTTTGACCAAGCACCAAACTACTAATTCATGTGGCAATGAAGAATTGTCCCATCTGTCTTTTCCTTTCTTTCTTTCTTTTTTATTTTATTTATTTTTTTTATTTTCCACATATTCATATGGACTGTAGACGTCCATGGGTTTTTGCAATCATACCCATATTTTTTAATCCATTTTTATAATACAGATTTCAATTCAGTTCGACGCCAGTGGTAAAGAGTAGCCGCGTCCACCCACCTCTGATGTGGTTGGTATTATATTATACTCTCGACAAAGCTATATGGGCAATAAAAAAAGTGTTCCCTTGGCCTTTAGAGCTCGGATAGCTCTATGGTCGAGCCCTTTTTAATGGTGATTACAGCCTATGTTATACAACTTGATGTCATTCTCCCACAAAAAAAAAAAAAAAACCGACAACTTGGATGAAATCTTTCACAAAGTGTTGGTATATATGCTGGAAAACAACCAAAGAACTCATAGGTTATCGTATAATTAAAACAGTAATTAAATATATCGGATATTGATTCAAATTCGACCCGAATCCAATTTAATTAAATAAATCTAGTTATTTTTTTAATCTAAATTCAATTATAATTCAAATTTATCAATTTGTTAATTAAATAGATCAAATCTAGATATATCTTGATCTGATTTAATAATATTATTATAATAATAAATAATATTTTAAAAATTAAATATGAAAAAATTATAAAATTAAAATTAAATTGAAATTTAGGATTTATTTATTATAAAATTCAAATAATGCATATCATTATTTTTTTTCAATAATTGGTCTTATTATATTTTTCACGATCGTATTTGTACTATATAAAAAAAAAACGAAAAGTAAGAAAAAGAAGGAAAAAAACTAGAAGAAAAAACCAATTGATTGGAATCAGGAAAAAATTGAAGAGAATAAAAAAAGAAGGCTGATGAAAAAAAAATCAAGGCAATTTGGAAAAGATTAGTGCAATTGGAATTTTTTTCCTTAAATAAAATTTTAAAAAAGGAAATTTACTAATTTGATATAATCTGAGTATTTTGGACATAACTTCATGTACATAGGTCCCATTCATGCGATTTTATGGAAAATTAAAACCAAGAGATAAGGCTATAATTTATATATTTTAAACTTGGCCCATATCAACTTGCATCCTAGAAAAAGATTCAGTATATGATTTAGAAGTAAAAATGATTATTGTGTATCTTTACTTCCAAATATTGTGGAGGCAATAACTAATACAAACGATTGGTTTTCAAATTTTGACCAAAAAAAAAAAAGCCTACAACATTTCATTTACTTAATTCATTAAATTTCTATTCTTTTTGCATTAACCAATTATTAAAAATATATAATAATATTAATAAATTTTCTTATCTTATCTTTTTTTTTTTGCAAAAAATTATTTATTGTTTTTTTCTCATCATGCTTTATATCTAGTTCAAGTTAAATTTTTATTAAGGTTATTTGAATTGTGTGGCATTTTGATTTTTTTTTTTATAAAATTGATAAATAAAATATTAACTTAATATATTTTATTATATATATAGTTGTTAAAATATATTTTATATTTAAAAAATATATTAAATGTATCAAGTATAAATTTCTATAAAAACCAAATGATAAATTCAGTAAATTTTCAAATCCGATTCAAATCCGTTAAAATATAAATCCGAATTCGTATTTTTAAAATTCAATTCGAATTCATAAAATTTTCAAATTTGAATTCATAAAATTCGATACAATCCGTTTTGTTATTTTTGTTAAACAAATCAAATTCAGATATAATATATTCCGATTTGACTCTAATCCGCTGACAAGAATTCCAGAACTGGGCATTTTCAGACGTGGGGAAAAGATAATGTTTCTGGAGCATCAGGTTAGAAGAATACGATAACTCGATATGGTAATTGATAACATTTTAAGGGAAGGATTGTCCTTGAAGGAATCTACTTTTGACAGGCCTAGCTACCGCGAGACATGTGTTGTCAATGGGCACTATGTGAGCAAAACCTCATAGTTCATACCTCTGACCTTCAGAGTATTAGCTAAGTTTGTAACATTAGAGTCAGCTCCAGCTTTCCAAAGTAGAACAACAAGAACATTTTTTTTTCTTTTTTTAATAATCCTGAACTTATTCTCTGAAACCTAGTACTACAATGACTCCACGAACCTGAACACGATGATCGATGGTTTTCGGAGGTAGAATGAGATGATATTTTCAATTGTGTCAATTGGAAAGAGGATCTGGAAAAACTAAAAGACAACAGCAATCTAAAATCTGACGATAAATTCTTACAACAGTGCATGGTTAACAATAGTTGCGAAAACAAAGTTTACAAATAGATTCCTGGGTTGAAATTGCAATGCTACCCAAAGACAACGTTCGACAAGGTCAAGTTAAGGCTATGCCAAACCAGATGAATATGTCAAATTCTTTACCATGCATCAATGACGGATCCATGTTTGGCTGTGTCACTAAGCTTGCCAACTTCCCTGCAAGCTATAGCATTTCATGGCTAATGTAAACGTCAGATAAATGGAGGCCAACAGAAAAGGATGGAAGCAATAATCCAACTTACATCACCTTGACCTCTTTGCAAACATTTCAGCACAAGATGCTCAAAATTGGCAATTATAATATAAACCGTGAGAATTCAGATATCATCCTACACAAATATCACCTCAAACTTTGCACATGAGTTGACTTCCAAGTGATTCTTGAAATCATCATCAGTGTTGAATTTGAAAGCGTACAGAGCTTGCCTCTGTGTCATGCCTACAGGGTATACTTTGTAAACTTTAAAATCGTCTCCTCTTATACTTTCAGGTCTTTCCTGCCTCCAGATGGGTACATGTTTCAAAGACTTAAACTTCTTGAGCACTTCAGTCTCTAGAGCATTTATGGTTAAATTGCCAGACCTGCAAAACATAGTTTTGTTAATGTTTCCATAAAATGTAGCCTTGTTAATGTTTCTACAATATTAAACAGAAACAGAAGGAAAATTTGAATATTTGGCCTCTGCATCCAGATTAAATCATTGACCATGTAACAACAAATCTGCTAAACCAAACAAGCGGCCAAAAAGGAGAGGAAAGTGGGGGGAAACACTGAAAATAAATCAACCATGAATCACATACTTTCGCTCCTCACTGGGTTTCAATTCCCAAATTCATACAACAAGACAGATGCAACGGTGACTTAGTGGTGTGCCTTTATAAGCCTTTGTTTAACTAGCATGCACAAGTACACAGATACACTAATACACAGTGAAAACAAGACCACTCATCAAATTGATGACCTTACCTCAAGAAAACAGATGCCATCTCAAATCTTCCTCTCTCTCTTACATATAAATGATACACGGTCTCTGAGCCTCTGGTGCATCTGCAGGGGCGTCTCTTAAACCCTGGACTATTTTCTTCTTTCTCCCGAATCATAGTAGCAAGGTGAATGCAAAGCCGGCATGATGAGTGTACTGCTGCCATATCTACTAGGGCCTTGAAAGAATCAGATGGGCCCTCGTATTTCCACCTAATCGGTGAACAACTCTTGATGAGGAACTATTAGGAAAATAACATTCCAGTCGCCGAATATCAACTGATGAATTAACAAATCATTATTTGCTAAATGAGATTAAGTTGTACCTTAATGATTGATTATAGGCATCGGGATTTTCTGCAAGGTATTTCATAGTCTTCGCAATCGAATCAACATCTTCTAGCTCCTTGATATGTAAAATTGAATTAGGAGCAGGAGCAAAATCTTGAATATTTGGAGCACCAACAACCACAGGTATGGTTCCTAAAACAATTGGTTTCAATATCCATTATCACTATACAAGTCCCAAGCAAAAATTTCTAAAACATTTGTAAACTCAAAAGCAAAGACAGATGATGGTATTTGGTAACACCCACACTTAATTGAGAGAGAGCAAGTTCCCATACCAGCAACAAGAGATTGGAAGAATTTTTCTGTGACATAATCCTCCTCATTGGAATTCTCAAAAGCCAAGCTAAATTTGTAACGCTTCAGAGTCTCTACTTTGTCCACTGCAAAACATATATTACAACAACAATAAAAGATAATGCTTGGCTAAACAAATATGTGAATATAGCAGATTATATATCATATCACAATCAACCTTATGGAATTAATTCATATATCACTGGGTAGCCATCACTTTGCAGACTTAATTTGAATTGAGAGAGGCAAGTGAAAATTTGATCAAGGAATCACGTCGTCGAAAACAAGAATCATGCATGACTTACAAAAGTGGAAAAAGTCAACCGTATCATGAGATGAAGCCATAAAATTACCAATGAACAACAAAGTTGTGTGTCAGATATGGACGAAATTATAGTTCCACTGGCGAAATCAACAGGCAGAATGATCTACTTCAAGAGCAAAAACTGGGAAATCCCACCATTTCCAATCAAAAGTTGTGATAGACACATAATGGCATCACAAAGGGAATGTTAAAGTGATTGCAATAGTTCAATGAGAAACATTAAACCTGAGGAAAATGCCATATATTGAAAGGATTTTGGCATGATCACCTCTTCCATCATGATTCCTATGGCAATTACCATAGGAATCTATTTTGATGTTTGACCTTTCAAGTCCATCAAGTGCTTGCAAGCGGAAGTTGCGAGCACCACAGTTGGAAATGAAAGCAGCTGCAAGTGCTTTCTCAGTCTTTGGCTGCACAGGTGCCATGATATCATACTCAGCCCAGGAAAAGTAGCCAACTGGCACATCCGAGGAGAGACTTGTTGTCATTACAACATTGTATCCCCTTCTAATTCATATGAAAAGCAAAGCATCAGTTTAATCATCAGAGAAAAAAATTCTAGCTCTGAGTATTTTAATATGGAAAGAAATGCACTTGAGAAGAATGGCAGGCAGTTATTTTCAACTTCACCATAAATCTTGCAGATAACATGCTCTACTGCAGAAAGAGTATTCGCATATTATCAATTCATTTCTAGAATAGGAACATGGACCACACTATGAATTTCAACATGACATGCCAGAGCAGGACCATTGTCCAATATTGCTGAAAAAAACGAATCTCTTGCATAGCCAACTATTTAAGCATCGCCAATAACATCTCTTAAAATTTTTTATGTATCCTCTGGTCCTACTATATTCATCAAGAGAAGAAAGAAACTCTGCAAAAAGGAAAAGTTCAAATTCTGAACGTTCATTGCATTCTGAAAGCCTTTTGGGCCCTAACAGATCAATTTTTTTTTATATCAATCTCTATATTTCATAAGACGAGGGTTGTTTAAAAATAATCAACCTAACATGTGGTATTCAATCATCTATATATTTGGTGCTTCAAGTGACAGAGTGTAGTGCAAATCATAATTGGAGAGGTTCACATCTAAATTTGAACTGTAGACTTGAGCTATTCAAATCCATTCAACAAGCGGAGGCCATAATTTAGGAACTACAAATACACCCAAAATAATCTCATTCGCGCTATAGTTTCTTACAACCCAAAACAAAATGCATTTTCAAAATGCAATCAAGTCAATTTGGATAGTGCTTACCCACCGTCGTGCGTGAGCAATATTGTTCTCTGTGTAGTAGGAAGCTGCTTCCATCGACCTTAACACACCAGCTGCTCCACCTTGTTGAGGTGAACCAAATCCAGCATCTGGATTCTTACTGGGGTTAAATCCAAACTCACATCCCACCCCACAAGTGTTCCACTCCTAAATAAAAATGCATAGATCCAAGTTACACACCATTGTAACACGTAATGACAAAAAACTAATTTAATTTTTGAAAACCTATGACAATTGAGTTGTTAAAATCAATCAAACTGAAAAGGAGAAAGAAACTGCATATGAGCTACTTCAATGTCAAGTTTCGTCAGCTTGTTTTACATCTCATATATAATCAATTAACTCAGCTAAACGAAATCAAAACCATAATTCAAAACAATTAATTAAAGTCAACTACACTAATCATTTTCTTCTATTCCCCATGTCTTAAACAAACCACTTAAATAAGAACTCTATTACTTATAGTTCTCCTCCAAAAAACAATCCTCCAAGGAGTCATCGGGAAATGGTCCAAAGTCCTAATCTTCATTGCCCCATACATATGCCAATACTAAAATGGATGGTACATACTTAACTATATCATCACACTCAAAATTCATCTATGAAAAATTCACAAAATTCATCAAGTAGCAAAAAACAACAATGAAACGAATAAACAAATCCCATAAATCTTGAAAAAGAAAAGTTCAAACCAAACAAACCTTTTCCCCTCCAGCAACCAAAACGGGATCTTTATCAAAATCCCTTGAATAAACCACAGAATCCTCCTTCTCTAACCACTCCTCACAGCTATCTGACTCCAAAGTTCTCACTGTTTCCAATCCAGAATCAACACTTGACTTATACAAAAAGCTATCAGCCCAAGAATCAACTAAAGCAGCATTTTTAGCCATATCAAGACGACCCAGAAAGGCGATCTCTGCTATCACCACAAGAGCAACAAAAATTGGCAAAAAATTTGACCACTTCATTTTGAAGACTGAAACTCGAGTAGAATTTGATTGTGACCCATCTGATACAGGCAACCCTTCTTGTGATGGTGTTGTAGCTCTTGATCCTCTTAGATTTGACAAAACACCCATCAAGCAAAAATCCCTTTTTATAATAAATGTAGAAACGAAGAATAAGTATTAACAAGGGAGGTTTCTTTTCTCTCCTCTTCTTTTATGATTTTAGATGGTGAAGCTGTTATTTGTGTGTCTCAACCAAAAAAAAAAACATCATTAAATGCGGCTTTGGTTTTTGGAGGTTTTTGTTTTGTGCGTTTTCTCGGCTTGAAACTTGAAAGGAAGAGGAAATTTCAGGTCGTGAGAGTTTGTGTGCTGATTGGCTAATGTTCTTGTTCAAAGTCACCGTAGAAATTCGACATATTTAAACATTTTATTTAGTATCTGGTGGCGTGTAGACTGGACTCTATAGTAAGTGAGATTAAAGAGTTAAATTTTGATTAGAAGGACATTGCTTTGCAAATGGAGAAATTGCTAGAAGTTTAAGTTGTACTCTGCAGACCCAAGAAAAATATAGTGAAAAACGATGTTGTGTTGCGTTGTGTTGTGTAGGGACCAAGTTATTGGTGTCAAGGACCAATGACAGGTTGACAAGTAGGATTAATCGAGGATCCTAGTCCACGTAATACCACTTACGGCTAATTTGCTGGGGTGATTGTAAATAACTACTGATCTGTTATTAGGTTGGATGGACATTTTCCATTGGTGATGGGTTACATGATTTGGTTAAGAAAGCGATCTAATAAAGATCGATGTTACTATGTTAGGTTAGATTTTTAATCTACGGATTTGATGAGCGAATTTGAGAGAGATGGAGAATCCCATTTAGGTTTTACTAGATAATTGAAATGACCCTACCTCGTCTAGAAAAAAGAAAGAAATGAAACCCTACCAGAGTAAGGTCACTATCCTTTTGGAGAAAGGGAATGAAGATCTTGAAAATGTTGATAGATAGATGGCCTTAGTTTGTTCACTTCTGAGGAGAATGCACCTTCTTGGGTTTTTCTTTGCTTGTTCCCTTTTAGCAAGCTCACTTTTCTTTCTTGTAATGTACAATATTAGATAGCAAGTCCGAGCAAATGGAGAATGGAGATCCGAAGCAGTCAGCCTTTTGAAGAAGGGATTGTTACATCATGGATATAACATATTCTTTGCTTGTACTTCAATGGAACTATGAAAGTGGATTTCTTCAGGGGCTTGTGACATTACAAAACATAATAATCTATGCAATGAAATTTACAGATTTTTCATTAAAAGTATATTTCTGTTATATTAGCCCTGTTGATATTGTATGTTGTGATAATCATGCGAGATCTGACAAGAACTCCAGATTGCTAATCTACTAGGAGGCAATCTGATCCTGGAGATGCAAAACCTGTGTACGGATCAGTAAATGTGCAAATTAAATTAGCTATATGATATTATTTTAAAATTTCTTACGCACTTTTGATCAAAACTACATAGGGTTCATCTAAGTTCACACTAATTACGATACTGAACAGAGTAATTCACCAAAACTATCATAATTGTCTACAAATCGCCAAAACCATCCACAGGCATTTATATCTCAGATCAGAATATAATCTGTAATTTTGCACGCACTAACAAAACCAGAGGAATTCAAGGGGAGCAAATATTGGAACGCACTCATTGCTAAATCAACAGCTCCAAATATAAAAAATATTAGCCATATATTGCATTCTTCTCCATCATGTACATAGAAAAGGTTATATATTTTCTATAAAAAAAGGTCCCGGATTTATCTTTTGACTACGTTCAATGTACAAAACTGAGCAAAGAAAATAAAAGTGCGACATAGAGTTAAAAAAGCTCGGTAAAGTCAACTTCAAACTAGCCATTCAAGCATATTGCACAGTGGACATGAATTTCTTCATCCTAACAGAATTCTTCTGGCAAAAATCTTCAGGCAGTATCAGTTTCAGCAAGATCCATCATCAAGAAGGGCAAGAAGGTTACATATCAAAATCTTGATATCTGCAGTTTTCTCAAGATGATTCATCAATCGGATAAGACCTTGCATTCTCTCCTGTGTTTTCATGTATCGGAATCAAAAGTTACCATTTCAAACTTCAAATACATGTAAAGCTTAGCTCCCTCTTAAGAAATAATGCAGATGGTTTTGGCCGACAAAAGTTATCAGGGTTTTCTGACAACAACTCTTGATGCATCTGTTCCTCTCTTTCGGAGGAAGCTTGACTGGCACTTGAAACATCTCTTGTATCAGACTTTGTGAATGGCACAACCTGAAAGAGTATGATAGAGCTGACAAAAATGAGACTCCATGCTCACAAAATTTCAACACTCCTGGCATTAGACTTTAACATATTTGTAAACCAAGACTTAGCACGCAGACACAGGCATTGATCACATCACCTGATCAGTGCTTGAAGCCTCAGCTCCAGATGTCCTCAACCTTTTTGCCTTGTGGACACAGCACGACTTCTCTCCTTGATCTCCTTCATCAAAGTTCTGATCTGACACTTCTGCAGGAAACCAAACAATTCAGCAAGAACAAAAATTCAGCCAAATACATTTGTAAATTAAATTTTCCACAGGGTGAGTAGTGAATGCCGTGAAGCTTGACCAATAAACACAATAGCATTTGCGGTTCATTTTCCTAGTCTGCCATTACAAAGAACAAAACATATGTTCACTCGGGGAACTGCAGGCGTCCATGAAAAGCATATTTGATTGTGTGTGTGTTTAAGATAACAGAGACAGAGACAGGACAGTAATGCAGGTCCTCACACAAAAGCGATGTAACAAGGCAGTAAGTCAATTTGTAGTATACCTAGGCAGTTTTTTTCGCATGAGAATACATGCATAGACATATTTCAGAAGCAACTGTAAACTAATTGATACCTGTGGTGCTGCCAATAGAATTCTGATAGCACACAGGTTGTTGTTCTGAACTTCTTGATAATGCACCAGAGACAGTTGCATTCTCTCTTACATGAATCCCCCCACCACAAGATGCATTGTGTCTTTGAAGATCATGATGTGCTGCATTCCTCTGGTTTCCTGCAGAGATAAAATGACAAATCGATGGAGTACTCTCCTTAATACAATGAGAATCAGCTGTACTTTCCAACAATGGCTCGTTCCTTTTCTTCTGCCTACTACCATCTCGCAGAACCATGAACTGAAACATAACCAAGAAGCTCAGAGAACAACAAATAGAACCATAAATTCCAACTTGAAACCCCGACATCAAAATTCCTAACCTGGCGTCGCGATGAACATGATCTCCCTCCCATCCCCCGTGACCAACCACGCAAACGAAAGGAGTGACGCAATTGATTATTAACAAATGAAGCTTCTAACGAATCAAGGTATAGCCTATGCTTTTCATCTGTCCACACTGCAGATGGACCCTGCTATAAAATAAAAAATTAAATAAAGAAAATGAATGCTAAAATTTGATAAAACACAAGAATTGATCAGAAACTTAAGAACAATTAAGATCATTCACTAATTTTCACAACAAAAACGAGATATCGTGAAAATTAAAATTAGTTAATGGAAATTAATTAATTCGCTAACAAATTTCCAAAATTCAACCTCAACGGAATTTTTTTTTGCTCTTTTCTGGCGTCAATTTTGACCTGTTTCTAACAATGAAACTCTGCAAAAAGCAGAGAATAAATGCTAAAAAAAAGACTAAAAGTAGCAAAAATTCACATATCTTTACAAAAACAAATAACCTTTGGAAATCAAGAAAAAAACACAAACTTTTCCGCGTGATCCTTAAATTGATTGACAAAGAAACAAAAAAAGTTTAAGAGATAGTAAAATTACCGGTCTTGCGTTCGCATTGTCAACGGTTAAACCAGAGGAATCCGAGTTCGTCCCAGTCAATTCACAGTTCTTCTTCTTCTGATCCGGTAACGGAATATTCCCTCTGAGATTATTCTCCTCCTCCATTTATCCGTTATCCTTTGATATTTGGTTTACTCCTTATTCTTTGATCACGTATAATAAAATACGACCATCGTTTCCCTTTAATTTCGCTAGATTTTTATTAGAGAGAGAGACGGCATTAATTTTTCTTGTTTAAGAAAATAAGAACACTTAGAAAGACGGTGAAGAGGGGCCAATAAGGCTCCACATGGCGACGCTTTTACACGTGTAGGTCTCAACTGACGGTGCCACGTCATCGCATGCTGATAATATCTTCGGGTATTGTCAGCCAGATATTTTTTGAAGGGTGTGTGACTGTGTTCTTGTTTGAGATATTTTGTAAACAAAAGAAGAAAGCTTGGGCTTTCTCGGCCGTACGATTACGAAGGGATGCAGTTTGATGGGGTGTATTCGGCTGGCCCATAGCTTAGCTGCCGTTTTATTAATTATTATCATCCAGAGCTTGAGGGATGAGGTAGGGGCCAGGTTAGATTTTTAAATAGACTTCTTGTCATGACGCTAATCTTCAATTTATGGAGTGGAAAACCTAAATTGTTCGCTAGTGTTTTAAGATTCATTCAACCTTTGTTATCCGTACCAATTTTTTAGAGGAAAAGATCAAATTATTTTGACTGATTGGTTGGAATAAAAGATGAATTATCTTTACAAATTAAGAATTATAGGGACTTTATAATTTTTCACAACATGAATTTGATTTTTTTCAATATGTAGACAAATTGTTATATTAAAATATCATAAATTAAATTTATTTTTTTTAAAGAAGAAGTGATAAGTGAAAATCATAGAGTGAATTAATTTTTTTAAAAAAAAGTTTAAAAGATGTCAAAACCGAAATTAGAAGTTTAGTTAGTGATTTTTAAATAAATTAAAATTCAAAAAGATTTTACCTATTTGACAAAAAAAAAAATTATATGCAAGCTATGAGGGTTGGTCACCACTTTTTTAATGTGGGATGTAGTATATGTTACATGGGGAGGTCACCACTTTTATGCACAATGACTTTTTTTAAGATGGGATCAAGGGGCTAATATATTATACATATGGATTACTCGCCCTTTTTTTATACGGGACAAAAGATTTTTGTTTCTTTTTCCTCGTGGATGATCCGATGCTATGTGGATAACATTTTCTACTGGCTTTTCTCGTACCTATAAAAACATGGAAGTTCGATACACTGCCAGGTTTTGACACATTCCATGTCTAGCAAAAAAAATTATGAAAATAAAAAAGCTCAAAAGTAAATAGTTGGCAGTGTCAGCAGGTACGTTTTCTTTGTTTTGCCCGTGACAACAAAGAAAAGGTTTTGCGTTTGAGCCTTTTCCTTTATAGATTTTAAAAATACAAGAAAATAGCACTTTCTTGTGCATTTCTAAAGTAGAGTTATTTTAACAGGATCTTTTGGAGCATGGCAGGTCATGATCATCTACTAAAATAATTAATAAAAGTCTATGATAAGTCATATTAAACACGAAATTTTGAAAGAAATTATTAAATGAACGTGGCTTGTCTTTTAAAATTATGCACCAACGAATTGTAGAAAAACATATCATGTTGTCCGGTCATACCATAGACTTTAAAATAAACAAGTGAGTGGGGCTATTGGCACAATTTCTCCATTTGCAATGACTAAGAAATCTCCATTTAGTAAGAGATAGAGAGTTAACTTCTATGCAAGGTATTTTACAAGTAACCTCTTTTGGCCAAACTTTTATTGGTTATTCTCAATAAAATTACTTGTATGTACAAATAAAAAGACGGTAAATGTGATGTAATGTTCTGTGCAAAAAATATGAAATAGCTAATCTATCATATATATATATGTATAACTTATTCTTTTTTTTTTTTTTTTTTTGGGGTTACGAACTGGGCAAGTGGCCCAATAATCGAACAAATAAGTAATTACAGCACCTAAAGTCACCTACACCTCTGTAACCTCGACTCAAAAACTCCACAAGCTCGGAGTTCAGGCGAAATACAATATATTTCTATTCAGGCCCACGCTTAAACTAGCAAGGCCATTAGCGCAAAAAATTGCTTCTCTACATGCACTACGTAAAATCTTTTGAATTTTTCAACAAGCACATAATCGATAGACCTTGTAACTTACTCTCAAGTCTAAGAAACAAAACTAGGGACATCTAACTTAATAAATATTCGTTAAAAATATTTAATAGATATTAAAATAAATAAGAATAAAAATTATATGTCTATTAATATAGTTTTAGGATATGAGTATCCACTTTTTATCTTATTAATATATACTAATTTATTTTGTTTTTTAAATTAAAATACTGAGATCTAATTGCATAAATTTTAAAAATTAAAATAAAAATATTAAAAAAAAACTTTGAGGACAAAAAAACTTATAAATGAATGATAAAAAAAAAATTAAGGACAAAAACTTTTTCTTAAAAATTATAGAGATTAGAATAAATATTTTTAAAAAATTCATTTTAATAGATAATAAATGGGTAATATGGACTGGATATAAACTGAATAAAAATTTATATAATTATTTTTTATTAGATAATGAAAAAGATAAAAAATTGAATTAATTGGCCGAATACCCGTTATTACCCTCCCTACAACACTAATGATTGCTATTTATTTCCTTTTGTAATTGGATCTCACCACAATTAAACTTCCTAAAATGCACTAAATCTAACAGGAAGTTTTAAGAGAGTAAGTTACCACGTTGTTTTACATTATTGTTTTCAATTGGGATGATCTATAAAATTTGGTAGCGTAGGCGATATTTGAATTGCAGGATTGCGAGAAAAACTCCGGTACCCATTTTCTTTTCAATTATAACAATGTGATTTCCCCTCCCAACATTCATCATGACGAAGTACAAGTTTCAGTTTCGAAGAAAAATGCTCATTTTCATGAACCAAATGCCACGAAAGAGGCGCAAGAAAAATGGGCATCGTATTATTTGCGCTTCGCAGTACTTGGTTCCTGTATTCTAGCATTATTTCTGTTTGTGCCTTACAAAAATCAATTGAAATCTATTACAAAAATGGAAAAAAAAAGGAAAAAAAACCTTCCTTATATGTGTAATAAAATCAAATAACCCATTTTTCATTAAGTAAATCCCATAAAAATACATAAAAAGTAAATAAATCAAATATTTTTGTCCGAGGAGGAAGGTATTCTTCTTCTTTGCTTTTATTCTAAATAGTATGTACCCCAAAAATTACCTTGGAAATTCGAAAGAATACATTACCAGCAAACTACTGAGTTGCAGGCACAACTCTGGGCCACTGGGCCCATTAACTTTATTCCACCACACACCATTAGCATACAATTTGCCAACGCATCGACAAAACTCAAAATGGGAAACAACTACCCCGACTATATGTAAAATTTACTTGAGTCTCTAAAGATCCAAGTTATGCGATATTATCCTCAATTAAAAGCAATTAACAAAACAATCTTTCTCCATGTGTGTTTTTTGCATGTCCCAATATTAGTACTATTTTCACTACCGTCAAAAACCTATTCCCAATTACAGAATGTAATAAAAAGGTGACACTCAAGTGGGCTGAGCCCAAAAATTACACATAATTGTCAATTTTGTTTACAAATGACAGAATGCAAGGGTAACATTATAAAATTTGATAATTTTCCATACTCAATTGAAATTCTATATGTAGCAGAGGGATGCTTCTTTAGTTTGTTTTTTTTTTAAAAAAGAAAAAAACTTCAAAACGTAAACCCTCCCGCCACCTAATTATTACCATGTATACGCGAAACTCCTCATATAGGCATCGTGATTTATACAAACGCCAAAAAGGCAAAAATCCCATTCACCGCCGCCTCAAAAACCTCAAAACAAAAGCCCTCTCCAGCCTCTTCATTCACCATCACCTTCAATGTCAATTCCACCACGACCTGATCGCCAACAACCACCGCCGAGTTTGCTGCCTATTAAACTCAACAAGCAGCTATCGTGGTCACCAGACATGACCCGCGAGGAAGTATGGCTTAGAAGAAAAGGAAATTCTAAAACGCAACGTGGGTGCGGCAAGAGCTTGACGGACGATGATTTAGATGATTTAAAAGCATCTATTGAATTAGGATTCGGGTTCGGACCGGACTCGCCTATTTTGGATCCGAAGTTGTCGGATACCTTGCCCGCTTTAGGTTTTTACTGTGCTGTTGTTAATAAACAATACGGTAGTTGTTTGTCTAGATCAGCTTCTACGTCGTCGCTTTTATGTGATTCAGGTAAAAGTTTTTCCTCTGATGTATTTATTAAGTTTTAGCCGTTGGATTTGGTTTGGATGTTTTGATCTGACCGATTGTGCTTTTTGGCAGGTGATGATCCCGAGATGGTGAAGACGAGGTTGAGACAGTGGGCCCAGATGGTTGCATGTTCGGTCAAACAATTTTCAGGGAAACCAAATTGATGTATTTTAGCAGTACAGGGTGGATGAGTTTATTAAGAAGTTTATTTTTTCAGCTCATTTTTTAATTTTTATATTGATATTGATATTAAAAAAAAAATTAATACTTTACATCAATATGGTAAGTTAAGATCTTTCAAAAAATAAATTTAATTTTTTTTTAATGTATAAACAAACTAATATGAGAATATTCAATAAAATAAAAAAGCTGATATGTTCTCCTGCTAAGATTGATTTTTTGTGCATAACAAGTCTGAAAAGAGATTTATTTTTTCTGTTTTCTGTTGTTGTAATTTTTTTCTGCTAAGATTGACAATTTCGTAAACCGGGTCCAACTAATATTAGATACTTTCTGTAATTCTCGGAGGAATTACAACTATGATCCCTCCCTCTTTAGGGAATGCTTTGGGATAATTTTATTCACAAGCTCTCTTTTTTTCCTATAGCTTTATTGGTAAGCGTTGGACCCGGTTTACAAAATTGTCAAAGGGAACTAAATGCAGATGAAAAAAATCAAGCATCCATCTGTTCTGACAAAAGAAGAAAAATCGGTAAGAAAGCAAAAGTGGGTCTTGAAGAAGTAAATGCCACATCTGCCAAACAAATTCCATTTGTACTGACAAAGAGGGAAATACGGAAAAAAGAAAAGAGTAGTTCATGAAGAAATAAATTAATGGCACATTTGCTAATTGTCTGGAAAGGTTGGACACGTGATGAAGAAGAAAAGAAAAGACAAAAAGGACAAATGAAGCAAAAAGCAACAATAAGAAAGGACAGAAATTGATGGAGGAGATTGGTTGGGCAGGTGAAAAATCTTTTAAAACATCAATTTATTTTTAAATCTTCAAGCCAAAAACAATATATTTTTACAACATCACTTAATAATTAAAACACAAAACAATATTTTTCTTAACAAAATATTTTTTAAAGTTTCTCAAACTCAAAAACAATATTTTTTTTTTTACCAAAACACTCAATAGTTAGAATAGTTAAGACCTGTTTTGTGTTTTTCTTAACAAAATATTATTTTGTGTTTGAAAAATTTAAAAATAAATTGATAGATTTTTTAAATAAAAAAATTACTTCGAGGTTTTTTGTAATTGTATCTAATTTAAATCAAAACCATTATCTTTCAATATATGTATTTCTATCGTTGATGAACATACTATATTTAATTAATGTGCCAAAATATATTATACATTCATATTGTAATTTAATTTAATTGCTTGATAAAAAAATATCAAGTTCTGATTAATTAAAAATTAGTACTATCAATGGTATTTTTTTTCCTGTCAATATATTAGGATTAGAATGTCACTAATGTTCATAATGATACATATTTCTTACTTATCTTATTTGTATAATAAATCTTGAATTAAATTACCAAATGATAACACGAGTTTCATTTCATCAATATTACTTAGTTGAATTGCATAATTTGCTATAGTTAATAGATAGTAAAAATAATCGTAGTTAATGAAATAAACAAGTAGATAGAAAAAAATAAAAACTTCTACATAGAAATTTTTTTTAGTATAATAAAAAAATGGTAGTCGAAAATTAGTGTGTCGGCAATCAAAGAAACTAAAAAAAAAAAAAAATTCTTTCAATTGCAATAAAAAAAACATGAATTCGATCATGATAAAAAAAAAATCAATATCAAACTCATTAAAAACTATGAAATGAGTTTATTATTAGATAATTGGTTTTAAAAAAATAACCCTTTAAAAAATATTCAATCTAAAAAAACCATCAATTTACTTTTTAAATCCCTCAAATCTTAAAAAAAAAAAAAAATCTTACTAAAACACTTAATAGTTAACTAGTGTTAAGCATCATGTGTTTTAATAAAAAAAAATAATATTTTGGATTTGAGAAATTTAAAGATAAATTGATGATTTTTTTAGAGAGTTTCTCTAGTAATTATTAAAAAAAAGAGTAAGTGATAAAACAATTCAAGTCCAATCTGGCCATGACAATCAACAAAACGCGAGAGGAAGCTGCAATAAAAAGAGTAGTACACTTGATTGTCCATAAACAGTAGGGATAATAATTTGCTACGTCTCAAATTTTCCTGATCAACACAGCTATTCCCCATGTTGATCGGGGAACGGGGCACCTCATGAGTAGGGACGAGGCGGAGATGGTATTTGCTTGCCCCACTCTATTTGTCTCTAAATTTTTTTTTCATTAAAATTAAAATTATACCTTATATAAAATTTGTGCCTAATGACTTTTAGGGTTTATTTTCTATATATATTATCATTTTTTTACTATGGTTTGAAATCTGATAGCAAAATGAGATACAACAAGATGAAAAAAAATTTGATAATTTTTGCCTCGTTTGCTTTGTCAGTGCCGCATGGGGATCTTCGTTTCCGTTTGTGGCGGAAATGATATGAAAAATTTTATTCCATTTGAGGCACGGGATAAGGATACCGTAAAATTTTTTAAGGACGGGGATGGCCCCCCTCATTGCCATTCCTAATAAACAGCAATATTGAGTGTTGGTGCATGATAAAAAGAATATGCACAGTAAAAAAAAATAGTAAACTAATCTGTTTTTTTTTTTTTTTTTTGGTAATAACCAGAATTGAATTTGCAATAAGGCTGGTCATGAACTGGGATGGAGTTCTTGGCCCAGTCCAGTTTTGGCCAGATACTTGAAAATTGAATCCAATGGGCTCAAAAAGCTCTACCTAAGTTTGGAGCGAAACTCATCGATAACCTGAATAATTTTTCTCAAAGAAAGAATATTCCTTTTCTAATCCATCTTTGGAGGTTTGCATTCGAAGCAAAGAAAGATAAAAACAAGCCAGAAATTATTACATTAAAGAGGGCACAGCAGCGCATGATCTCAAAAAAGAGCAAAAAATGAAAAACCAACACAGACCCATTGCTGCATCACATTTTCCCATGTTACCACACATATGACGAGAGCCCATCATTGGTGCCTCCTAACTAAACTGCACAGGCTTTCTTTAACAATAGATAAAAGAATCTGTCATTAATTTTCACAGTCCACCTCAAAAGTCACTCACTGCGGTGCTAATCACGCTACAGCTAAACTGGGCACGTAAACATCGGAACCAGGCCTTATATATATATAGAGGACGTACACCTGACGGCACCATAGTTTGATTGGTTCCATTATAGTTGAAGGCCCACCATTAATTTTTGTTTGCAGTCCTTTTTAATGTTTTTCATGTCTTCGATGTTGAAAAAAGGAATGGGGGAATCCTGAATGAATTCATCCACGTGGTGCATGGAACCCCACTATCAGTGCCTGAACGTTAGGGATTGCTTATCCTGATTGGGTTTCTCCTTTTGGTGATAATTTAAACAATGTGCGGTATCTTTTTGTACAAGTTCTTTATTTCATTTTGGATCTGTGCAGTTGTGGTAGCTATGGTCCATGTTAGTGTCAGTTTAGAAGAATCACGCTGCCCACCAAAGCCTGCATTCCCAATAGGGTTCTGCTTCAACCAGTTTGTTTCATGTCCAGGCTAGGATAGGATATCTGATTGGCCAAAGTTTTTGTGCCATGAAACACGTCCTACTTGTAATTGGAGATAAACAATTTAATCCGAATCCGATAAATGCCCGCACGAATAATTTTAAATGAATTGGATATGAATATTATTCATATCTAATCCGAAATCTAATCTAAATATCCGGCTTTGTGTATCCGTGTGAGTGAAATATTTATAGTTTTTTCTTTGGATGTAATATGCATATACTTTAATACTTATACATACATGCATGCATAATATTTATAATTTGATCACTAATATGCATATGTATTTTATTTTATGTTGAATAATAAATAATACACAGATAATGAATTATGTATATTCAAAACTTAATACATAAAATATTGAATTAAATCGTATAAATAATAAAAATATGAAATAGATATTTATTATTTCATACTCAGATTAATTATTTTTAAAATAATTTCATCAATCAATACTAATTTTATTTATTTTATAGTAAACATTCATATTCTGCATTAATTCCTTAAAAAAGATTTTTTTAAAATCTTTCATTGAATTCAAATCCAAAACAGTAACATTGGAAGCATTCGCGCTTCTCGATCACAATTCACAGTCAAACCCGATAATTGGGACATTCATTTATCTCACTCAAGCCGAGAAGAACATGAAAATTCGAACCTACCTTAGATATCATGATCAAAGCCATCCACAAATGATCTCACACGGTCTACGGTTGATATTCAGTGACCACCAACACCAAGTCCCAGGCAATCCCTCTGCTCTAGTCAATATTACAAACCAATAAAACAACAAATCCTCAAACCTCATCACCATCCACTCCCATTCTTGTCGGAAAGCGCAAATCAACGGTGATGAGAAACCCACCTTTCGTTCCCTCATTGGCTGAACGTCACATCAACATTTCAACTCCTCTCCCATTGGACCACGTTGCGAGATCTCCGATGCTCATGTTCAAAATCAAGAAATAAAAAAATAATAAACCAAGAAAGTAAAAATCTTTGTAGCTCCTTAAATTGGTGACTCGTGTCTATGGAGCACAAGACACTTGTCGCCTCCACCAGCAAGTGAAGAAAGCCACAAGAAACACGACACCCTCTCTAGTCGCTTCCTAATTTCTATTTTTATATTTTTCTTTTTTCTTTTTCATTAAAGGTAATTAAAAATAAACTCTCCATATCTCTTAATTCCTTTATTGTCTTTTAGTCTCTCTCTCTCTCTTTTTTTTATATTATACTGTTAATTTTCATTTTTTTTTTCTTTTTGTCTCTCTCATATTAATTTCCTTTTTTTTGTTTTCTATTTTGTATTATTTCTCAAAAACACTGTTTTCTTTACTAGATTTTAATTTACCGATTTCATCAATAGATAGATTCATTATCGTTGAGCATAGTTTGAATGGTTAACTGGGCTATCATCTCTCTATTTTTTTCTCTATTTTTTGGGTGGTGAAACTTGAAATATTGTGATTTCTCTATTTTTTGGGTGGTATTGAGATAAAATGAGTTTTTTGGAGTTTAATCAGTGTGATTTTTTCTTTGTTTACTTTCGAACCTGGTCTTGGTGTTTTTTATTTGGAAAAATGGGTTGGTGTTGCCTAGTTTTTAGGGGTTTAAAGCTTGATCCTTTTAGCTTTATTCATGGATATTTGAGTCTGGATGTGATGTTATCAGTACATAAGCATGAAAGTAAGAAACTTGGAATGTTATTGGCCTGTTATCGATTTTTTTCAGTTTTAATAAACTTTTTGGATCTGAAACCGAGGAGAGAAATGAAAATTGTTTGAGATTTAGTTTAGTTTGATCTCTATTTATTAGATAATAACTGTACAGGAGTGTTTTTTTAATTCTACAATTCTAGTTCGCTATTCTTTGTGGCATCATAGATCACTGTAAATGGGATCGTCTCCTCTCTCTCTCTGTCTATGTGTCTGTGTCTGAAATTTTGTAATTTCATGGATTCAACTCTTTGAAACTATGCATTAATGCGTGCTTCTTTTAATTGGATGCTACGTGAAAGCTTAGGCTTGGTTTAACTGTTTCAAAGATTGCTCAGTTCATTTTGATATGTTCGCGGAATGGTGTCTATTGGAGCTTTAAGTTTTAATTATTTTCTGTTTCAAGCCATAGCCAGGCTTATGTTTGTCATTTGGATTTTCAGATGTTTACCTGTGTGGCTGATGTATAGTTGTATGTTCATGTTTACTTGAACTTTGGTCCTCAACATTTTGTATAGTTGGACTGAAAATGTAAAAATTGCAACTTTTGCTCATATGTGACTTGATTTGTTGATTTTTTCTTATCTCAATTTAGCTAGGAGTGAGATTCCATTTTGATCCTCTTCCATCCGATATAAAAGTTACTACAAACTGCTTGATTGATCAGCCGTCACTGCCTGAAGATTTTCAAAAATGGACTCTCATTGGAACTTCAAGAACTTTGGAAATGCCCCATCAGGACAAGGCAGCGTGGCAAAGCCATCGGAGGATCCCCCCTTGGTCCGCCAGTCTTCAGTATATTCATTAACCTTCGATGAGTTCCAAAATACCTGGGGTGGTGAACTTCGGAAGGATTTTGGATCAATGAATATGGACGAGCTATTGAAAAACATATGGACTGCCGAAGAGACACACGCAATGACAAGCACAGTTGGTGTCAGTGGAGAAGGAAGTGCCCCATGTGGGAATCTGCAGAGACAAGGATCTTTAACTTTGCCTAGGACACTAAGTCAAAAGACTGTCGATGAGGTTTGGAGAGACTTGACCAAAGAAACCAGTGGTGGTGCTAAAGATGGGAATGGTGGCGCAGGATCCAATTTACCGCAAAGGCAACAGACTTTAGGAGAGATGACTCTGGAAGAGTTCTTGGTGAGGGCAGGGGTAGTGAGAGAGGATACTCAACAAATTGGAAGGCCTAGTAATAGTGGATTCTTTGGCGAACTATCACAACTAAATAACAACAACGCTGGTTTGGCTCTTGGGTTTCAGCAGCCAAATGGAAACAATGGGCTTATGGGGACGCGGATTATGGAGAACAACGGTAATTTAGTTGCCAATCAGCCTCCTAGTTTAGCACTGAATGTAGGTGGAATCAGACCCTCTCAGCAACAAGTGCAGCCACAGCAGCAACAGCAGCCACTCTTCCCTAAGCCAGCAGCAACTGTGGCATTTGCATCCCCTTTACATTTGGCAAGCAATGCTCAGCTTGCTAGCCCTCGAGTGAGAGGATCGGTTGCTGGGATTGCAAACCGATCTGTGAACAATGGTCTAGCTCACAGTGGAGGAATGGGAATGGTTAGTTTAGCAACCGGAGTTGTTACAGTTGCAGCAGGATCTCCTGGAAACAGGATATCACCAGATGTGATAGCAAAGAGTAGTGCTGATACGTCTTCACTATCGCCAGTTCCTTTTGTATTTAGCCGGGGAAGAAAACCTGGCGGAGCTCTGGAGAAGGTTGTTGAGAGAAGGCAGAGGAGAATGATTAAAAACAGAGAGTCAGCTGCTAGATCACGGGCTCGCAAGCAGGTAAGTTTAGTGACTGAGCTATTATACATCTTTCAGCTTCTGAGTATTCCCTTTGGTGTTGCTTTTTCACTTTAATATTTGGCCTGACTTTGGTATTTAAGAACCGTCAAGGAGCTTTTTGGGTTTTGGTTGTAATTTTAGATGTGTCCATTGTTTGTTTCTTTTCTGTAGTAGAGGTCTAGTTTGATGCCTGGGTGGCAGCACTTGATGCTTCCACGCATAGATTTAAGTTTTTTCTTTAGACTATTGACAGCATGGGCTCCTTGTATTATTGAGTTTTCGTTGAATCTCTGTTTATTTTTCTCATCATTCCTCTGAGAGATGCTGATTATTAGGCAGACTCTGCTTGTGAATCAGCAGTATTTCGGAATGCCAGATTGTATATAGTTTTAAAGACCATTCATATCATGTAAGTGCACAAGTATGTGGTTGGTGGTAGATGTCAGCCTGTCTCTTCTCCTAATGACAAGCAAGAGAGATTATGGCTCACTTAGTTTCCCGCTTAAATCTTACTTAAACCTATAATAATAAATACACCATTGTGCACTATTAATTTTCAACTTAATTGTTCTGAAGATAGGTTGGCAGCTTCCCATTATAGGCGGTCAAAAACACTGCAAACTATATGATTGATATCAGTTGTTGTTTTTTTTTTTTTTTAAATGCATGCTGGTTTCAAGCATCCATCAATATGATAAATGTAATGTTCCATCTCAAGTTGGACACACACACACACACACACAGAATTCTAAATCACATTGGTGCTGGAGATTTGTTAAACGTTTTTTTGATCTCAGATCCAATAAATTCTTACTGTTTAGCAAGTTTTTATTTCATTGAGGCGATGACTGATCAGTAATTTTCAACCTAGAAAGCTGATTGAAACTTCATGTTACTTTCCACTTTTGGGTTTCTGCAGGCCTATACATTAGAGCTGGAAGCTGAAGTTGCAAAACTTAAAGAAGTGAATGAAGAATTACAGAGAAAACAGGTATGCTCTTTTCTGAAAAGAAATCTTGGAATTTGGTGTGCAGCAAACTTGCTTAACCAATTCTTGGTTGCTGCAGGCTGAAATATTTGAAATGCAGAAAAATCAGGTGTGGACCTCTTTACTTGTATTGTTGCCTTTCACTCTAAACAAATTCATTTAATCAAATATTATATCCTTGGTTTTGTTTTAGAACCATCGCAGCTTGTATTTTTGGATCACAGTGTTATGGAATTGCCATCTTCTTTGTTTATATCCTTAGTTTGTTAACTTCTCCCTTGTCTTATCTCAAATTTAAATTTTTTGTGTTGTCATTGAAACAAGATGTCTTGTAATTACATAATTAGTTGCGTTGTTAGATTGATTGGAGGTATTTCAAAGCTCACTGCCCGTACCAATTCTTGCAGTTGATGAGTTGCGTTCTTTTTTAATGTAATGACTTCGCATTGCGACCTTAGCTTTGATCAATTTTGAGCAATGATATAGTTTGCTAACAGTATGGGGAAAAAATGTAAACAGCAATGAAGCAAAAGAAGGCAGATAAGGAAGGATTTGATAGCAAGCTAAAGTGCATTATCGAACCTTTTCTCTATACAGGCCTCATATTAGTCAGGAGGTGGCATAGTTCCTGAGTGAACTACTTTGTATCAGGAGTCGAAATGTGCTATTTCAGTGTAGTAGTAAATTCTGAAAATTATGCGCATCAACTTGATCGGTAAGGTCAGGGGACTGATTATCTTCTCTGTTTTTGCAGTTCTTAGAGACAATGAAAGCGCAATGGGGAGGTAAAAGACAATGCTTGCGAAGGACACTGACTGGGCCTTGGTAGAGTTGATTAACTTATTGTGGATAGTAGAAGCAGTGCTTGAACATGCAATCTTAGCCATTTGTGTGGTGTAAGGATTGGAATGTGCATATGTGATTTGCATCATATACTGCAACAGTAGGGTAGCTGTATGTGTAGGATCAGAAGGTTGAGTTGTAAATTATGACGTGAAATTGGTATATCTATTGTACATTAAACTTTCTTATCTACGTTGATCTCTGCTGTTTTTTGGTCGGCCAGTAGGTAGGTTCCCGAGGGTTACAACGTCTGCCTTTCCCCCCTTCCTGGTGCCATGTTAGCCCAAAAACTAGGCTAATTTCTGACCGGAATCTTGGTGTATATATATGGATAAAGATGAAAAATATATAATTACCGTTGAAAGGGGTGGAAGAGTTAAATCTTTTACTTTCGTCCCTCCATCTCATGGCATCGAACTCAAAAACGATAAGCATTTCCCTTGATGGATCGATATAGATTGTTATCCACGTTTGGCTGTGGGATGGGCATAGGTACATGTATGGAGTCATGCAGTATTTATGAGCGAAGCCGCAAGCACAAAATCGTTTTATCATCAGATGTATTAACATTTATTTGATACGCATTGATTAGTTTCTTTAGTGACAATCAGGCCATGTATGGATGCATAATAATCGTGAAAGATCGAACTGTCATAATATTTTTTTTTTCAAGAAGGTTTATTAGCATACAAAAAAGGGCAAAACATTATTTGGTCTTGGAATCCGAGTTCGACCAAAGAAGAAAGAGGTCAATCGATACTCGATGGTTTATGAATCCATCGATATCGATGATTGAGACATGAGGGCTCATGCGTGACTAATATAGCCAATCAATTCTCTACGGATGCCTGAACCCAATAAAGTAGGTTGTGCCAGACTCTAAAAACTTTGACCTGGTTAAGGGAGCTATGCGTCAGCTACGGAACTGAATGTTGGTCAGCGTAGCCAAGGTATTAAACCAGATGTTGGGATGAATAGCCAAAGCACAGTTTAAGGTTGGATTTTCTTTTCAGGTTACTCTATTGGCAAAATTCGAAATATTTAAACATAGTAATTTGTTACAGTTGTAGGACTTTTTCTTAGACACATATTTAATCAAGTTAGATACTAGTTATGTCATAGAATATATACATAATTTTTGTTATTAGTTGACATTTCACCAATCTTACAGAACCGTCTAAGGAATAACACTAATATATATATTAGTTTTGCCCTCTAGGGATTTTGGGCAGATCCTCCAATTCGCTTCTGGTTCTTAAGTATTTACTTTTAGATTGGACGCTACGCTTGATATGCATAGAATTTTCACAAAAATCATTAAAAAAAGGCCGAATAATGAAAGAATAAATAAATATCACAGTATTATAACATATAATAAAAGGAAATAAAGTTTCACTATAGCTAAATCTTTGCTACAATGAAACCAAAACGATGTAGTTTTGTGTCTTTTAGACTTAAAACGATCGTCGTTCTCCAAAAAAAAAAAAAAGTGATTTTTTTATTAATTTATCAGGATTTTATACTTTGATCTTCGAAGTTATTAATTTATATAAAACAATTACTAATGTTAATTAATATTATCAAAAGGTCCCTATCATATTTTTTTTCGGACCGGATTTTTTCATTAATTATTATTTAATCAAAAGAACTTTTTTCTCACCATCAATGGTTACTTTTCTATTTTTAGAAATATTCATGAACTAAAATTAAATATTCTTCTAATTTAAATTGATTATACACCTCCTTCTAATTGGATTTTTTAAAAATAAATAATTAATTGCATATATTTTTTATCTATTCAAATAAAAAATATTCCTAAAAAATATTTTAATTCAATTATATATATATATATATATATATATATATTAAATTAATTTTTTTTATAATGAGTGTTAATGAATTTTTATTTTACATTTTTATTTTGAAATTATTTAAAATATTAAAATATAGATGTGATAAACTTACCCACAGCAACAGGGCATGGAGCTAATATGTACTACATGGATATTTCAAGCTGCCATGCAATACCAGCGTAATTATTGCAGCTTCTCTTGGATCTCCACAAATCTATGGAAACCAGTAACAAGCTCTGATCAATTCTGTGCAATTCTCTTTCTCAGCTCAACATTCTCTCTCTGCTATGGTTTTTGGCCCATAAAAATATCGCCCTTTAACGGAAAATGAATAACTTCCGCTCATACACCACCTCGCACTTCCGCCGTCTCCCCAAATCCTTCTCTATCCGACGGAAAGTTCCCTGGTGGGACCAAATTCATGACCCTGGAAGTGAAATTGTTAGCAAATGGAACCACATTTTCCTTGTCGCGTGCATGATTGCCATGTTTCTTGATCCTCTTTATCTCTACCTTCCCATTATCGGTGGCGATGCCTGCATGAAGATTGACATTGCCTTAGGGGTCTGGGTTACCTTAGCTCGCACCTTCACCGACTTGTTCTTTTTCATGCACATTCTCATGAAGTTTAGAACAGCTTTTGTGGCACCAAGCTCGCGCGTTTTTGGTAGAGGAGAGCTTGTTATGGACCCTAGAGCCATTACTATACGCTACCTGAAATCGAACTTTGTTGTTGATCTTGCTGCTGCCCTTCCTCTGCCTCAGGTTAGCCACATACATACTGTTTTCATAATGTATACAAAGGATGTCATGAGTTCCTATATTGGAGAGACAATGAATAATGAGTTAGTTTGTTCTAGTAATGTTTCGAATTGGCTTGTTGAAAAGGGAAGATCATTTTTTAATCATTTTAATCGCTTACAATTTTAAATGACTGATTTTAAAAAACCTTTGTTGATCTTATAACATCATTCTTGGTTTTAGGGTTGACAAATATAAATGGGATTTATAGTGAATTTCGAAACGAAATAGTCATGCAAATTGTGATTATTAATTGCCTAGCAAATAAGTGGTCATTAGATGTTAGAAGACTGAATAATGCTCCACCGCTCTCTCTCTCTCTCTCTCTCTCTGTTGAATTGCTGGCCACAGTACTCTTAATTATTTTCATAGGCTACTTGCCAGCTGAAATGCATTATTGAAAATTACAGATTTTAACTCAAAGGAGTCTAATTATGCCCATCTATAATGGTCATGAGATATATTATGGATTACTTACAGTTTCATTTCCCTGCCCTATGCTTGTGTCAAGTAATGCTAAAGCTACAATCTTCTCCCACTTTGGGCCCATCAGTAAATGTCCTGCCTTGAACTCAGAGTTATAGTCGCAATCATTTGTTTATTATGAGTATTGACAAATGATTTATGAATTGGTGCAGCAAATTCCAAGTTTTAACTTCTCTATATATAAATGCACATTAGAAAGGATTCATTAATAATTAACTACTTTACATCTTTTTATAAGATGAGTTAGTTTGTTTGATCTGTTATGTTTTTGGAGTTAGTTCTCCCAGCATGATATAGTACCCACTGTTTCTTAGTTTCTTATCTTGATTTCACTTAATTTTGGCAGATTGTGATTTGGTTCATGATTACATCAGTACTGAAAAATCCAACAGCTGCTCATGCTAACCACACTGTTTCTCTGATAGTTCTCATCCAATACATTCCTCGATTTTTTGTCATGGTTCCTTTGAATCGACGGATTGTTAAAACTACTGGGGTTATAGCCAAGACTGCTTGGTCCGGGGCAGCTTATAATCTCCTTCTCTATGTTCTTGCTAGCCATGTAAGCACCAATTAATTACCACTCCAAGTTTGCTTAAAGTTAATGTACGAAACGTTTTCTTTTGCAGAGTAAATTAAATCCTGTATAAAGTTTTGCTCATTTGATTGCTGTTATCATCATGGTCAGTGCAGGTTTTAGGAGCTATATGGTATCTGGCATCAATTCAGAGGCAGCATCAATGCTGGGATATACAATGTAAAATTGAGAAGCATCGCACACCAGCTTGTACCCCTATATTTCTGGACTGTAGTAACAAGAATAATCCTGAACGCCAAACTTGGCTTAGATCCACTAATCTGCTCACAAATTGTGATGCCCAAAATGATGAAAATTTTCAGTTTGGGATGTTTGCCGAAGCCTTCACAAATCATGTTGCGGAAGCATCTTTCATTGATAAATATTTCTATTGTCTTTGGTGGGGATTGAGAAACCTAAGGTATGGTTTGTTTTTTGCCTCTCTTTTAATTCCTCAATTAATCTGATCTTGGGTCTAGCTATTTCCTATTCTTTTTGTTAGTTTGTTTCTGGTTCTGGCTACCACTAATGCTGAGCAACCAAAACACAAGACCAAGGATCATTTTACCTTCTATTTTTATTTTTTGAGATAAGCTTTTCCAAGTTGCAAAACTTTTTTACTTTTTTTCTTTCGAGCTTACAAGTTCTGTAATAAAGATAGTTTTGTCTCTTGAAGTTAATTTGGAATAGATTTTAATTAAGATTTTCTATAGCAGTTCCCTAATGTAAGCATTTAACAAGTATGCCAAGGATAAATCGTCTTGTCTTCCAGGGATTAAGAATTTGGTTCAGTGAAAAACAGGACAGCACTTTCCCCTAGTTTCCTTAAAACTTTGATTTCTCTCCCCGCATTCCTAGCTAGCTGACTTGCAATTAGGGGTGAGCATTCGGTTAAACGGTTTGGTTTTTGGTTAATCAAATTAAAAAAAATAAAAACCAAAACCGAATCGAAATAAATTCAGTAAATTCGGTTTGTAACCGAATTATTTCGATTTGGTTTCGAAATATTTCGGTTTTAACCAAAATATTTTACTATAAAAAAAAATTATTACAAAGAGATGTTTTGTACTAGCACTTAGTCCACTAGCCAATGAAGTAACATCTTGTTATCAATTAATCCTTTTTATAAACAATCACAAAGCCCTTGAAGATTTTAACTAAGCTTTAATGAAAACGAGTCAAAGTGTAATAAATTTGCTCATTCAAACACACTCGTATCCCAATTAATTACACTCTGTGACTTTCTTTTCTTACCCCAACTGTCCTCAAAATTTACTTCTCATCTGCGTGTTTCAATTTCAACAAAAATGAAGATTGAAAAGTTAGGGATTTAGAAATTAAGAAATTTTTTACTTTTTATTTCGGTTTTTGGTCGAAAACGAATTTTTTTTTCTAAAAACCAAACCAAAACGAAATAATTTCGGTTTTTTCGATTCGGTTTTATATTGTATAATTTTATATTTAAAACCGAATCAAATTTCATAATTCGATTCAATTTTAGTCGATTTTCGATTAATCGAACCGTTTGCTCACCCCTACTTGCAATTGATATTTTACCATGTACTATATATTATTGAAATATTGTTTTGATGTTTGTGCTAATAAAGTTTTCAACCATTTTGTGAGGAGCAGTTCGTATGGACAAGATTTGATGACAAGTACCTACGAGGGCGAAACATTATTCAGCATTGGAATTAGCATTATGGGTCTAGTTCTGTTTTCACATCTCATAGGCAATATGCAGGTATAATAACTATGTATCTACATATACATAAACTTTATTATATTAATGTACTGATGTTTTCTTTCATCCTCTTATATCTGCTTAAAATAAAGTTTAAGACGATAATATTTTGAATTCCTTGGTCTGTTGCTGCTGTATTGTTCGTGCACAATCTATTAACATTTATATAACATCTTTTACTTGTCAGGAAAAAAAGTAGAGGAAGTCAATGTTGTTTTCACTTAAAAAAAGTAATTCTATTACCACAACTTAATTCTCTGTTATTTCCCTGCAGACCTATATGCAATCCGCAACTGCTAGATTGGAAGAGTGGAGGATTAGGCGAAGAGACACAGAGGAATGGATGAGGCACCGTCAACTACCTCTAGAGTTGCAAGAACGTGTTCGCCGTTTCGTTCAATACAAATGGTTGGCTACGAGAGGCGTAGACGAAGAAAGCATCTTGAAATCCTTACCTATGGATATCCGACGTCAGATTCAACGGCATCTCTCTCTGGCTCTTGTTCGACGCGTGAGTTTTCGAAATTGGATGCCCTCGAGTAATGTGAAATTACTAGTAGCGCGGTCTGAAATTTCATAATTCTGCTGTTTGTTCCTCAGGTCCCATTTTTCGCTCAAATGGATGATCAACTGCTAGATGCAATATGTGAGCGTCTTGTGTCATCTTTGAACACCAAAGACACGTTCATAGTCCGGGAGGGCGATCCGGTGAACGAGATGCTTTTCATCATTAGAGGACAGTTAGAAAGTTCGACAACAAATGGTGGAAAGTCAGGATTTTTCAACTCCATCACACTCAGGGCTGGTGACTTCTGTGGTGAAGAATTGTTGACATGGGCTCTAATGCCAACCTCTCGCCTGAATTTACCTGTATCCACTCGAACTGTGAAGGCTCTCTCTGAAGTGGAGGCCTTTGCACTTAGAGCCGTAGACCTCAAGTTTGTTGCTAAGCAATTCAAACGGTTGCATAGCAAGAAATTGCAGCATGCTTTCAGGTATTACTCTCATCAGTGGAGGACGTGGGGAGCTTGCTATATACAATCCGCATGGAGGCGATACACAAGGAGAAAACTACAAATGGAATTGGCTAGGCAAGAGAGCTTATTTTATTCTCAAGTTTTGGATGGAGAGGTGGAATATTATTACAGTGATGACGGTGGTGATGAAAGATCATTAGTGGACAGTTCAAACAGTGGTTCGCATCTTACAGCAACCATGCTAGCTTCAAAATTTGCTGCAAATACAAGAAGAGGAGTTGGCCATCATAAGCTTTCTAGGCTCGATGATTCCACCTTACAAATGCCCAAGTTTTTCAAACCAGAGGAGCCTGATTTTTATGCAGAACATGAAGATAGTTAATTAATTATTATTAATGCATTCTATCAGAAGATAACTACATGGTCAACATTATCAGTAGTTTATAGCGTTTACCTCACATTTGACAAAATTCTGATGACCAAAATATACATCAATGAAAATTTCTTGATGTAAGAAAGAAGTCTTGAAAAAAAAAAAAAAAAAAAAAAAAACCCAAATGCAAAGGAGATGGAGACCCAATCAGAGGCATTGGAAAAAAGAAATAAACTAAAGACAAGTGACCATTGTTCAGAACCATAGTCAATTCTCACCGAATACAACAAAAATAAGTTGGAAAAAACTGAATCAACAATAACAGTACGACTTGGAGAAATTGTAGAGAATCAGAAGTGAACGATGGGTGTCTAAAAAAATCAAGTTAAGCAGACAGTACCAAACTCTGTTTTTTTTCTTCAAAGAGGAAGATGCATCTTTTTTTTTTTTTTTTTTTTGAATAAAAACAGTATTGACCGTATACTGGCTGCGAGAAAGGGGAACTGAAAATGTATGAACGATCTGCATTGTGTGTAAAAAAGATAATTTAAATATTGTCAAAACCAATGTTATATGATTGAACCATAATGAGTTCTAGCAACACCATTTGTTCAAAAGGATAGAAAAAGTAGCTCACCATTTATATCAGGATTTAAAACTGTAGAAAGCAAGTGTCATTCATCTTTTTAATTACGCTTGAGCACAATATAAAAGCATCACTATAAAGCAGGAGTAAATAAGGGTTGTAAGTAATATATGCAGTTGTGAGCGAACACAATGAGAGATGCGATACAAATGGTGCAACTAAAGCAAAACAACAAACAGAAAAATATGCAAAGCCATGTGCAATAAGCATAAACAAGTTAAAAATTATGAAGAGCCACGATAACCTCATCGTGTGCTAAAAGGCATATAGAGTCTGACATGTTTGAACATCAAAACTTTGAGCAAGCGCAATGAAATATATCTACACGGATCTCTGTGCTCTTTAATTGATCAAAGGACAAAGCACAAAGACTGAGAGCAACACACACACATATATATATTCTTGACGCTCCAAGTAGAAAAATTTCAAAGCATCAAAATAGAATAAAAATATATAAGATAAAAAGAATATCACTCGAAAAATGTAGGAAAACATCTCAATGAACAAAAAAATTGATCGACAAAGCATGCAAGATAACATATGCATAGCCAAAAAAAAAAGACACATATCATTCAAAGAGAAATCAATAAAACAATATTGGTTGAAGCAACGAATAGCACTAGACGCCAATTGAGAAAAAACAATTACATCTAAAATAAAACAGTGAACGAGCATTAACGGATGTGGGAAAAAAATGAATAATGCAAAAAAAAAAAAAAAAAAAACAGTGGTAAGAAAGAACAATCAAGCAAACACAGTGAAAAAATAAATAACAAAAAATAGGCAAGAAAAGAGCACACTTCTAACAACCAGAACAACAAACAACAACACTACAAGAAGCGAAGAAGCTGGTCGACATACTAGAAAACTGAAAATAAAAAAAGAGCATACAACAAAGACATAACTAATGTTCACCCAACCATCGTTCAAATCCTTGGAAAGAAATACAATAAATAATAATTCGTAAAATTGATCAGCCACGGGAAGAACAAACAGAGATAGGAAAGTTGTTGGGGATAAATTTCAGACACTACACAAATATAACAACAAGGAAATTACTTAAAGAGGGAGGAGACACAAGAACACTTGATAAAAGCCCTTTGATGTTATCTCACTAGCTGGTCTTGTAATCCACCTTGTTTGTTTGTGATGATATTTGTATTTTGAGCCAAGGAAATTGATTTCATCATGTTTGTAGATGTAGCATGCTCTAGTTATCAAGAGCATAACTTACTTTGTAATTTTATTGATATAGTGGATGAGTTTGAATGAAAAAATAAAAAATAATGTTGGAAAGCAAACTTAATTATGGTTCGGGTTCCTATCTTGGGGATAAATTTCAGACATTACACAAAGATAATAAGAAGGAAATTGGAAAGGGAGGAGACACAAGAACACTTGATAAAAACCACTTTGTTTATTAGAAATTTAACTCACTTCATTCTACATAACACCAAATCACTTATAACTATATATAGAGATACTAGACATCCCTTAATTATTACATATAGAATACTAAACATTATATTAATGACACATCACGCATAACTCGGGTTCATGAATGTAATGACTATATTCATACTTAGCCATAATTAAGTTTAATTTCCAACATCTCTTGTAAACTTAATTATCTAATTATCATAACTTTTCAAAAAATTACTTGGTCCACATCCAAGAGGAAAATCTCGAATAGCAAAAACTCTTCTTGGAACTCTAAAATTTACTCCATTAGTGCTCGATTCTCTAGATTACATTTCTTTTAGTTTCTTCTTCTATTCTTGCATTTCTTGGACAACATTATCATAATCTTGCCAATTGCATAGAGGCTGTTACAACGAGGAAAAAAAAACAAAAAAAGTTGCAAACAAAAGCATTGAATAATAAACAAGGCTAGAAGCAAAAACATGTAAAATCTAAACTTAATCATACGCAAGCCATTCATTAATAGAAGATACTTTGACCGTATAAAATTTAAAATCCAGAAAAAGTGATGGTCTAGTTAGACCAACCCATCAGACCATATGGATCCGAGCGGCACCGGCCCGTTATCCTTCCACTGTCAGGAGCGGAAGGTTTGTCGCTGCTCTGTGAAGCCAGCCTCACGCATTGCCCTTCACTTTAGGAACCATGTCGCCCAAGCTTTCGCTTAGAAAACATGGCTCAGCTACTGGCTTGGAGCGGGCAGGCCGGAGGATCGTCACATCGAACCTAGCCTTTTGGGCCGTATCATTATCCCATCACCTTAGGGCCTCCACTTGGATCACAAGCACACGCAACCGTGCTCGGCAATCCTTCTCGATTGGCGTGTCACTATAGAGTGCGAAAGCAAGGTCTTTATTCCCGGTGTGGGATTTTTCTCCTTTCGAGTTCCATAGTTTCCGTTGCTTGCAGCTTCAGTGGTTGAAGCTTGCTCACTAAACTCAATATCTTTTCTTTATTGTTCTTATTTTATTTTCCTACTGATACTTATTCTATCAGACTGCAGATCATTGTTCCATTTACATCTTTTATTCCAATTTACACCTTGAAAAAGCAAAGTTAAAAGGGTTAAAAATTTCTCTATGACCTCTTGAAAACCAAAGGGAAATGTAAGTTATAAATGACTCGCGTTTGATAGCGAATAGTATAATGCAAATAAAAATAAAATAACAATTGGTAAACATGCTAATTTAACATTTCATTTTTATCAAAAATTAAACTTCAGAGGGAATATGCTGTGATACACACATTGAAGTCTTAATTTTAGGGAATTTCATTACTTATGGACAACGAGAAAAAGTAAACATTAATAATTACATGTAGAAACTCAAAGCCTTGACATTGCCAATGCAGCCACAGCAAAATCAGGATAAAAGAGCAGCTGGTGTACCCAGTTGTCTTACATAGAGTCATTTTCTATGTCAGTTCATCCTGATTGGCAATTTGGCACTGAATTAACATCTCAAGCTTGCCAATAAGTCTTTTTTTCCCACGAACATTTGGAGATGTTAGCTTCAGCTCACAATCAATACGTCTTGCGTAATTAATCACCATTGGATGAGTTGCTTTGGGCTTTACAGGCAAGGAAATGTCAACTCTCCCTCATTCTGGCATCCAAAATGCAACTAGGACTCTCACTCTCTTGGATGCTCTGGGCAAGCACCTCAGGGAGAAGATTTTCTTCTTAATTAGCTGATATGAATTGCAGCAGAGTGTTCTCCATGGTACAGGGATCTTGAAAAAATTGCATTTCATCTAGGAGGACCTGATGCACTCAACTCCTAGGATTGTTGAAAACAAGGTCTGCAGCTAAACTTCTTGACCTTGCACGCCTGAAAAGCTCGCTTACAATAGCCAATATTCCAAATCCTGTTACGTTAGAAAGTCCCCTGCTTCTGATCAATTTACCATCTATAACTACTTTGGAGCCATTACTACATTGTTTAGCTTGGTCACCGCAGAGGGATGTGCTGTTGCTCTCGGATCCTATAGTTGGCAGGAAAAGCAGATGCTTTAGCATACTACTCTTTAGAAGATAAATTTCAACAAGTTCAAATTATCTTCAGTAAACCCTGACATGTGAGGGGTTGAATAGTGAATTTCACTGTTCAAAAGCCATGTCTTTTGGTTTCATTTGTAATGATCAGAAAACTACGATCCGAGAACCAGAAAATGTGGATGATAAGATAGCTGATGCCATAAATCTTGGGATTCCAACAAGATGCAGGAAATACTTCTTCAAGAAGCTACTTCAAGCAAATGATTAAACTAGGCATAAATACAAAAGTATCAGAAAGCTCTCGTAGCAACCATAAAATAGATGAAAAACAAATGCAAAATGGTTTTCAGATATGAGGAATTCTTGTTACTATGTGCTCACATTCCCACTAAGTCTGCTCCTCATCTACGCAAGCTAGCTATCAGTACAATTAATCACCCCTACCAAATTTCCTCCAGTTTGTCCTTGGTATGTCGTATTTTTTTTAATAATCCTCCTATCCAAATCTTTACATGAGAAAAAAAGTAGCGATGGCTTTGAAGATTATGAACTTGATCTCTTTCCCCTCTATAAAAATACTGTATCAGAAGACGGAAAGAACAATCTGAATTCATAAACAATATTTGAACTCCAATTTAACTAAAAGCATAAAAATGTTTAATAAATTTTCAAGGCATTTAATTTCAAAATTCTGCTCAGACCAAGCGGAAAATAAAAGTGGAGGTCCTCAGACCAAGTGGACCCGCCGCCCTCTCCATCTCCTCTTGGGCACAAGGAAATAAAAAGTGGTGGTCCAGTTAAGATAAGCCTATCAGACCATATGGACCCGAGTGGCACCGGCCCGTTATCCTTCCACTGCCAGGAGCGGGAGGTTGTCGCTGCTCTGTGAAACCAGCCTCACGCATTGCCCTCCGCTTTAGGAACCCCGTCACCTAGGCCTTCGCTTAAATCACATGGCTCATCTCTTGGCTTGGAACGGGCAGGCCAGAGGATCGCCACGACGAGCCCGGCCTTCTGGACTATATCCATGTTCCACCACCTTGATGCCTCCACTTGGATCACAAGCCCACGCTACTGAGCTCGGCGATTTGTCTCGTTTGTCGTGTTCTATATAAAGTGCAACAGCGACTTGTTTTTTGTCGATGTGGGATTCTGCTCCCACGCTTCAAATTTACACCTTCAATAAGCAATGCAGAAGGGATTGAAAATGTTTTCAATGAATTCGTTCAAAACTAAGAAAGTGCAAAGTTTCCATCTAAGACTGAACTTGGGAGCAAATGGTGTGATTCAAATCAAAATCAGAGTTTTTAACATCTATCAAGTCAAACAAGCACTAATTCAAAAGGGGAAAAAAGCTGTTATACAAATGGTAGCCTCCTGTATAGTTGAATTAAGCAGCCAAAAACATAAAATTTCAAAACCTGATTTTTATGTTATTGTCCTTGCACTTCTGAGTGACCCACGAGTTTCTAAAAACAAGGCATGAAAAAAGCATGTCTGATCAATATTATATTTTATTACATTCCTGACAAGAAGAAGAAAAACTTAGCTATATATATATATATATATATATATATTGTAATTTACGTTTGAAAAAATAAAAGAAAAAGACTTTTGCATTCTGTATTGTATTGTCAATCATCAACCAACCTAGATATAAAGATGCGTGTTCTGTTTTGTATACCATTACGAAACACAGTACCGTCTCGACCTTTTGTTCCGTCACGTCGCTTCCGTATTGTTCCGTCCTGTCCATTCTGTTTCGGAACAGAAACCAAAAGTTATCTAAGAACTTATTAGTGCCGTATATGGTGGCAGAAAGGCACCAGAGCAACGCTACTTCAGTAGTTAGTACTGCCTGTTGGAGCAAAAGATGGTTTGCTCAACTGGGGATACTTTTAACCATTAATCTGGCAGCTTAAATGTCGATCAAATGATAACTTTCGGGTTCGTCGCTGCATTTTACTGGTTGGAAAAATTGGACGGATGTTTTTTCAGACACAGCAACAACCAATGCTGAATATTCAGTAAAGAACAGGCAAGCATGAGAGGAAATATATATGGTTAAGGTAAATCTCGGCAGCATCTTAACCACACATTAAAGTTTAATTTAAGTTAGGAATCTTTATTATTTGTCGGCAACAAGAAAAAGTCAATAATACAGGCAGAAACTGAAATCCCTGATGTTGCTAATGCAACATGAGCAAGATGGGATAAATCGAAGCCGCTGCGGTGCCCAGTTGTTACCTGGAGCCATTTCTATCTCAGCTCATACTGTTTGGCACCGAATTATCATATTAAGCTTGCAAATAAGTCTGTTCCTCAGCGGACATTCGGAGATGTTAGCTTCAGCTCGCAATCAGAGCACCGCTTCTGTTAATTACCATTGGACGAGTAGGTTTGGGCCCCGCGGACAGGCAAATTTAAACTCTCCCACGTACTACCATCCAAAAAAGCAACCAGGATTCTGTAACTGGACGAACTTGACTCTCTTAAATATCTATCAGGCAAGCACCTCAGAAAGATGATTTTCTTTCTCAGCCGGTTAACATGAGTTCAGGGAATAGACTGTTTTCCACGGATCAGGGTTCAGGGATGTTCCAAATTGCCTTTAATCCACAAGGACCTGATGGCTTAACTCCTAGGATAGTCAAAAACAAGGCCCTCAGCTACACATCTTGTCCTTGCATGACCAAAAAGTTTGCTCACAATAGCCAATGCAAAATCTGTTACGGTAGAAAGTCCCTTGCTTGTGATCAATTTACCATCAATAACTACTTTGGCGCCATTTACAACATTGTTTAGGTTGGTCACAACAGAGGGATGAGCAGTGGCTCTCTTATCCTATAGTTGGGAAGAAAAGCAGATTCTTTAGCATACTGTTGTTTAGAAAAGAGATCTCCATCAGTTCAAATTAGCTCTAGATACCGGGAATTATCCTCCTCCGTCTCACAAAAACATGGGACCTACTTCATGTTTTTGTGAGAGAGCGGAGTACAACTCCTAGCATACCTAATAATTTCTCACCTTTAGTAAACCCTGTCTGTGAAGAATTGCAGGGGAAGAGCAAACTGCTCCAAATATCCTGCCAGCTGCGTCTTGCTCTTGGAGCAGCTTCTTTAGAACCTTAGATTTGTGTAGCCGCTCAGCCCCAGCATTTCCTCCCTAAAAGCACACAGAAAATCAAAACTCTTCAAGGACATAAAGCGAACACGAAATTACATGTCAAAGAACACATTGGAATTTCACAAAAAAAATAAAAAAATAATAATAACAAAATAAATAGGAGAGAGTGAACATACTGGATACCAGACTCAACTTCCAGAAAGATCTATAATATTTAGCAAAAGCCAAAATTTTGGAATGTAGTACTTCTTGAGACACTTCATCCCAAGAAATGTGGTATGGCGTTAACCTGAGCAAATGATAATGACTAATGCAATAATTTTAGTAGCCCAAGCCACTGACGGGATTTTCATGAGATGTAGCAAATTAACATGACGCTGAAGTTAAGGCTACCAATGTACTCAAAGCCCTATTATGTTATTTGATTAGTTTGACTGCACCCAAGGAATCTGTTGATATCAAAGTGGGATTTCCAAAGACTTTAAAACCCTCACAATTCTATTAGGAAAGAATGCAAGGAAAGCAAATTTGAATACTTATAACAAATGTCGAGTTGTCTTACTGGAAGAATGATTAGATCATATACTGATTCAGCAGCATCACCAATTAACTTGTCAGCAACAATTTTTATGCCTTGTGATGCCAAAATTTGCACCGAACTTTCTATTGAAGCTACCACAACATCCACCTTTGCCCGCCTTAAAATATCTACAGTTGTAACTATTTCAATCTCTTCAGAACCATTTGCAATTGGAATGAGAACCTGTTTGACATTTGGAAGATTAATTTGATGATAATTAAGAAGAAACTCAATGCAATATGGATGATAAGGCAAAAAATGCAATAAATTAGGACCGAAAGAGGGTGTGGGAACTACTTCTTCATGAAGCAACTTTACACAAATGATTAAACTAGACATGCATTCAAAAATATCAGAGCGCCCATCTAGCAACAAAAAAATGCAAAATTGTTTCAATTATGAGGAGCTCTTGTTTCTAATGTGCTCCACATCCCCACATCGAGTGTCCTCCAGGCAAAGAAGATTATAAAACCAATTTGGTGATTAACAGAAACAGGATGATAGAAGAAACTTACACGAGGATTTTGATCAAAAGACCATTCAACTTTGTTATATTCTTCTTTTCTCTGGGTATCGTCATCAGCTTGCATCAGCTAATATAAGGTGTAAAGGGGTATTAGCTCAAGATGATTAACCACAAAGCATCTTACAAAAGTGTAAAACTTGTAAGAGAAGACAAGGTGAGGTGACAAGTGAAGCTTTTACCAAATAGATGAAAACAGCTAACCTGATCTATGCAAGCCATAAACAAAATTAATCAGTTATCACATTTCTCTTCTTTTTGTCATTTGTATGCTGTACATTTTTTAATAATCCTATCCAAAATAATTTCATGGCTTAAAAGTAGTGACAGCTTTGAAGATATGAACTTAACGAAGATATCACAATCTCTTTGCATTCCATGCTAGAAACCTTGAAGGATCGTTATTCTAATTCATACTGCTTCATTTATAGCATCCAGACTTTCTTTCCCCTCTATAAAAATAATGTATTAGAGGATAGAAAGAAATCCATCGGATCCTTCCATAACCTGACTAAAAAAAAAACACCTTGAATAATTCATATTGCTTTCTGCAGAATTTCCTGTGTTAAGATCCTAGTACTCGAAAGGATAATAGAGATTTTATGAGCCTGTTATTAGGCATTTCATTTCAGAATTCTGCACAGAATCTTCAAATGTATGAAAACAGTTTGCTAATTATCCCCGTTCATTTCAACGGATCATGTCAATGAAAAACAGCAGAATTTAAATCATGATTATACACTGCTGAAAAAGGTAATTTTAACCTCCTCTCATTTAGTAAGAACAGGTTCATAGTAAAGAAAGGCACAACTAAGCTGCACATGCTTCCAATGCACTTAAGATAATGACAGGAACTTGATTTCCAAAATGCTCTGTTGACACATTCTAGAAGAGTAAAAATGAAACTGGCCAAGCAATTAAACTTACCAACAATTGTCCAACCTCCTTGGCAACAGACTCTCCAAACAGCTGATCTACTAAGGATAGAGCAAACTCGAAAGAAGTACCTGGACCCCGGCTTGTTGTAAGCTCTCCTGAAACTTGAATTTTTGACGAAACAGCCCAGAAAGTAGGAAGCTTGTCCATAAATGCAGGGTGACATGTCATCTTACATCACATGCTACAGCACAATTAGACAACCAAAATACATTCATGTGTATTCAACAAAATTCAAGCAAAAGCAACCCATAAAAGCCACCTGCTTTCTCCTCAGAAGGCCCCATGGAAGAAGAGTGACTGCTGGAGCGGCACATATAGCTCCATATAATCTCTTACCCTCAGCTTGTTTGCTTGTAATTTGCCTGAGAACTTCACAATCTCTCAACCTTGCGGAGCCTGGCATTCCTCCCTTAAAACCATTCACAACGTAAGCCTTCCATACAAATTACATGGCCAAATCAAACTACAAGAGATACAATCGTATTCCAAATAAAATTTACTGAACTAACTCCCTGTTACAGCACGTAAGCCTTCCATACAAATTACATGGCCAAATCAAACTACAAGAGATACAATTGTATTCCAAATAAAATTTACTGAACTAACAAGCGAACTAACTCCCTATTACAGCACCAAAGTAAGCACAATCTTCCAAATAGTGTCATTAAGTATACCTGTTTCTTATACTTAACATTGCATGTATACCTATTTCTTTACTTGCACAATCATAAATAAACTAAACCATACTTTTTATCATTTCTCGTGCGTGTTAATCACTAACCAACCATTGATTGAAAAAATTCAAACATACGATATATGATATATTTGCCCCAGCTACATTATCAATGAGAAATAAAATATAGAAATCGTGAATTAGTTTGCCAACCATGAATGATTCAAGTTTTTTTTTTTAAAAAAAAAAAAAAAACTAACCGGCAAAGCAACAAGATCAAAAACTTCATTAGCACATTTAGCGATAGAGGTATCAGCAACAATTCTAGTGCCACCTGCAGCTTCAATCTCGAGCTGTGGTTCTACAGAAGCAAAAATCACCTCTGCACCAGCTCTCCTCAAGACATCAACTAAAACAACTGCTTCCATTTCTTCTGTACCAAACCCAATTGGCACCAGAACCTATCAATCCCCACCAGAAACAAACATTTAAAACCCATAAAAAGAAGAAGAATCAAAATTTGATCACTACAAGTTCATGTAGGCAATAGTAACATCAATTTTATAATTTCATGTCAAAAGGGAAATTTAGAATTCTTGAATACAAAACAATAATATTAAATATAAATTGTAAAGCTATGAATATTTTTTTGGTCATAACTTATAAGCGTTTTAACGTAAAAGGGTATAGGGTTTTAGCAAAAAGGCACCTTTTTGAGAGGGAGGGAGACTGGGGTGCTTGTTTCTCGAGTACTTGTTGAAGTTGTGGATAATTTTGGAGATGGGGCTTTGTTGGGCTTTGAAGAAGAGCGTTTTCTTGTAGAGGGTGTTTTTGGCTGTGGAGAAGAGGTCGTGGAAGCAGATGATAAAGAGAAAACTCTCGTTTTTGAGGCAGAAATTGAAGGCAGTTTCTTGAAAGGGAAGAGCTTTGTAGGAGATGGTGAGAGAAGACAAAACATAGAATCCATTGATGAATGGAAGTATCACTTTGGAGCTTGCAGTGCTAGACTGTTAAGGTAGAGAGGTTCCGCTTTGTTTGAATCTTATCCCATGCGTAAAACAGTTTGGCTTAGCGGCAGTACTAGCTAGTGTTCCACGGCAGCGTTTCCTCATGAGCAGTTGTTTTTTATTTTATTACATATATATGTGTGTGTGTAATTAGATTAAGCAATTTCGATAACAGAAATGATTGGTTAATTATGATTTACCTCCAAAATAAATTGTAGTTCTAAAAATGTCCCTGAGTCCAATAAAAAATTAAACTCATATTATCAACAATTTCATTCACTATGAATTACGACGTGTTACGTTTCTAAATAATGAAATCACACAAATTGATATTCTCACTCTTAGTGTCTTTTTTCAATATTTGGATTTTGAATTTGTTAAAGTAATATTGAATATTTTTATCCATTAAATTATTCCGTGGTAAACAATTAAGTAATTTTTTTTTTCCAAATGAAAAATGATCAAGTCTAATATTACGAGAACTCATTTTCGTAATTTATATTTTTATGAAATATGTTAAATTTTTAAGAAATAGTAATTTTTATTAATTATCAAGGATGTATCATTCAATTGAATTTGAAATCAACTCAAAATATAAAATTAATTACATTTGCAAGTTAGAATCATTCTTTTCACTTCGCAAAACGTGAACTATAAATTTTTAAGTATAAGAAAATTATTTCCAATTAATTATTTCAACTCATACCAACAAACCTCAAAATTAGTAAAAGTAGCACCATATGCACCGTTCAAAATTTTATATGATCATTCATTGGTTTACTATAAACTGAGTTTAATCTATCATTATATGTTAAAAAGATAATTTCTTAATTTGTTCTTATATTTTTAATTAAGTTAATTTATTTTTAATAAATAAGTTAAGTTTTTAATCTATTTTTTGTCTAAATTTTCATATTAAACTATCAAAATTATTAATGTGACTTACACATAACTAATTTTTATTTTCAAATTATCGCTGTCAATCGAGTAAAAGACTTTCACATGCAACTCACACAAATAATTTCGATTATTTGGCATGAAAAATCTTAAAAAAGAAACACATAATTTACCCCAAAACTATTATTTTTGTGGCAAAATAAAACTTATGTTGTAAAAAATAATAATTACACTATAAATATGCCAACTTTTAATTTTTTTGTCAATCTAATATATAAATTTTTTTTTTATTTGAGTATATCAATTTTTTTAAAGCTGTCATTTGAGTATTTCGTCAATTTTTTCGTGAACTAGCAATATATCTATTACCCTAAAAATACCAAATTATAATTTTTTTTAATAGAGTATATGAATTTTAATTTTTTCGATTAAGTATACTAATTTTTTTCAAAACTGTCACTTAAGCATTTTCATCATCTCTTCGTTAATTAATTACGTGTTTTAATACAAAATCATAATTTTATCTTCTTTTTGTATAATTGAACTTTCTCTCAAAATTAAAATTTGATAAATAATTTAAAATATTATTTTTTAGGTATAAAACCGCAAACCAAACTCAATCAGAGTTGTCGTTAAAAAAATATATATATACACTTGATTAGACTTAAGAGTAAGATTTGAACAAAAACACAAATGAATATTCTCAATGAATAATCTCATGCCCGTATTTTATTTTACTTTTATTGTCAAAACCTAACTGATTTTTTTTTTTAATAGCAAGCTTAATCGAGTTTAATTTGAAATTTTATAACTAAAAAATAACTTTTAAATTTTTTGTCAAATTTTAAAATGATAGAATAATGTAAAAAGAAAGTTTGTTACAACAAAAGAAAGAAAAATATAATTTGGCATTTGAATATATCATTAATTAATGAAAAAATTAATGAAAATACTTGATTGATAGTTTTAAAAAAATGACATACTCAATGAAAAAAATTAAAAGTTCATGAACTATATTGAGAAAAAAGAACAAGATTATGATTTTTTATTATGATGATAACTAACGAGTTATTAGTGAATGAAAAAATTAACAAAAATACTCGATTGGTAGTTTTAAAAAAGTTAGTGTATTCAAATAAAAAATTAAAATTTATATATTTGATTGAAAAAAGTTGAAAGTTGGTATAGTTATAATGTAATTTTTTCATCGTAAAAAAAACTTAAAATTATGTCATTTTAAGTAATTCATCTTTTAATTTTTTTTTAAATAATATTAGTTAGTTTTAAGGAAGCTTAGATAATTTTGTTATTTATAAATTTAACTTTTGTGATTGGATAACTAATTATGTGTAACAGATTTAATTAGTAAAAAAATTGAATTATTATTTTTTTAGAAATTAATTTTAATTTAAAAAATTAAAATAGTTAAAATAATATCATCTTAAATATTTCATCTTAAGGTCAATATTTTGACCAATAGATATAACGAAAAAAGATAAAATTTATCTAAACATTAATAATTTAAGATTAAAAAACTCAAATTAATAATCTAGATTTTATTTTGACACAATACTAATAGTTGGGGGTTGAATTATGTCATTAAACTCTTGAAAATCCCATCTTAATAATAAATTAGATAGTTAGTTGCTTGTTTGGTAATCGGGAATAGAGTAGTGGGAATGAGAATATAAGTTTTATTCCCACATTGTAGACTGTTTGGTTAAAATGAATGAAGTGAGAATGGGAATGAAAATTTATACATAACTTCATTCCCACGTAAAATGTGGGAATAAAAAACAAGGAATGAGAATGAATTTTTTTTAAATAATAATATATTTTATTTATTTATTATCCGTTAACTACTTTTGTCACCATCACTACAACTACCACCATCACCACCATCACAACCACAACCATTACTACCACCACCATCACAACTACAACCACAACCACCATCACCGCAACCATCGCAACCACTATCATAACCACCACTACTACCACCACTACCACCACTACAATCACTACCACTATTAACATCATCACAACCACCACCATCATCACAATCATCATTATCACAATTACAATCACCATCACTACCGCAATCATTACCGCCACCACCACCACAACCATCATTATCACAATCACAACCACCATCACTATCGCAATCATTGTCACCATCACCACGACCATTATTATCACAATCACAACCACCATCACTATTGCAATCATTGCCATCATCACCACGACCATTATTATCACAATCACAACCATCATTACTATCGCAATCATTATCGTCACCACCACCACTACTAGAACTACCACAATCATTACCATCACCTTTATTATTTTTATAACTATTATAGTTTAATAAAATTATTTTTTATATTTGTATACAAAATCAGATATTAAAAAATTTTAATTGCATTTCAATTTCTTATTAGTATTCTAAACACGGTATTAGAATACAAATACCATTTCGATTTCTTAATTTTCATTTCGATTTCTACATTCTTATTCCTATCACTTTATTTTCGATTATCAAACATCGTATTAATGTATATTTAAAAAGTAAATTCCAAAGGTAACAATTGAAGTTTAAAAAATGCATAAACAAAAAGTTGCGGAGAAAAAGGTTTTTTTTTTAATCGGGAAAAGCATTGCCGAATCTGAAGATAAGCAGAAAATGGGAATGGATATGCATTCCACACAAGCACGAGACCCAGATAGACAACAACAGAAAGGACAATAACAACCATACTAACAGTGTCTAAATCAAGATATTAGAGGTTTGTGTGAAAACAGAGAGAGACCTAAAAAACACTAAAAAATATGATAAGGAATTTAGCAAGAAAAGCAGTGTCATTTACTTCAAATCCATGGAGATCATCAAAACCAATTCAGCTTCTCCAGAAAAGAGACTTCGGCTTAGGAGTCCTTCCGGATGGAGTGGACAGAAACTCTGAGGCCTTTGCGCAGAACTCTAAGGCCATGGAGGGTCGTATTTCACAACTCCAATCCCATATAAGCAAGGTTCGTGTTCACATAGTTATATATGGTTTTGTCTGTCTTTGTTTGTTTTTATATGTTGGGTTTTGAGACGGGATTGTTCTATTTTTTGAGGTTCTTGCTGGAGGAGGAGAAGAAGCTGTGAAAAGGAACAGAGAAAGGAACAAGCTTTTGCCTAGAGAAAGAATTGATAAGCTAATCGACCCTGGTTCTTCATTCCTTGAGCTCTCCCAGGTTTTAAAATTTATTTATTTGTTGATTTTTTTGTTTCATTTATATGAAATTTGAAACATTGTGATCAATGCTTGTGAGAGACTGCTCTTTATAGAAAATGGTTATGATAGGACTTTTGCGTGGATCATGAGAAATTCTTAGTAAATATACAATTTTTAAGTTTTTGAAAGGAGTTCTCAATTTCATTTTCTGAAATGAATGAAGACGTAATTCTATTAATAAATTTGTTTTGATACATCAAGTAGCATAATTTCTGGTGTTGCTGCTTCTTATTGCATATTTTACTGTATTAAGCTCGCAGGCCATGAATTGTACGGAGAAACCTTACCATCTGGTGGAATAATCACTGGAATAGGCCCGGTTCATGGGCGTCTTTGTATGTTTGTGGCAAATGATCCTACTGTTAAGGGAGGAACTTATTATCCAATTACCGTAAAAAAACATCTCAGGGCACAAGAGATTGCAGCTCAATGCAAATTGCCGTGCATATATCTTGTTGACAGTGGAGGTGCTTTTCTTCCAAAGCAGGCTGAGGTCTTCCCTGACAAGGATAATTTTGGTAGAATTTTCTACAATCAAGCTGTAATGTCCGCTGAAGGAATTCCCCAAATTGCACTGGTATTAGGTTCCTGCACTGCTGGTGGTGCCTATATTCCTGCAATGGCTGATGAAAGTGTGATGGTTAAAGGCAATGCTACCATATTTCTTGCTGGACCACCACTTGTTAAGGTCAGTTCCAAACTTCTTGTGTTCCAAATTGCTTCACCTATGAACTCTACATTGCTGTTGGATCTTCCGTACCATGCATATATGCATATGAATCCATGCACGTAATTTGCTTGATACTGAAACTAGATCTGAAGGAGAATTGTGATAGGCTGCTACTGGAGAGGAAGTCTCTGCGGAGGATTTGGGGGGTGCCTCTGTGCATTGCAAGACATCAGGGGTTTCAGATTATTTTGCTCAAGGTATGCATCATCTGTTTGTGCTACCCCTTATGCCCAGCTTAGTTGCTGTGATCTTTTTGGTGCTTCTTGCCTGGACGAGCATTTGTTTATGTTAACAGGGTTTAGTTAATTTGTAAAATGATATCTGATGATTTATCGGTGGAATTTGAATAGCAAGTTTACTGTGGTTGAATTCACTTTTATCCATGTCATCTCTGTCTGAGAAACACAGCGAGTGAAATCTTTTGCCTAGCTGATCATAACATGGAATTATCTCTTGTTGTAGATGAATTGCATGGACTTGCACTTGGTAGGAACATCATCAAGAACTTGCACATGGCTGGGAAACAAGGGGTGATGAATGGATTGCATAATTTAAACCCTGAATATAAGGAACCTTTATATGATGTAAAGGAGCTTCGGTCTATTGCACCAACAGACCACAAGCAGGCCTTTGATATCCGATCAGTTATCGCCCGAATTGTTGATGGAAGTGAATTTGATGAATTCAAGAAACTGTATGGAACTGTGAGGACATTTAAATCACTTGTTTCATTAACTTATGTATTTCCACTGTTTTATCTATGAATAACACAGTTCAAAATTGCTCCTCTACAGACTCTCGTGACAGGGTTTGCTAGAATTTTTGGACAACCTGTTGGCATCCTTGGAAACAATGGGATACTCTTCAATGAATCTGCTCTAAAGGGGGCCCATTTCATTGAACTATGTACTCAACGCAACATTCCTTTGGTATTTTTACAGAATATCACTGGATTCATGGTATGTTAGATGGCCGCTTTGATTCAAGCATTTCCGTTCTGTTTTTTGCTTTGAAAAGTAAAATTGACATGGAACCATGAAATTGCCGATTTGTAGGTTGGATCAAGGTCTGAGGCAAATGGTATCGCAAAATCTGGAGCAAAAATGGTAATGGCAGTTTCTTGTGCAAAGGTCGGTTTCTTTCGCTTGTCCTAATTTTATTATATTTATCTTTACTCTCTTATAATTGCAAAGACTTAATTTACAATCATTATATCTCATGATGCACTAAGAAATTGAAGAACTCGTGAGAAAAAAAAATATTTACATCTGAACTGTTGCGAATAAATACTTGTGCAGGTCCCCAAGGTGACTATTATGGTTGGTGGAAGTTTTGGTGCTGGAAATTATGCAATGTGTGGTCGTGCATATAGTCCCAATTTCTTATTCCTTTGGCCAAATGCCAAAATATCTGTGATGGGTGGTGCTCAGGTAGCCTCTTCACTTAAATTCATCCTTGCATGTTACCAAGATGTCAACAAAATTTTGTGCAATCTTTGATATGCGCAGAGCAATTAAATACGTATAAAATACCATATATGTGTTATTTATATGCAAAAAAATTATGGTTGTGCTAGCAAGCGTCTTTTCATATTCTATAGAATTTATGCATTTTGGGCCAAACAATTACCTTCCAGGCTGCTAGTGTGCTGTCTCAAATCGAAATGGCAAATAAGAAAAAGCAAGGAATTCAGGTGACCTTACTTTTCTTATAAATATTATCGATGCCTCACCAAGTTATGGTATGCTTATCTGCATTTGGATATGCTTGCATGAATTACAGTGGACAGAGGAAGAAGAAGAGAAATTCAAGTCAAAAATCACGGAAGCATACGAGCAAGAAGGAAATTGTTATTACTCCACAGCAAGGCTTTGGGATGATGGTATCATTGATCCAGCTGACACAAGAAAAATCATAGGTTTTTGCATCTCTGCTTCCTTGAACCGTCCCTTAGAAGACACCAAATATGGTGTGTTTAGAATGTGAAAATGCAACTTCTGCATTAAGTCCGACGAGCAAAAATAATCTATTGTATTTTTTTTTAACTCAGTAAAAGAAATCACCGTTCAACTTGTCTTGTGATCATACTTCTTTACATAAATTGAATCCTTTGCCTATTATTTTTGGAATAAATTTTGCATGTATTTTTTTCTTTTATTGGATGGTAAGGATGTCTTCGGAACAGTGATATGATTGTTACATCTTGATTTTTAACCAGCGTTGTACTTGTTTAGTCGGTACCTGTTCTTAACAACGAGAAATATAGCATGGATAAGGTTGCAAGCAACAAGCGCCCGTGGCCTAATGGATAAGGCGTCTGACTTCTAATCAGGCGACTGTGGGTTCGAGTCCCACCGGGCGTGATTTTGTTCTTTGATGTTTCAAATTTTTTTCATTTTTCGATGCCCGCAAATTAGTTCTTAAATAATAGTCTAGTAATATTATGACTAGTTAGTTAAGTTTCAAGACAGTAGCAAGAAGCGCCCGTGGCCTAATGGATAAGGCGTCTGACTTCTAATCAGGCGACTGTGGGTTCGAGTCCCACCGGGCGTGATTTTGTTCTTTGCTGTTTCAATTTTTTTCTTTTTTCGATAACTGTTAATAGTCTCTAAATGTAGTCCCTAGCTACTGATTTTATCATTTGTATACCAGTCTATTCGGATGGCAATGGGCCGGATACAAAACGGTATCTATTTTATCTGACCTAATAAATATTTATTAAAAATATTCAATAGGTATTAAAGTAAATAATGATAAAAAAAATATTTATCTCGTTAATATGATTTTAGGATATAAATACTCGCTTTTTATTCTATTAATTAATTTATTTTTTAAAACATATATCGGTTTAATTGCATAAATTTTAAAAACTAAAGATTAAAATATTTTTTCAAAAAAATTGAGAATAAAAAAACTTATAAAGAAATGACCAAAATACAAAAAATAAAAAATAAATAAATTTTAAAGACAAAAAAACAGTTTTAAAAAATTATTTTTTATTGGTGTTAAATGGTATTAAATGAGAGGGCAAATTAATGTGGGTTGGGTATGGATTGGATAAAGATTTATATAATGATTTTCTAAATGGATAATGAGTAGATTATTTTGAATATCCGTTTATTGTTATCCCTATAGTCTAATAACAATTGTTTTTATTGGCCCCTCTTAATGCTCATGAACTTTACAATGGAATTCGGGTTTCTAATTTAACGAAAGAGGGTTAAAAAAAGAGAGGGCAAATAGGACAAAATGGGAGTTTTATTGTTCTAAAACAATTTTTTTATATATATATATATTTTACCTCCATCATTTCTATTATAAATATCTTAATGGGGAAACACAAATTTTTGAGAACAAAAAATACATATTAATAGTTTTTTGAAGTGTTATTTTATTTTTGTCCCTAACTAACTTCTATTCGCTCGGCTTTGGTGAAATTGAAAAACGATAAAAAATGATAAAGAAAATGAGTAAGAATACTTAATTATATGCTTCGAATTTTAAAAATGAAATGATACTTACTACTTAAAAAAATAACATAATCACATTTATTTTGAAATTAAAGAATGATATTATATTATTACGATAAAATAAAGTCATGGTAGTTAAAAACAATTAAGTAAGATTATAAATGAAAAGTCATGCGTTAAATATATATATATATAAGCATTCACACCTAGATTGTCTTACCTGTTTTCATTTAACATTAGTTATGTAGAAATCTAAATTCAATTAACAAAAAAATCTTATACAACCTCTAACTTTGTTATGAGATCACCGATATTTAAATGAGATGTTTGTTTCATTTATTCAACAGTTTATGGTTCAGAGAATTGAATATCACTAATCATTTTTTTATTAAAAAAATAAGAATACTAATAAATTAAACCTTATTTATTCACGATAAAAGGTTATTTGATTGACCAAAGTCACGTATTGCATGGGATTTTGTGAGAGCTGGACAAACACCAGTTCATGTTAGCGGAATACACAATTGAAGAAACATTAAAATATTTAATAAATGGGAAAATAGATAAAATCAGTAGTAGGGGGACTATATTGAGAATCTACAACAGTTAAAAGACTAATGTGAGGTTTGCCTTTTTCATTTTTTTTTACGTAATCTGAAAAAATACATAGTGGGTCCCTTTCGCTAATCTCTCGAGATATCACGGCGATCCGAATAGCCGATTTCAGTTTATCGCATATATCACACACACAGACCACACGATACTCATAGCAACAGAAACCAACGCCCCACCCCCACACTCTCTTCCCCCTTTCTCTCTGGTTCTTTCGTTCTTTATTTCTTTGAAATGGCTTCGTCTGCTATTTCACTTTGCTCTCCATCACTCACGAGCTCACGCGCCGCGGTTCTTCACCAATCCCAGCAGCTGAACCCTAATAGACTCTCATTTCCAATCAACTCCAACACCGTTAAAAGAGCACCGAATCTCGCCGTTCAACACGCGCCTCTCCCTCTCAAGGTTCTGTGCGGTCGCGGAAACCGGGGTAAAACAAAAATTAAATCCCTAAAACTCTTGATTCTTATGATTTTGTTTCTTGACTGAGCAATTTCAGTTATCGTTAATGGTGATTCGTAGTTGCTTATTAGGGACTGTGTTGGAGTTTATGAGAATAGATAATTCTTTTTAATGAACAATCAAAGATTAGGATTTTCTGTGTGCTAAAGAATCAAAGATTTGCATCTAGCTACTTAATGATAGCAAATATAGATTAATCAGGAAAGAACTTGAGGAGAGCTTCAGATTTCATATTCGGGTTGGAGATACAGTGTAAATGAATGAATCCCTAGAAGAAATTGTAAAGGAGAAAAAAGGGGTGAAGAAAGAAACAGAGTAGGAGAAATGTGGAAGGAAGCTAGATAGAGTTGAAGACTGAGATTCGCATGGCAGAGGATCGAATTTGAATATAGCTTCAAATGCCAGTCTCATTTTGAGCATTAGCTTTCTTCATCTTTTTTTGATGAGAGGAGACTCAAAACTAAAGCTGTCCTGAGAACTTAAAAGGAAGCATTAGATTGTTGCTTTTGCTAAATATAACAAACTGGTGATGTCTGCACAGATGTTGCTTTATTGGGTGCTAAATCTCTTTCCCACGGCTGCAAAATTACTTTTTTTGCTTACTAACTAGGCGATTAAATTTTGGAGTATTGATTAGAGTGTGAAAGTATTTATTGTTCTTATTTATTATGTATGATGAGAGTGAATTTATTTATTATCTTTATGAAGGGAAACTGATTCCCTTTCATCCTCATCTCATGTCAAGGTGCGACGACAAAAAAATCTCCCACTTCTGATCCAGTTTATCAAAACCGATTAGTTAACATGTTTGTCAACCGAATCCTGAAAAGGGGAAAAAAGTCACTGGCTTATCAAATCATATACCGAGCTTTGAAAAAGATTCAGCAAAAGACAGAATCAAATCCATTAGCTGTTTTACGTGCGGCAGTGCAAGGAGTAACTCCTGATGTATCAGTAAAATCAAGACGTGTGGGTGGATCTACCCATCAAGTTCCTGTTGAAGTAGGAACATTACAAGGAAAAGCACTTGCTATTCGTTGGTTGTTGGAGGCATCCCGAAAACGGCAAGGTCGAAGTATGGTTCTCAAATTGAGTTCCGAAGTTATGGATGCTGCCAAAGGGAATGGTGAAGCTATACGGAAAAAGGAAACCACCCATAAAATGGCAGAGGCTAATAGAGCCTTTGTGCATTTTCGTTGATCCATGAACAGGATTTGTGTAGACAAGTGGATGATTTGAAAGGATTAAGCGGAGGAAAGACTTAGATTTGAACCATGTACTTCTTGATATAAATGGACAGAAATTCACGATGAAAAATGTTGCTTTTGTAATCTATTTTTGTATGTTATGTTGTTAATCTCTAGTATTTTGTCCTTATGTCAATTTGGAAACTTGCATTGTCTTTGGGCTTGAGTTTCTGCTCGGGGAGAATTTTAATTTTGTTCAGATCTTCTGCATCCAATATCCTATTTTTTACTGCATCTTAGTCTCATATCTTGGTCTTTTCCTCCATTAGATTGCTGCTGGTATTGTCAATGTAGCCAAGCAAATTTGAAAGAGGATGGCACTAAAAAGTTGGATGTGTTTAATTACCTCTTGTGGTTAGGTGGTCTATGGTGAAGATTTGATGCTTGCTCCACAAACTTATTGTGTTTTAGACAAGCTTTGTTGGCGTAAGGGATCCAGATGCATATTCATGCTATGTTTTACAAAATAGTTACATTTAATATGGAAACGAGATCTGGCGATAATATATGCAGGTCAACCAGACTTGTGCCATGAGAATATAGTATGTGATTTGTGGATGGTTTATTCATTCATTTTTTTTTTTGGTGTGTGTGTGTGTGTGTTTGGTAGTTGCTCATCAAACCTTTGATGACAATCTTCAGTGATCTGATGTATTTTGGCTCTCCCATCTTCAGTGTTGCTCATATTTCTGCTTGCTTTATGGTTTTCCAAATTGAGTTTTTTATGCTGAGCTGTTAGTAAGACACCTGCATTATGCTCTTGTTAACCACGTGTTTTGGGTTTGTTCAGCTACAACTGTTACTCAGGCCTCTTGGGAGAAGTCGATTTTGAAAAGTGATATCCCTGTTCTTGTTGAATTCTATGCAAGTTGGTGTGGGCCTTGCAGGATGGTTCATCGAGTGATTGATGAGATTGCGACAGAGTATGATGGGAAACTCAAATGCTTTGTGCTTAACACAGACAGTGACCTGCAAATAGCTGAGGACTATGAAATTAAGGCAGTACCAGTTGTTCTCCTTTTCAAGAATGGAGAGAAGCAAGAGGCGGTGGTTGGTACCATGCCAAAGGAATTCTATATTGCCGCAATTGAGAGGGTTATGCAGTCGTAAACTTGGTTCAGTGCATGACTTGAACATGCAGGACAGCTGATCGGTCGTGTTTGGTCAGGTATCATGATATTAGGTGTTCTTGAATTTCCTATTCAGTCATCCGAGCAACATTGTGTGAATAGCGTCCTAAAATGTACTCTTACCGGTTATCTCTTTCGGACTTATGGTGATAGACTTGTCTCTCACCTTGTTTTTGGTTGAGAATCTGCTGCTACCCTGCCTGCTGTACATATATCATTGTTTTTTTCCTTGCCCAGGTTGTGTATTTGGGGATTTTATTTCTACGGAAACACAGACTTTGGCTATATTTTTGAGAATAAAATTGTATGTTCTGGTTGGCCGGTAGATCTGTTCTTTATGATCTGCTGGAGATGGATTAGAAATTTTACGGGATTCCAACTTTGCTTCCTTCGAGGAAAGAAATGCTTGCATCCCCTTCCAACTCTCTGCTACTTTCCATGGTTCTGGTTTTGTTTCAACTTTGATGCTTTGGTAGAATTGGGTCTTCTTTTTTCTACGGGCAGAATGAAAATCAACATTCCGAGCTTTTGATTGTGGAATCTGAATTTTTGCTGCTGGTCTTGCTTCTTTTATTGTGGATTGGGATTTTGGACTGAATAGGAAAATTTTTTATAATTCTCACAAAATAAACTTATTATCGTGATTTATGATAAGTGAATCACTGTTTTTTCCGTCTTGGTGATGATGGACGATAGATGATCATGAGATTTAATGGAAATGGAATATGTTTTTTATTTTGGCCGCCAGGTCTATGTGCCAAGTAATATTATGATTCGTGAATCTTTCTTTTCTTGCTAAATAAGTTTGATACAAGGTAGCTGAGTCACCGAAAAAATGTCTAAAATAAAATCTATCCATAAAATAAAAACAATGGAGGACATTGAAGAATATTAATATTTAATCGATTTTTGTATTATATAGCTTACTCTGACAGCGATATTTTTTACACGTTCAATTTCTCCCCTTTGTAAGGACTCGTTATATTATATTATTGTAAAAAACCTAAAACAATATGGGTTTTTCTCTGTTGTTAAGCTGCTGTTGTGAAATGACAACATTTTTGACAAAAAATTAAATATTTTATAAAACCACATTGTTTTGATAAAAGAAATTAATTTTTTTGGAAATAATTTCACTTTCGTCCTTGATGTTTCAAGTTTGTACAAAATAATTCCTCAACTTCACTTGTATTAGAGCTAAGTCTCTAAATGCAGGAGGAGAGAGAAGGGTTCGGTTTTTAAGGTTTTATGGCAAATTAAAATATGTTTTGAGATTCAAAATGAGTTTTTTTTTCTTCGTATTGTTTGAATGAGTTTAAGGTGTTTTTTAAATGAAAACAATGTAAAATTTAGATGCAGAGATAAAAAACAACAGTCCCTCGATTTTCTGTAAAGACAACAATCCCTCGTTTTTTGGCAAGAAATGGTTGGCAGTTATAAATTGCAAATGATGTCTTCGAAAGCTACAGTGCAATCGTTTGCAACACCAAGGCAGACGTTGTACAGTCCATCTCCTTCTTTTTATTTTTCTTTAAAAAAAAAATTGTAAGCGACCAACCTTATTTAGTTTTTTGTTTTCTTTTCATTGATTTTGCTGTTATTTATTGTTTTACTCAATATCATTTTTCTCCAAATAATTAATGTTTTTTTTTTTTGTATTTTTATACTACTTCACAGAAAAATAATGATTATTTTTCATGATTTTGAAATTTTTTATTTATTTTTAAAAAATTAGTATAAAAATAATCATTGTTGTGAAGATTATAATTCTTCATGCAACTTTATAAAAAATAATTATTGATTGTTGAATTTTTTTTGCAGTAACAAAGATTTCGTAATTGATAGTTAATCAATCTATGATGTATAGTTTACAATACTAATAATAAATAATGACGACAACCATAATCCAAAATTTTGATGCAAGGATGATTTTTTTATTTAAAATAAATATCAACATTAATCATAGATTAACATTCAAAGGAAGAAATAGTCTAAATAATAAAGACTTGATAGTTAATAATATATCATCTTTTATTATGTTTTTTGATTGATTACACATAGCTTCAAAATTGATCATAATTTTTCAACATGTTTTTTTTTAAAAAAAATTAGAGCTTAGAATTACATCAGTACGAAATAAAATAAAACAAATAACTATCAAGCAGAGAATAACAAAGTTTTTGTAATCAAATAGATACGGACTCATTGATTAAATAAGCACCCTTTGATAAAGATTGCTTGAGCACCACTTCGTTGTCGATCCTGACATTTTTCAAATTGTTGATTCCTTTGATTAGATTTTTAGGTGATAAAAAGAATCGATTGTTTTTTTTTTTTTTTAATCAAACTAAAACATATTGATAAAATATATTAAATTAAAAAATGATATTAAATACTACAAAATATAAATTAAATTAAAAAATTAACTATTAATATTGTTTGATTTTGATTTTGCTCGCCTAAATTTTTAGATTTATTAAAATATTATAATAAATTTTTTAATATTGTCATTAGTAATGCATGGGAAATAAGCCAATTATACTACTTTTTGCTTAATTTCTTTTGGAGTTAGATTCTCATCAGCACGAGTTAAAATAAACTATCAGATTGTTATTTCCATATAAAAGACACGAGGAGTAGGAGAACCTTCTTAATTTTTATTTCGATAGACCAAGTTACAACGTTTTTTTTCCCTCCTAAAAATTTCGAACGAAAATACATACTATTCCTTTTCTTTTTCCTATCGAATTTACCATAATGACCACATATATTTCACGAAATTGTACACCACAAAACAAGAGCTAACTGAACCCATAAAAAGACATCATGATCTCTTGTGAGAAAATAAATTATTTGTTGAGATGAAAATATAGATATCAAATTTCTGTAAGAGAACTAAAAATTCTAGTGAACCTAAGAAAAGCATAACATCCCACTATAAATTACTTATTTTTCGAGACCTCACTGTAAGTTCTAATAGTGACACCAAACCAGAATCGAGTTGATATTTTACTAATATCAATTCCGATTAAAGGAAAAAAAAAATGGGTACAAAGCAATGAGAAAAAATTCAACCGTCCATAAATGAAACCCACTTGGTTTTAGGTCGGTGATGTAGGTATATAATCAGAAAATGTAGAAAAACGTGATGGGATTCACATTTGTGATAAATGTCGGCTAATCAGCTTGAAACAGTAGTTGTTTGTTTTTTGGGCTCAAACATTATTAACCCTAAAAGCCCAAAACCTTAACAGCTCTCTTTCTCTGACAGTACTCCAACATTCTTTCACAGAGGGAAAAAAAAACCACCTAGTAAAATCTATCACTTCTTCTAGCTTTAAAATCCTAGTTTTTGTTAGAGAAATTGCCCATAAAAGCAAAACAACCATCATCAACAAAGATAGTATTAAGTAAATAAATAAGGGAAAAGAACCGAAAGTTTCTTCTTTTCTTCTACTCCAGGTCTTTTCCCAAATTAGTAATCCATAAAGAGAGATTGTCAACTTCTCTGGATCTTTCTTGGGTAATAATTTATCGGATCTTTACCCTTCTCTTTTATTCTTCAACAAGATCTCAGTTTCTTGGTTTCTGGTGATTGCAACGTAATTTTATTGAAAGAGTTGTTGTATGGCCTCAATATAAGGTATCCTTTTCTCTTCGATTCTTGATACTTGAATTTCATCTGCAAATTTATTTTCTTTTGTCAAATTAATTGAAATTTTTTTTTAGAGTTTTTCTTAGTCTTGGTATACATTATCAGCAATCAAATGGATGCCTTTTTTTTTTTTTTTTTTTAATGATCGGGTTAGGTTCAATTGGAATCATTAGCTTTTACGCTCTCTTGCTGTGACTTGAGTGTCCAATTTCTTATCTATTAATTGAAGTCAAAATCAGATTATTTTTATTTGTGAAATAAGCTGGGCGTTGGAGTTAGATTTGAACTTGTGAGGTTTGTTAGGCTCTGTGGTCTTGAGAGATAAGACATTGGGCTATGATTATAATCTTCGATTTAAGATTTCTTGAGCTTATTTGCTAAATATTGAGTCTTTGATCAGCTTTCCTCATGAATACCCGATATCGTAATGGCTGCTCAATTGGGTTTTGAATATTGACTTGTTTGGTGGCAGTGATTCTTTGAATATTTTGATGTACACATTTTTGCTTTGATGTTTTTCTCTAGTTATTTTGAGGATCATCCTATATTGTTTAGTGATTTTTGTTCTCTTCCATTGACCATTCGCAGGAATCTTTAACTTTTTGATAACATAAAAGTAATAACAATAGCATTAAAAAAGAGTGATGGCAAATGCAAATACATCGGCATCGATGCTTCCCTCAGATTCTTCTGAGAACAGGGGAATCCATATGGCAGATTCGAACATGCAAGCTACTCAACCTTGTGTGAACCAGCAAACTCGACCCTCTTTGGATGGTCCTGTAGCTATCCTTTGGGATATTGAGAACTGTCCTGTCCCCAGTGATGTCCGCCCTGAAGATGTGGGTGGCAATATCAGAATGGCTTTGCGGGTGCACCCTGTTATTAAAGGAGCTGTAGTGATGTTTTCTGCATATGGAGATTTTAACTCCTTCCCCAGACGACTGAGAGAAGGCTGCCAGAGGACTGGTGTTAAACTAATTGATGTTCCAAATGGTAGAAAGGATGCTGCTGACAAGGCAATTTTGGTCGACATGTTTCTTTTTGCTCTTGACAACCCTCCGCCTTCTTCAATTATGCTTATCTCTGGGGATGTGGATTTTTCTCCAGCACTTCACATACTTGGTCAACGGGGATATACTGTGATTCTTGTTATCCCTTCTGGGGTTGGTGTCTCATCTGCCCTTTGCAATGCTGGCAAGTTTGTTTGGGACTGGCCTAGTGTGGCTCGTGGGGAAGGTTTTATACCCCCTCGAAGACATTATTGCCTGCCCATGTTGGACCAGCTGACTTTGCTGGGTATTTCATGGGGTGCCGTATAAATGACAACCATGATGGCCAGAATGAGGAAGAGGCGATAGTATACAGAGGGCTCTCGCAAAGATATTACAACTCGAGAGATTTCTCTTTAGTCTCACAGTCTTTATCTGAATACAATAGTAGTTCTTTGATGACTGTGCCTTGTTTACCCACTAGTTCGAGGTCACTGTCTCTCCCATCTGGTCTGAGTGAAGCTTCAGAAGGTCCTGCTTCTTATGATGAGTATTATTCTACTATGTGGGTACAGCCTGGGGACATAAATGGTCTGAAAGCTCAGCTGGTAAAATTGCTTGAACTTTCAGGAGGATGTTTGCCTCTTACCCGAGTTCCCCCTGAGTACCAGAAGATGTATGGACGGCCTCTTTATGTGTCAGAGTATGGGGCATTGAGGCTTGTTAATCTTTTCAAGAAAATGGGTGATGCAATGGCAATAGATGGCAAAGGCCAAAAGAAGTTTGTCTATCTTAAAAACTGGAAAGCTGGTCCAAGTGCACCTCCTATAACTCTAGCAAGGAGGGATAAGACAGGAAAGGGCCCTCAGGAGGAGACTTTGGACATTGTGACAGGTGGTGGCTCTTCAGATGAGCTCTCAGATGAAGAAAGAGTAGCAAATGAGGAACAGGAGGGCAGGAGGAACCAAGAGAAGACGAATTTGGGCACAGCAGCTCGATATGAAGTTGATTACCCAAATCTCGAGCAGTTCAAGTTTGAGTTGCAGGAGATTCTAGTGAGCTATTCTTGTCGGATTTTCTTGGGCTGTTTTGAGGCAATATACCAGCAACGATACAAGAAACCATTGGACTTCCAAACTTTTGGTGTGGATCAGCTAGAGCATCTTTTTGACAAGGTGAGAGATATTGTGGTCTTGCATGAAGAACCAGTGAGCAAGAAGAAATTCCTGGCTGCAGTTGGTGGCTAGAAGACTTCAGAGTTGCATGTCTTGTAACGTGTTTACTTACATAGATCAGATAGTTGAGGTATGCGTATCATTGCATGCTCTCTCATAGCTCTTTTTCCTTTTCTTTTTTGCGCTGTATTTCATAAAAGATGTTGGAGAAGGCTGGATCACATTTGTTCTTTTATAATTATGTGTCCTGCATGGAATTGAGCGTTAAATTCCAAATTTCCATGTATGCCTTATGCCTCATCGTTGTTACTGATAAAACTACTAATGAGAGATCTGTAATGTAAATTCACAGTTTAGTGCCCGAACTCTTTTTTAAAATGTTGTCACCTCTTCCTCCTTTATTACATAGCTAATGAATGATTGTGTTGGATGATTGATCTTACTAATCTACCAAAGTGGAGATACTTCTGCTTTTAGCATTTTTGTTTGGAGTGGCTGTTCTTAAGACTCAGAACCTACATTTCTGTGATTTCAATTCTAAAACTTTTAAACAGTGGCATCGAACAATTCTTCCCATATATTACAGTAATTTAGAAGTTGGGAAAATATGGTATAGAAGCTCTCTCAAAACAAAAATATTTTTTAGAAGTGCTCTTAAACAATCTATTACCTTCTGCTTGCTATTAAAAACATAAAAAACCAGCAGAATAAAATGTGTGGACTGTCAAGTGTCCTTGGAGGAGTACTGTTTCCGAAATGATCGAAGGAGATCAATCCTTTTGGCGCTGTGGAGAGACTGCCCTTTGGCAGACATGGTATGCTATCATTTTATTTGGTGTAACGATCTTAGGCTAAAAACTGAATGGATTCTCAAATTAGAATTGCCATGAGCAGATGATTCAAGTCTTAGTGGATGCAATTGCAGAGACAATGGGACTCCTAACCACATGTCTTCCATTAACCTCATACCATCTCAAAAACCCGTAATTCCCAAAATAATCGCTCTGCGGTGTAACATTAGCAGCTTCCAAATCGATCTCCACGGTCATATTAAACTCAGCTTTGCTGTTTTTTCGTGAAAATGTAAGGGTTGTTGGTTGAACTAGAGCTTTCATACCAGGAGGAGCTGAGATCACCGCAATATAGACAGAGCTATTATCTTCTACATTTGTCAACACCCTCTTGAAGGTAGTGGTGGTAGTATTAGTCTTGTTCAAGAGAACAAGGAAAGAAGGATAATTAAGATCCAGGCTAGCATATTCACAAGCAAAATTTGAAGTCCCTGTGATGATTCGAATCTGTTGGCTTGTATAGTTCATAGCACACAGGTAGTTAATGTAATCATCTGCCTCTATATCGTACACCAGGCCAGGGTCCATGGCTTTGTTGGGATTCACATGCCCTGCTCCAAAATCAAGGGGTGTCCCAGCAACTCCGGTGGTCATATCAATGATTCTACCATCTGCATTGTCTGTAACATCAGCAGTTGTCATCAGTGCTGATCGGATGGCAGCAGAACTCCAATCACGGTGGGCGGCTTTAAGCAATGCAGCTATCCCAGCTACATGGGGGCATGACATTGATGTGCCAGAAACAAGAGCGTAATCTGTGAGCAAATAACCATCTTCACGTATTGGTGCAAATCCTTTATTAGGAACCCAAGCAGCCAGAATATGATACCCAGGAGCCAGAATGTCAGGTTTCAGAGTCCATGGGGATCTTTGATCAGGTCCTCTAGAGGAAAAATATGCCACTTTTGGGGCTGGCTTAGTACCTAATAATGTTAAACCAAACTGTACACTGACTGTTGTGTTTGTGGTATTGATGATGTAGTTCTTGATCAACTCTCTGTCTTTGGTGCTCACTATCACAATTGGCATGTAGAAGTAGTCTGGGTGGTGAAATTCCGCATCATCTTCAATGAAGATAGCCCCAACAGCTCCGGCAATGTCTGGCCCATATCGATCATTTTCAGACATCTGTCGAAACTGTGATGACTCATCGTCATAGTCACAGAAGAGGAACTTGCCTGCGACGTCTTTGGGGTCCAAGGAGTTCCAATCACAAACTTCTTTGCTTCGATTTCCAAGTCCAAAGTATACAGGAACCCCGGAAACAAACAAATTCTCAGGATAAATAGATGTTCCAGTGATCGTAATTGAGCCGTTTCCCAGCGTGACTTCAGCTCCAAACTGACGGTCAATGGTTCCGGCACCAACAGTGGTGAGCCAAGGAGCTCCATTGAGCATGGTGTATCCATGAGGCCCTGCATTTCCAGCAGAACATGTAACAAATATCCCTTTCTTCAACGCTGCAAATGCTCCTATGGCTATTGGATTCTCATAGAATGGTGTCTCAAAGAATCCCAAGGATAATGACATGATGTCCACTCGATCTTCAATCGCTTGATCCATGCCAGCAAGTACATCTGTTGCTGCAGCATCATAACCATCGTTATCGCCAGTATAGAAAATCACTTTGTACATAGCAATCCTAGCCAACGGTGCCATTCCTGTTGCTGTCCCTTCTGCATAACCGAAATAATCAGCATGTTGCACTGGACTGCCTCCTGCTGTTGAAGATGTGTGGCTTCCGTGACCCATGTAATCCCTTGGAGAATCATAGTCATCTGTAGTTGATATATTCAATCCTATTTGCTTCATGCCTTGGCTGAACTTGCGTGCACCAATAAGTTTTTTGTTGCAATGAGAAGTGTTAAATTCCGTTCCAGTTTCGCAGATTCCATGCCATTGCTGCGGAACTGGAGGCATGTTTTTATCGTTGAAGCTCTCACTTTCAGGCCAAATTCCGGTGTCAAGAACACCAATAATTACATCATCACCGAACTTGCCAGCTGGCCATGCTCCACCACGTTTGTTTAGGCCCAGGAACTTTGGGCTATGGGTGGTGTGGAGATGGCCTATCGATTCTGGGAAGGTGGCAACATGACCAGGCAAACTCTCCAGTTGGTCAAGGTGGTTTTGGGACAACACAGCACTGAACCCATCCATGACATGCTTGTAAGAGTAGAGATGGATTGGCGGAATGCCATCTGGCGATGACAGGGACGAGAGTGTTGACACGTACCATTCATGGTGGGTGGAGAAGGGAGCTGGCATTGCGGTTTTATCCATGTGGATAATGTAGTTTTTTCGGTCATTTGATGTGGATGATGATGTGGCAATTGGGAAGAGAAGGCAGAGAGCAACGAGAAGTTTAGGAGTAAACTGACCCATTGTTAGGATCATTAAGCACTGAAGGTGGGAACTTAAAAGGTACTGAACATTCTAAGAATCTCATATACATATATATACACACACACACTCATAAGGTGATCCAGGCCCTAGGCATAGGTTGCATCTGATTCGATGACAACCTCAGAAGCGGCTATGGCTAAAATATAGAAAAACAATACAAGCTGAAGAGTGGTTTTGATATTTACTAAGCCGGCAGATCTACAAAGAGTAGCATTGTTTTGATAATCTAATAATATGTCAACCAATAATAGCAGCTGATGGATTTTCCGACTTTTCTGTTGTTTGCAGGCCGCAGTTTCCGAAGGAAACAAAGTAATCTGTTCCAAGATTGAAGTCATGCTCAACTTTTGGAGTTGGAACTGACAACGGTTGTCTTCATGCAAGCAAAGGCTCCTTATGATACTAGAAAGAAGCTAATCTGTCGCTCTAGTAAGGGAAAAAAGAAAAAGAACAGCAGAATTTCGACTTCATGCAGTTTTCTATTTGTCCAATTCATTCAAATCTTTGTACAGTGTTTCCGAAGTTTTTAGGCTCTCCTGTAATGATCAAATACAAGTCATTGGTAAAAATTCAAAGTTCGGTAGCCTACCAAAGTGAAAAAGATGAGCTCTTGAAGTGCTCTACATAATGATTGGAGTTGATCTTAGCAAAACCACCTATTTAGTGGGGTTCTCTTGTTCTAGATATCCACCTTTAGATGATTCTGCAAGGGTAGTCAAGAAACCAGTTTCTTGATGAGATAGAGATGTGTGAGCTTCTAGTGGTGCCAGAATTATTTTGTTTTTTGTACTACTGTTCCTTGGTTTTTTCCCTTCACGTTGAAGGGTTTTTCAGGAGGGTGAAAATTTTGGTGTCCTTGTGAGCTGTGTGCCACGTTTTAATTACACAAGAGGTTGAGATTTCCGATTGGGCAATCGAGTTTGTGAGTTCCAATCCCAATAGAAAGTAGTGGCAACTCTATTTTGATGGAGATTCCCATTTTCATGTATTAAAAGTTAAAACCTTTCTCTGGGCTGTTCAATTGACTCAACAATCCTCATAATCCATGTTAGTGATTGCAAATTCAAAGATTTGTACACAATGATGAAAGAGAAAATTTATATATTTTCCAGCTTCAATTCTTCCAAAATTTTAAAATATGAACCAGAGAAATGGATGTATAACGACTACTTTTACAATTGCCGTTTCTATCTAACAGGTGATATGTATTCTCAAAAGACAATGACAAGCTCAATGGAGCGAAATTTTCACTCAGCAAAGATAGCAACCCTGAAGACCTGCCGAGACTGTAGAAGTGCTACAGCTTTCTAGCAAACCATGATTTGTGGTTGAGGCACACGATTACGAATGATTGCCTCAAACAGAGAGCATATTGGAGGGAGACTGTGGAGAGCCAGTTTCAAGTAAAAAACTTCTACTACAATACGACCTCGATGTGCTTGAAGAGGAAGCAAGATATCTTCCATCCCCACTGTGAAAAATATCATCACTCTTGTGTGATTTTCCCTTGCTCATTCTTCGTCCTCCTTCACTTCCTTCACACTCTTCATCTTCCACAGCTCGCACAAACCCACTATGCATTGGGTCTGAACTCTCATACAAAAGCCTAAGGACCTGTTTGATTGAAGGCCTTGCCCGTCCTTCCCTCTGCGTGCACCATCTAATGATAGTCACAATAGTCTGAAGCTGGTTTAAGTCAAAGGAATCCCTGATGCGTGGATCCACTAACTCAGGTAGTCTTGAATCCGATGCCATGAAAATTTGAGACCACTCCACCAAATTCTTGCTTTCCTGTATTGCTCTTCTAGCAGTCACTATCTCCAACAGTACCACGCCATAGCTATATATATCACTTTTCTCGGTGAGCTCTTGAGTGACCACATACTCAGGATCCATGTAACCTGAAAATCATTGTATATTCAGGCCTCTTAGTGCAGTGAAATAGCAAATATGTACAGTTAAAGCACAAATATTTTATTCCCGGACCTGGAGTTCCACGAATATCGGTATTTACTGGTTCAAAGCATACAGAACCATTTTTTGAAGCATGGGCAAGGCCAAAATCTGCAACCTGGAAAATAAACCAGTGATACATATGATTTTGCAGGATGTATTCTTGCAAGAAAAAATCATTCCTTCAATTTTTTGGTACAATCTTCAAACGTTTTGAAAAAATTGGGTTTGATTACAAGTACTATTTTATTTTTCAGTGGATAAGGGATACAATAAAGGCCACAAAAGGTAAAAACTTGCAAAAGCTACATGTTGTTAAATCAATACACTACCTTAGCAACTAAGTTTTCATCCAGCAAAATGTTGCTCGATTTTATGTCTCTGTGGCACATAGGTGGATCACAATAAAAGTGGAGATACTCCTGCAAGTAAGAAAAAGAAACGAGGAGGAAAAAATAATTCATGTAAGTGATCCAAAAGTCTGAAACCAAACCAATCTGTCCGTAAGGCAAGACACTGTTTCTGTTAATTACCAAAGCATTAGCCACGTCAATAGCAATCTGGATTCTGGACTGCCAACTCAGAGGATTTCCAGGGGCTGCAAAGAGGATGTCAAATCCATTCAAAATACAAGGCCATCAAATAAGAGAGCTTCCCAATATAAGAAGCCGCTCATTTATATAACCAATAGAATTTGAATTAACGAATTATCCGGAGACAATTTTCTTTCTTAAATTAAGGCATGAATTGCATGTGTGCGTGCATTAGCGAGAGATATTTTTCCTGTGAGCATCACCGCAAAATTTATTTCCACTGAAATATAAAATGAAAACGAAGAGTAATGTACCACATCAAGTGGCTAGTAAAAAGTGTAATGAAAATGACGAAACGTACAATGAAGATGATCCTTTAGGCTTCCATTTGCCATATATTCATACATGAGGAACCTGCCATTAAACAAACAAAGAGTATTTGATTTTGCTGTTACAGAAGCAATAACGCCACACAAAACCAGATAATTAGAAAAAGATTTAGGCAGAAACCTTGTGAATGTTGAAATTTACCATTATGTTCATTATATTAAACTCATGCAAAAGTAATGTCATAGCAGACTTTGAGCGCATACACACGCTCACCTTGAAATGGCCTCAATTATCTACTCATGTTAATTGGTACAGAATATTTAGTAAAGCGAAAGCTTTCATTGAGATATAGCCTACAAACATTTAAATACACCATAAGGAAACGCTCTCAAGTTTTACTACTATTTGTTAGATAAAATGGGGCAAATCATAAATACGTGCATGCAGAGTTAAACTACCTCTCATTCCTCTTTATGCAAAAGCCTCTCAGAGCAACAAGATGGCGGTGGTGCAGTCTAGCAAGCAGTTCTATCTCTCTGCAGAACTCCTCTTCTACCTGCTCTGAAACCTTGTTCATTCGCTTCACTGCTGCCACCAAGCCATCACTAAATTCAGCTTTGTATACAGTTCCAAATCCTCCCTGTCCAATGATTGTATTGAAGTTATCCGTTGCCTTCGTTGTCTCCTTGTAGCTGAATTTTCGTAACATTGATGCAGGTCCTGCAGATGATAACCACCCCCACCCACCCAAAAGTTACGAACTAATGTATAAAAAAAGGCAATTTTAATGTAGTCCAGCCTGAAGAAAGCACATAAACCAGGAAAACCCAGAATCACACCTTCTTGAAATTTCCTTGTAGGCCTTGGAGGAGGAAAGGTTCTTGAAAAGGTCTTATTTATATTCTCAGATTCCTTTAGTTCTCTGCTTTTCCTGCGAATAAGAACTATCAAGACTATCAGCATCACAAGGGCAACTGCTGTGACTGCAATGCCAACAATTGGAACTAATGTCAGATGATATGGGTGGTGATTTGCATTTAGGGGTATTCCCAACATAACTTGGCTTGGACCAGCAGCTGTCAATGGACTTGGAGGAGCTTCAGGAGAGACTGCAGAAGGAGGTGGCTCTGGAATGCACAAAAAAAAGTGAGTTACATGGTTGGATAACAGAATGTAGAACAAAACTACAGATGGATTGACTTCCCATGATATGAGACAGTTCCAATAAAAGCTTCCTGGCCAAGAAACTACAACTAACTCATAGTAAACATATAATATCTTGTATTTAGAAGGTGACAAACATGACAGTTAATAGATAAAGGGTCTGATTGAGGCAAAATATTGGAAAGAATTTGCCCTTTTCCAGGGTTAATCTCTATGTATCCTCATTCTTCTAAAAAGAACTGCATTAAATACGGTCCTTTTACCCCTTTATGAAGAGTTTGTTCCCTAAGCATACCAAATGTTGAAACTAACACCAATCGCCATCAATATTTGTACTTCTACTTCAACATAGAATCAAATTTCAAAATGTAAAATAAACAAGAACATATAACAAGCACCATACATTCTCAGCAGAAACAAGAAATCCGCAAATACAAGAAACAGAAAACTACTCATACCTGAAGGGAAGTTGAGCCCTTGAACTCCGAAGAAACAGCTTGCAATTTCAACAGCTGAAGCATCATCAAATTGGCTTGCAAGGGCAGTAAAAGTTGCATCGCGGCAGGTACTCAATGTCACGTTATTATCTGTTCCCACTAGATGATGAAGGTATATAATGCCAGCATTTAAACACCTCTTGCAATCACTTTTTAATGAAAGTGGCAGTCTGCAATTTTGTACAACATCCACAAATTTTGGAGACTCCAACATCTGAGTGACAGTTGTTCTACCCTTGCACTCATAATTCACTGGAATTTTCGTCCCAAACCCGCAAAAACCTGTTGCATTACTTGGAACTCCATACAGTTGCATAGTTTGAGAAATGGAACGAAGACATATGTCAGATACATTCGAGGCAACTCCTAAATTTCCAGTTGCATTTGAATAGCGAGCAATGGAAACTGCAATAAACGCATTAATATAGCGGCAACATTGTCCTCTTTCATCTTTACTGGAGCACATTGAGGCTGCTAAGGTAAAGTTTGATCCACTCAAATCTAAAGGGCAATCTGCAGAAGTAACAGATGTTCTTATCAATTAAACTAACCATTATTCATTAAAAATTCTGCACCAAAAACATAGACTTTTAATTGTTTACTTGGAAGCTAGAAATTTCATGAATTTATACAATTAACAAAACGGTATCTTTCTTTTTGGTGCATTAAAGTAGACAAACTCTAAATTTTATGGCATTGTGAAACTATAGCTATAATATGATAAATTGCACTAACCCAGTTACAAACCAAACAAAACCATAAAAACAAAATTGGTCATGAAAATCCAAAAGTCCCAATAATAAAAAACATTGCAGATGCTCATTAATGCCAAAACAGAGCAATTACAAACTAACAATACCGATAACAACTCAAAGAATCAAGCTAAAAACCAAAACCCTCTTCCGAAAATCCTCCCTTTTCACAAAATAATTCCAAAACATAAAGAAAAAACAATCAATAAAATGCAAATAACTTCTTTTCTTACTCCAAACAAAAACACAAATATCAAACTCCCCGTCTTTCTAAAACAGAAAAGAAAAATGGTACTAACCAGCCATTATTGAAGGCAGCTGCATTGCAATAAATGCAAATAAACCCAACCCCAACAAGGCATGTCTACACACCACCATGGTCAAGACCCAAGAATGAAACTTTGAGGCTAGATAGAGAGGGAGAAGGGAAGCATTAAAAACAGAAGATGGGTGTTTTGTGTTGGTACATTTTAAGGGACTAAACTGTTCATTCACAGAGGAGAGAGGACTAACTGAGGTCTGAAAGACTGAGAGAAAGACTAGTGTGCGAGTACAGTGTAGTAATTGTGACTGGAGAAATGGAAAGACTAATTTCTAATTTAAATGCACAAAAAGAAGAACTGGGTCAATGCCTCCATGGTCACATTGTTCTGGTACTGGTTTCCGGTTCGGGGTCTAAAGTGGTTAGTGGGTTTTACTAGGGTCCAGCCACCAGCGACTAAGATATTGAGCAATGAAATGACAGTTATTGGAAGTTGCGTGTAAATTGAGGATTAAATTATAAATAGTTCCTCTATTTAAAAAAAATTAATTATTTAGTTTTTTAATTAATATTGATGATATTTAATTTAATATTATTTTATTTTATAAAATATATTTTTTTCATTAATCTCCATATTTTTTTACTTATTTCTATTTTTTAAAACAAGGAATCGAAATAAATAAAAAAATAAAAAAAATTAAGTTACAATGAAATTTTAAAAAATAAAGACTTTTTTACTCACAATAATTTTTTTTTTACTCATACACCCAAGACTTTTAGCAGAACTAATATGTTAAGATTTAAACATGTAATCTCTTATTATAAAAGACTATTACTACTTAATTACAAGCTTTTTGGTTTGAAAAATAGAAACTAAATAATTAGTTTTTTAAATAATTAACTTTAATCATGTTTAATTTAATATTATTTTGTTTCAGAAAATGTTATTTTTTTCATTAATTTTTCCATACTTTTTTACTCTTTTTTCCTTTTTTTTAATTTGTTAAAACAAAAAATCAAAATAAATTTAAAAAAATTAAGTTATAAGAAAATAATAAAAAAAAGGATTAAATAATTGGTTTTTAAAATAAAGAAAACTCATTAATTCATTTTTAAAAACTAGAGGGACTCTTCATAATTTACTCGTAACTGGAGCTGCTGTGTTGGGTGTATCATGAATGTGATCGATTGGACCATGAGAAATTTTGTTAAACAGGTACGTACAAAGTGAAATTGATGGGAGATGTTGCTTTCCCAGGCATTTTGTCGTGGCAGCATAGGTAATAGTAGTTGGTTTTTATTTGGCATGTGCCCCTTTCATATCTGATAATTCATAAATGTGGGATAAAACTTTCTCCACATTGAAGAATTATGAGGATTTGAGGATGTTAATCTTAACATATCCCGTCATTAAATAGCTTATAATTTGATGATATCAAAGAGTTTATAATTTAATAATAATAATTTTTTAAATAAAAAATTATGAATTTAAATATTAATAAATTAATTTTATTAGAAGTTTTGAATCTTAATTTTGTGATGAATGATCACCATGTCTCCTAAGAGAGACCTGGCAGCATGTGGACAATTACGTCAATGGAAACTCATCAAACTAGAAAGCTCAAAAGGACCCACAATTTCTTCTCACGAAAATGAGCACGAAGGAACAGCAACAGGCAACACCCCAAAAGCATGTCTGCCTCTGTGTAATGGGGCTCTGGACCTTCGTCTCTTTGGAATTATATATACAAATCTCCAATACGGACAAAAGGGCAGCTAATCTCTCCTGAAATAATAATGATAAAAAAAAAAAAAAAAATCCGCCATAACAAGCATGTGAAGCTCCATTGATAATGATGCTCCAAGCTATAACTATTGCCTTTTTTTGTCCGTGGGGGAGTTTTCTTCTTTTATTTCTAGTAGAAGAAAGTGACGTTTAGGAAAACTTTTGCGTGAAATGAGTAGGGTTACGACTTGTGACTGCTCTTTCTACTTTTTAACCCTTGAAATCCACGCCTGGAATTTTCGTGCATTCCCCTTTTGAGTTGGGTGATTAGAGCATAATTGTCGCTGCAATCTATCCATTGCGTGAAATGGAAGGGCAGTTTGATTCAAAGGAGACTTTAACCCATATTTCCATCTTTTGTCGCCTGAAAATTGAAATTGTTCGGTTCTTCTTTTTGGTAATTGAAATGGTTCAGTTGACAGCACAGAAGGAGTGGAGGTCTTGATGTTATTCCTCCTTTTGGTTGGGCAAATCATAAAAGTCCTGTTTTAGTTAGCCTCGTGAAGATGGGTCCATGGCCCGTTATTGTTTGGGCTTTCCAAATTTTGCACATGCAGCAGTCGTCACACACCAGCCGAACATTAAATTCTTTTCTTCTTCCCGCTGGAAAGATCATCGTACCTTCAATTACCAATCAAGTACCTCCTTTTCAAAAATACTTATCTCAAGAGTATTGTCATGCATAAGCGAAATAAATGTACTTAATTGATATATTTTCTAAAATAGAAGAACTCAAATAATAAAAAATATTAAAATAGAGGAATTTAAATAATTTTTTTTTAATACAATCTCTACTTCGTGGTTTTCTCTTTATTTTGTTTTGATCATCTGCAACTTGAATGAGTCTTGCTCATGCTATAAGAATAAAAAAAAATCAAGAATTTTCTCCGAACTATAATTGAAAATTAAAATATGTAAAACGCAGGATTATTGTACAAGCAGGCAAACTGCACTGTACTTCAAGTCTCTCTAAGCTTTGGCATGCTCGTTCTCTTTCATCCTCACATTTCCAAATGTCGCGGGTTCCTTTTTGTTTGTTAAAATGCTAATTGGGCCCATAGTGGCCTGCTTCACTTATTTTGGGAATGGCAAAAAATAGGTAAAGCTGTATAGCCCATCATTTTGTTTTCCTGGTCAGTCCTTGTTTCTCAGTTGGGTCAGTTGGTCAGACGAGACGGTGGTCCTTAATGGTCCGCTCTGGGTGCTGCCCTCTTAAATCTCTTAATCTAACTTCAACTGGCAACACTTTCAAAATACGGTCCCCCCTCCTTTCCAATCCCATCCATTAGCAACCATATGTGCCATGAAATACTGCATCCACCTGCCTAGAGATGAGACACTCGTACAAAACAAAAGGAGAGGAGCATTAGGAATTTGCTTCGCTTTCGTTCTCTCTAATCATACAAGGAGAGAGAGAGAAATAATTCATGTGGATGGGAATTTTGGATTAACACGCACGAGAATGATGAATAAAGACCGAAGTGTAGAATTAATGTATGGATGTGGGCTGCACGTTAAGGACTCTTTGGCAGTGTGCAAAGACAGACAGCAAATTCTTGCTTTCACATGCAACATTTGAGAGATCTATTATGGATTTGTATGGTATTTGGTAAAGCAAAGCATTATATTATCAGAATGAAAGCAGTTTATATAGAGACATCTTTGTCTTCTTTTGTTTCAGTAATTGAGAAGTTTTTGTTGCTTAAAGCAACTTATCAAGGCTGGGGCACCGTACAATATTCAAATTTCAAACACTCAAAAGAAAAGCTAACAGAAGGGGAATTAATGTGCCAAAAAGCTGCATTTATGAGTTAAATAATAGTATGCGTTTAGTATGCCAATCCCCTAGTATACTTTTTTGATGAAGATAATTCAAATTAGTTAATTAGGCCTAAGGTTGTTGGGGTTTTCTTCTTTTTTTTTTAAAAAAATAAATTTGGGGGGTCTAATTAATTGCTGATTGGTTAACCAAAACGAAAATGAAAAATTCTGCCTTTTCCCTCAAGAGATCTCTCTTTGTTTCTTAAGTTATTGAAACTTGATCATCTACAACTAGAAAGATTGCTAACTAATTGCATAGAGTATGTTTTTATAATCACACAGAAGGATTGCTGTCATAACTGAGGCCTAACTTTTCATAAGATACGCGCAAAATGCATAGCATCCATTACGTTATCATCTTTATATTTCCCCCAAAACTCATCATAGGTAATTAAGGGGAAAAAAATAGATTGTTGACTTAAAAATTGAACGAAATCATCAAAGAAACTGTATTAAATACAATCTCTAGTCAGTAGTCCTTAACCAACACCTCTATATTTATTCCTCCAGCCATCAGCCTCTAACCTCCATAACTCCCATCTTCTTCGTTCCTTCCTTCTCAAATATCATAATTGCACATCAAACGCTATTTTTCCAACTTTCATACTTTCCATGTTTTCTTTTTAAATGTTCAAATCATTGTATATATATTTTCACCAAATCAAAACACCAAAACCAACTAGTACAACAATAGACAAAGCACCATAACCACCAAAATTAGTATCGCATTAGACAAAAACATCTGAACCAGCAATGCAGTTGCAGGCAAGTAGTTACCAACCATATTGTTCTGCTTCCTTTTCCTTCTCATATTGTTCTGCTGTCATGGAAACTAACTCTCTACTTTCAATCACAGAGAACCATCTTCATTGCTTTTCTTTTCACTTCAACTTTTCTCTTCATTCTCTCGACTGCTCTCAAGGTGGGTTTTCTATAAAAAAAACCTCTTTTCTAGATTCTTTCATTAATCTTTTAATTTCTAAACCATGCTCGCTCGCTTCTAATTATGATCAGGAGGGACAAACATGTGTGGTAGACAGAAATTGCAACTCAGGTCTACACTGTGAAACTTGTGTAGCAAATGGAAATTTAAGGCCACGATGCACCAGAATCCAACCTATAATTCCTACCTCAAAGGTCGGTACAAATTCATTTATCCCCATATCAAATATGAACTCACATGTGTGCATCATAAACATGGGCATTTAGACACCTATGTGCTGTTGTGTTACTAATTTTTGTGGCATTAAAAAAAAAAAGCAGAAGAAGAAGTTGTGGCATTAGCTTATGTTATTGTGTTTGGTTTCATTAGGTTAAGGGATTGCCGTTTAATCAGTATACGTGGCTAACAACCCACAATTCGTTTGCCAAGTTGGGAGATAGGTCTGCAACTGGATCCATTATTCTAGCTCCCCCGAATCAGCAAGACACGGTTACTAGTCAGCTTAATGTATGTTATTTTCTTTCCCTACGCCCTGTTTGGTTATTGAGAAAATTTTGAGAAAAACAAAAGCCTTGACATGAGACATGTTCTGTTTCTTCATAACATTTTCCTTGGTGAAATTTTTGCTTGCCGTACGAATGTCAGGTCCAATTGCTTTAAAGTAAAGCTCTAATGTAGCCAAAAATAAAACGTTGAAATGTTCTTCCAAGAAAGCTGCGAAGCTTTGATGTATTGGTCAGCAGTCCAAAATGCCCTTATATCAATTAGAATCTCGAAGTATAAGAATAGGTGGGTAATGTAGTCTTTTGCTTGGGGCTGGACCGTTTTTATAGCTTTGTTTTTTGGGGGGTGTAAAAGAGAGTATTTAACTTTAGACCTCTTAGCAAAAAGGATGATGCAAGTTTAGCTAAAGGCTCGTTGCCCCATTTGTAGTTTGAACATGGGAGTTTATTACATCTTGCTACTAAGCACTTTATTTCTATTGATTTTTAACTTCGCTTAATTAAAAGCAAGAAGCGATCTATGATTACATTACCCATCAAGCATGATGATGTGAAATTTTAACAGCTTTTTCCAGATATTATCCGAGTGATAATGCTTGAAAGCAATACTACTTTAATGCTATTTGACTAAGGTTCTCAATTTGCATTTGGGACCATAACTTGTTGAACTAAAATTATATTAACATATTGATTAATACTCCTGTACTAGCAAGTTTTCTTATAAACTATTTACATGAAGAATTGGATACCACTTTGAGGTGAGTGAAAATGCAAGTATCTAATGCTTTTGTATGTTGCCTATGCTTTAATTTCCTTGGCCTAGCTCAGTTGGTAGGTAGACTTCTCTAAATGTGAAAGATTGATTCATTAGTAAGTTTATGTAAAGCATTTGGTCCCAAATAGCAAATGGCGTGAAGAAATAGGTGTCTATTGACTCCTATCATCATGTCTGTTCTCATTTTTCTTGTAAGAAACAAAGAAATTTATGCTGGACGTCATGAAACTATTGCTCTTAAACTTCAGTCTTCTCGAATATGCTTAGCTTATGCTAATAAAAAGCAGAGGGATCTCCTTTGGGTCACGTCCCTCGAATAAAAACTTCGTCTAGGGGATAAAAATAATAATATTGATGAAGCTTTGCAAATTTCGTCTTATGTGCTGACTACTATGATGCAACGTTGCTCATAGCTATTGCTTAGCAAGTTCGTGTTATGAAACAGATGAGTGAATAAACGAAGAACTCTTTGTTCCTAATCTTTTTAGTGGCTAGTACCACAGGAATTCAAAAGTAAAAGAATTGTAGAAAACAATAATGTGGCTCGCATTGATGATAAGATGATTAAAGTAAAGAACTTCAAATTTCTGTGCCTCACGTTGATGATAAGATGATTAAAGAAATTCAAATTTCTGTGGCCCATTGATTGGAATAGTTTTTCTGTGGAACTGGTCTATTTTTCAGTTGTTAACGTAGGGCGGCCTCTTTTTTAATTAACGCATGCTTGGAAGTCGTTTTCTCTTGCAGAATGGCATTAGAGGATTAATGCTTGATATGTATGACTTCCAGAATGACATCTGGTTGTGTCACTCCTTTGGAGGAAACTGCTACAACTTTACAGCTTTTGTAAGTGTTCATATAATGCTCTGATACCGCAAAAGACAGCCCATTCATCTCATAGAGATGTCTAATACAAAACTGCCTAATTTAAAGCTTCAATAAATAATTGATCTCTAGTTTTCTAAGTTCTTTTGGCAATACCATTGCAGCAGCTAAATCTTTTTTCCAGATTTTGGAAAATTGAGTTTAAAGTTTTTGTAAGATTTCAGAATTAATGCCTGGCCATTTATATATTGTTACTTGTTCTATAAATTATTGGTTAATATGAACTTTTCCATTCCAATTCCAGCAACCAGCCATTAATGTTCTCAAAGAGATTCAAGCATTTCTCGAAGCCAACCCATCAGAAATCGTCACCATTATCATTGAGGACTACGTTACATCACCAAAAGGCTTGACTAAAGTGTTTGATGCTGCTGGCCTTAGGAAATATTGGTTTCCTGTATCTCGGATGCCAAAAAATGGGGGCAAGTGGCCGACAGTTGATGATATGGTCCAGAAGAATCAGCGTTTAGTGGTTTTCACTTCCAAGTCTGCCAAGGAGGCCTCTGAAGGAATTGCCTATGAATGGAGATATGTTGTAGAAAACCAATGTGAGTCCTATTATAATCCTGAGTTTAGACAATTCAACGGGAAGTGAGAACAAATTAACATTTATGGTTGTGGAAATTGCAGATGGAGACGGTGGAATGATAGCTGGTTCATGCCCAAACCGTGCAGAATCACCTGCCTTGAACACAACAACAAGGTCACTAGTTTTAGTAAATCATTTTCCTGACAGGCCAGATGTAACACAAGCCTGCAAGCACAATTCTGCTCCCTTGATGGATATGATGAACACATGTTATCAGGCTGCAGGTAAACGGTGGCCTAACTTCATTGCAGTTGATTTTTATAAGGTATGTACACTTCACTTTGTCATTCATAATCTTCAAGATTACATGAAGAAAACAAAGCCCAATTAGTTCGCCATGACCAATTTTCATATGCACATTTCAGAGGAGTGATGGTGGGGGAGCCCCAGCTGCCGTAGATGTCTCAAATGGTCGTCTAGTTTGTGGATGCGGAAACATTGCCAATTGCAAGGTCTGCTTCAATCTAAATTCCATTTATTTTACCTGGTCAAGTTTAGATTAAAACATCAGCATTTTGATATTGATTTGGTGGAAAATTGACACACAATTCTTTATTTGCAGCCAAATATGACCTTTGGTGTATGTAACCTACCTGAGCCTAGAATTGCCCCAGCCCCGGGAACTGTAGCACATGATTCCAGCTTTGCAAATTTTGATAAAAAACCAGTTCAAGTAAGGTGGCTGGTTGGGACAGTTCTGGTGGCATTTTTCTTCTCATTGCCAATTTAAATTCTGCAACTATGTTCTTTGGATGCACTAATGACAGAAAAGATATGCCTTTCTAACCAATAGAAACTTATACGCAATAGTCTTTGCAGTGGGATTCATGTGATTAAAAGCAGGATATTCTTTTTCTAAATTTGTTTATTTGGATGCGACACTGTCTCAATTGTTAGTATTGTTAACATGTCTGATGGCCACTTCCCTCCCTTTCCGAAACAGATAATTCTTCATTAATCAAAGGTGATAAAGAATCTATAACAATCAATTTTGCTTGCTCTCTGCAATGGGGAAGTGTTTTTGAAATAAATAAAAATGGGACGTGGGGAACATATTCATGAGCACCCACCATGTGAGTTGTGATTGTAGTGGGGTGATCAGAAAATAAACCTTCCAAGACTACATTTTTTTCTCTTAGCATAGTTGTTAAGACTACTCCGGCTGCTTTTCGTGTGTTTCATTTGGTTATTTATTTACTATTCTTATTGTTTATTTATTTAATGGAATTTATATCAGTCAACAGAAGGTTGAGCTTTAATGACTCATATCTAATACGGAGGCTGCATGTTGAAGCCACCTAATTTTCCATATTTAACAATGGTGCCTTGGGCTATTGTAAAAGTTGTTGAATCATCAAGTAAAGTTGCTGTAGTAATTTAAGAAGCAAATTAGGACCACGGCACTGGTTATGTAGATTCAACAATATGAAGCGTTATTATCTACGGAATCCAAGGGGAAGAAAGGAGGGAGAATCTAGGAGTTTACACTTCACACAGTGACTTGTTCATTTACTTGACACCGAATAACATTCTTCTTTCTTTTTGTCAAATGGCCTATAAACAGCTAGATGGGTTCCATTTTATATCGGGTTTCGGTTGGTTCTGATGAAAGCACCAATTTTGTGGGTTGGTCCGGCTCGAAGGTCAATCCACAGGCCCAAAACCAATGCAAACTGAATTGCGTCTTTTCTAAAGCAGACTACTGAACTTTTAGGCGTAACTGAACTTGGCTTATGGCACAAAAAAGGGAATGGTTTCATTGGTTTGGCTACTTTTCCCGAAAGTCTGAATGCCCAGTTCTTTCATTTTCTTGTTGAGGGTAACCGGGAAGGTCTCTATAATGTTAAATGAGAGTTCAATACCCACTTCATTTTTACCTTTGAACAAAGTCTAATTCATAGGGCGGTGCAGTGGAGTTTGACATAAACTCTGCGATTGTCCTCTCAAGATTATCTGCCTTGTTCCTCTGCTTAGGTAACCTATTTGGACCCAAGAATGAAAAGGGGGATTTGAATTTATGGGCTACCATCGACTAGGTTATCTGCCCTTTTAAATTGCCAACAACCCACTTGGCATGACATTAAAGGTCATCTTCCCTCTCATGTTATTGACCCAAGGTATTCACACCGTTGTTTCCTTAGAAAACGACCTTTTTTAATTCACCCATCAAATGGAAAATGGAATCTCTTGTATAGCCTTGGGCCTAATTTTATAACAATGCATGGGCTAGCTTCCAAGCCTAGACTGATCAGATTAGTGGGCCTATATTTGGACCCTAACCCTCTATTAAAGCCTGCTCAGAGGCTAGAAATGCAATTCTGGCATCCTCTGTGCGAAGAAAAAAAAATGGCATCCTTGGTCAAGGGGCGCCATGCCGAGGTAATTGTGCTAAAATCATGGGCACTCAAATTTAAAAAAACAAATTTGTGGTCGGTTTGTGCATGGCTCAAGGTACCATAGTCTCTTTAGTTTAAGCAATCCAAGGTTAATGACACATTAACATATATTAAGCTCAACACAAATCTTTCTGATCAATCTCTCCAATCAAAGCAATTAGCCTCTTATTACTGTCATTTATGTATTAAAAAACGGAATATACGATTTGTAGGTGGATAGGGGAATCCGGCTAAAGTCTGTCTTATGGCTAAGGAATAAACAATGTAATGGGAAGTTGGCATATTCCAAACATTTTCTTTATCTCGTAGGAGGAGTATTTTAATCGAATGAGAGTTACATTTTATATACAGAGTGACACTTTGTTGTGAATCTAAAATTTTATAAACAGAACAATGTACGAACAAAAATGTTTGCCTAAATGCTCCACTAAATTGAATTGTTTCGCATCTGCCTTAGTGCCTTGTATTCGTAAGTCAAGATGAAGGCATCAATTTGCATCAGCAGCAGCCCATATTGTTCGCTCAACTTAGGTTCCATATATTCTGCTTCGCCATCATTATTCCAAAACTTTCGAGTTATTGGCATCTACCAATTACAACTTTTCCAAGAATAATAAAAGCATCAGCTATTAAAAGAATTAAAATCTTGTGATATGGTGGGAATGTCAAACGTAAACAGTAGTCGGAGACGATGAATATGAATGCAATGAAGTGATCCAACAAATTCAATTGTGGCTGACAGTAAGCATTAACGAAGTCCATTTAATTTGCACCACAATGTCAATAAAGTCTCTTTATTCTCTTCCATCTCGAGGGTGGGTGAAATTCAATTTCTGATGTCTTCTAAAAATGTCATTAATTGAAATATTTGAATTTCGGAGCATGCACTTAGGGTCAAACCCCATCCACATGAAAGTATATCTTCTGGCTTGGAACTTCTCCTAAGTACCTTCAATATTCCATATTTATTATGCCATTGAAGCCTTAATTTCATAAATAACGGAGGTAGATGTCTCCAATTTTATTATATTTTAAAAATATCAAAACCATATATTAATATGCATTCAGATCCATACCACCAGTTTCAAGCGTGATTAATGGAATACATAAAATTTCCACCCGCTTAATATGCGCACCGAGACATACTCATCCCATAATCTTGACATTATTTTGAGATTCGGAAGTTTCTACCTTCTCAATCCAATATCAGATAATGTATTTTTTTTCACAAGTTTTTCAAATTTCGACATGGTTTGTTTGCTTTTTAACGAGAAATGAACTTCGTCTCGCAATATACTCCAACTGTAACATCGGACTATCAGATTAGAAAAGTAAAAAAAAAATGAGGATTTAGAAATTTTAGCTAACAGTCAGCCAAATTTGAAAGCTATCTATAACTTATTTAAAAAAAAAAAAAAAAAAAACCTCCAAGGTTGCAATATTAGGAGGCTATTCTCTATTTGACTGCTTAAATCACGAGCCACATAGATTCAACTCAAGTCGTCAAAACACCGTCCACTGTTTAACATCTCACAGAAAAGCAGGATTAGACATGTGGCTGGCAAAAATAACTGTGTAGTTTAGACCATGGCTGAGTTTGACTGCTGGATTCACAAGCATGCAAATTCAATTGGATTCGGAAAAAATGTTATCCAGTACCATACATGACATTAAAGAGTAAACTATAAATTAGTCCCTCTAATTTTGTAAAATAAATTAATTAATCTCCCTTGTCCTAAGAATTAATTATTTAATTCTTATATTTTTAATTTTTTGTCTTTTTTTTCAATTTATTTTGATTTTTTATTTTAAGAAATAGAAAAAAAAAGTAGAACACATGGAATGATTGATGAGAAAAATTGATGTTTTTAGAAATTAATTAATTAATTAATTTCTAAAAAACAGAGGGATTATTTTATAATTTACTCTGATTTTAAATATATATAAAAAGGAAGTATGTGGAGAAGAAGACTTGTCGTTGGATGCCACCAGCATCTTTATCTCTTGATCTCCTCACCATGCTCATTTTACTTGAAAGAGTAACTTCAGTTTCCCACATAAGCTTGGCTAAACTTTAGGTAATTCAGTGCGGTTTTAACATTATTTAATGGGCTCTATACATATAATGGATTTTTGCGCAAATGATGTATTGACGATGGAATATTTGCTGAAAAACTCTAGTTTAGCAGCTAAACCAGAACTTATTGTGATAGGTAATATTAAATATTTTTTAAAACAAATATTTATTTAAATATTTTGAATATATTAGATTGATGTGACATGGAAAGTATGTTCTTAGTATCATTAAAAATAAAATTTAATCTCAGTTAACATGTAATTTTTCTAAAAATATTCTTTATCGTCCAAAAAAAAAAAAACACATGCACCCAATATCTTGTTTGAGCCAAGCTAATTAGTGATTTATCGTAAATTAAATGCTTATTCAATATCATTCATAATTAGCTTAACGACTCTGATGTATTTTCTAATGATCATATTCTGTTGTTTTAAATGAAAACTTGCTTGAGCCATACTACAATATCATCAATGATTAATAAAACATTATCATTTGTAATAATTAAGTTTTATTTTTTCTCATCTTTGGCTTCTAGAAACCCTTGATATATGGAATACTAGAGCATCATTTATTTTTATTTTTTATCGTGTGGTTTGAAATACAATGTACCTACAGCTAGACGAAAATAAAATGACCATATCAAGTATACTAAACCTTTTCAACTTAAATCACCTGTAACGAGACCAACTAATTCCTTATATATCCTTATATTAAAAAGGACCCGACTCTTCTTTTTATTTTCTCAGGCTATTTAAATAATAATAATTACAAATAAGCTAATCATATTGATTTAACAAGAATCATTATATCATCAAGATTTAACATGCTTTTTAACAATAAAATTAATCAAACGCAAACATATTACATTTCCAAAAAAAAAAACCCATAAGATAATTTCCTCTTATCATTTCCATCAAACAATCTCTTTGCCCCTAGTCACTTTTCCCTTATCCTTGATAAAATATTTTGATCACATCATAAAAGAAATCAACCAATCCCTTTCGGGTCTTGGGTTAGAATTTGAATCTATACCACACAACACTCTCGCATGCCTTAGCTTTTGATGAACCAAAAAAGTCCACGTAGAGAAACTCCACCATACTAAAAATTGACATTTTGTGTGGACCACGTCAGCATCAAAATTCGAGTGGATACGTGGTAATAACGATACACCCCCACGTGGAAAGTAGTTCCATGATTTGAATATAGGACCACCAAAAAAAAAAATCTTAGGCCGAATCACAAATCCAACTAGGTTTGCCTCCTTTACACACTAATGGTCTGTGAGATAATATTTATTACCAATTAAAATATATAGAATAGAATAACACTTTCTATTTCTTTTTTCGTTTTTTTTTAATATTAGAATTGAATGACACCTTAACGAAATATATTTTCCTTTCTAAGAGATGACTAATTTGAAATCTGACGGTACACTGTGACTTCTTTTCATAACGACTTCGAAGTATCTTTTTCTATCTGAGACATGATTAGTGTACATAGGAAAAAAAGAAAAGAGGAAGAAGAAGAATAACACAGCAACTTAATTAATTTCTATTTACAATACTTAATCAAAAGGAGCCGCAGGATGTCTGTGTCAAATGCGGATGGCCTTTTGGTAGAAATTGTTAGTTTAAGGCATTAAAGTTGGAAAAGCAGAAACACGCATCTAGAAATTTTTTGCAGATTTAGATTCTGGATGTGACAATTAAGTCAATTGATTAGCAACCGTAGTAAACTAACAATTCTGATTACGTTCACATCCACTTGATCACTTAAAGCCAACAACAATATTAATTGCAGTGATACATACAACAACTGTATTAAAGACAGAAAAGTAGATAAAGTGATTTATTTATTTGTGAGTTGATGTGTGCTTTAAATTGCTTTTCAGGAAAAGTTTGTTAGCTAGCTAGATATGAAATTATTGCTTACTGGAGTAATTAAAATTTTTTTCATAAAGCAAATTACATAGCTAGCTTTTACTATAAACGCTAGGGAATCTCAAATTGCTCTCTCTCTCTCTATATTAAAAGTAATTTTTTTTTTGTCAATGATGCATAAAAATAACAATGAGCCAAGTATAAAACGGATGTCGATTTTATACGATTCAATAATTATTCATTAAAAATATATCACGGATATATTTTTAATGAATAATTATTGAATCGTATAAAATCGACATCCGTTTTATACTTGGCTCATTGTTATTTTTATGCATCATTGATAAAAAAATAAAACAGATATATTTTTAATGAATAATTATTGAATCGTATAAAATCGACATCCGTTTTATACTTGGCTCATTATTATTTTTATGCATCATTGACAAAAAAAAAAAATTACTTTTAATATAGAGAGAGAGAGAGCAATTTGAGATTCCCTAGCGTTTATAGTAAAAGCTAGCTATGTAATTTGCTTTATGAAAAAAATTTTAATTACTCCAATAAGCAATATATATATATTTCAGAATATGGTTACCCAATATATACCATATTAATACTTATTAATTTATTTTATTTTTTAACATATAAGAATTTAATAGCACAAATTTTAAAAATTAAGAATCAAAATATTTTTCTAAAAACATCAAGGACTAAACAAACTTATAAATAAAGGCTCAAAATGTAAAAAAAATAACTTTAAGGGCCATAATAACTTTTCAAAAAAATTATAAAGACTAATATGAAATATTTTGACAAATTATTTTAATGGATATTAAATAAGTATTAAATAGGTAGATAAATTAAGTATAAACCGTATATGGACCAATTTAAAATTTATAATGTGATTTCTTAATAAATATGGATAAGATTTTTTTAATAATTAGAATAAAAAATTAAATTAATAGACTAAATCTTCCTCTGTTGTCGTTCCTAATTGATGCATGCCACCTGTTTTCATTTAAAAAAAAAAAAAAAGGTTGAAACTAAAAAATAACAAAGGCAAAGAATCTAGATCAGAACATGCAAAAAAGTACAGCATCAAAACAATAAATTCATTTGGGATTATACTAATAGTACAACTTAGTATATATGTTTATGTATTTGCAATAACAAACACGGGAGCATGTGTGAGTTAGGGAATAAAAAATTGAGACACTCATCAGGCTAAAGTGGACTAGCGTAGACATTAGTGGGTAGATGTACAAATTTTGGCAAGAATCCTGTAATAGAGCCTCCCTGATGTGAAGGTTGCCCTCGATTGCAGAGGTGGCTCACGTTCATCCTTTTGAAGTTGCTTTGAAAAAGGTCTGAAGTGCCTGTGTAATTATCCACTAACAAATGATAAACACTGGGACATGATTTTTTTTTAAAAAAATGCAAGTTTAAAGTAAAGACCGTCCCTGGATACTGTTTGGTAAGTTGAAGTACAAACAAGAAAAAAGTACTCTGAAATTTTCATCGAGATCCCCCCTCAGTTTTTTTTTTAAATTATCCTACCTAGATCTTATTTAATTTCTTTTTTTACCATTTTTTTTTATCTTTTCCGACAGAGAAGAGAATGGCCGTACAAATTAAGCTTAATACAACGCGACAGGATTACTTATAATTCATCTCCAAGGTAAGTAAATTTATTTGTTTCCTATGCTATTATTTTAGGTTTGTGTCTAAAGAAAAAATACTATAAAAAATTTATAGACATGTTAATTCAAATACTGATAATCCATGTAAGATCAATCCAAAAAATAATTTAGGATTGCTGCATTTGAAAACTATTTTAAGAATAAATAGTATAGGCGTCGCCTATGGAGGGTATACTTAATAGTTTTTTTCAATGAATAAATTCAAATTTCAACAATTTTAATTTATTAATTATTATATAAAGAGTGAAGATTATTCTGATTGTGTAGTTTAAAATTTAACAAACCTTTCAATTAAAATAACAATACATAATTGTACTTTAGATCATACTAGTTTTTTTATCAATGTTTTGTCTGTGAGTCAAATAGAACACATAAAATTATTTTAGTTTGATATTTTTTTTATTATATTATACATATACCAAATATATATTAAATCAAAACTAAATAAAATTTTATTTAATTTTTTAATTTTTAATCAAAATTTTGGATTTCACTAATTATTCTTTATATTTTTTTATAAATTTTTGAAATATTATTTATTTATCTCTATCCACAAATTAAAAAATTTATAATGATATAAAAATGTCAAAATCAATAGATTTTTAGCTAAAAAATTATTTTGTAAATAGTTTTTTTTTGGAACATTTTTTTCCTTCAAATTTTTAATTAAAAAAAAAGAAAGAACAAAAGTGATCAAAATGAAATAAAAAAGGACTAAAATGAAATAAAAAATATTTACGGACTAAAAAAAAGTTTAAATAAGAATTACTAAAGTGTAATGTTACAAAAAAATTTATAATAAATATCTTTAAAATATTTAAAAACTATAAAAATATCACTCGTATAATGAAAGAAATAATGCCTCTAGATCCCGATGAATAGTACAAATGAATGTGAGTGAATAGGATTTCAAATAATATAGCGTATAGCAATTGATCATTTAATTTTAATTTTTTTTTCTTGTTAATAATTTGATATAATGCAGTATATGTTACTTTTGGAGGATATAAATCAGTCATTAAAATATTTAAAAACTATAAAAAAATATTACTATATAATGAAAGGAACAATACATCTTAATCATGATGAATAGTTCAAATAAATGTGAATGAACAGTATTTTAAATAATATAATGCATAGTAATTAATGATTTTATTTCATTTTTGATAATTTAATATAATGCAGTGTATGTTGCTTTTGGAGGACACGAATCAGCCATTAAATTTGGCAATATCTTGCATGAGTGAAGTTCTTTACTAATCTGCATTCCAATTGGCCTCTTGGGACCAATCATAATAGCCACAGGAATCCCAAACAGGGTGTTTTTGTCATATACCAAAGTGAAATCAAGCATGGAAAACCAATAGCAAGTCAAATAGATGAGCACGCATCTCGAGAGACGAGAGAGTGGTAGTCATACAAGCATGAAACCATTGGATAATCGTGATAAATTAATTGGAATTCCGTACTTGTAAAAACAAAAATAATAATCCTGCTCCAATATTTATAATTACAGCAAAAAAGAAGAAAAAAATAGTAAATGAGCTGGAAACACGTGCGAGAGAGGGAGAAAGTGCACGTGCAATGGTGTTGGGCTGGAGAGGCAACAGTTGCCTGGTTGACCGGAGACAACTGGGTCTTAACAGGACGGCGTGGCTCTTGGGGCGCACTGTCTCTGTGTCTCTGCAACCCCCACGCTTGTGTGTTTAATTTGCAAAATATCACTATACGACACCGCCTCCTTCTTTCCCCTTCTCTCTCATGCTAGGACCTGATTTTCACTTTGTTTCTATTTACTACGTACTGCTCCCTGCCACTCTGCCAGTTTTCAGTTTTGTTCTGTCATGAAAATAAGATATGGAAAACACAACTACACGGACAGATTCCTTACAGTACCTTGTAATCCATGCTAGAATTTTAAGGAGTTTTCTTTCTTTGCCTTTTGGTTTGTTTCTTTTCAGTAGTACAGTCGATGGTTGGCCTGTTGATAAATCAATATGTTTTTATTGTTTTTGATTTTGTTCATAGAGGTATTTCAGATCATCTTTCGTTTATGGAGACTAAATACACTTGAAACCATGTCAAACGTAAGTTATTCTATATAAGGATTAAAGGATTCAAGTGAATTTTATTTCTTATGCTGTGACTTGGGTTTTGAACTCTAAAGCTAAGGAGGGAGTATACGTGTCTTGACTAACTATCGAGCCAATCATGTTCACGTTATGATATGTTCTTTATATTGCCAATTAAGTTTAATTTCAAGTGTCATGGAAGGAATATATAATTTATTATTAAGTTCAATGTCGACATTAATGATCTGTTTTTGATGTACCTTGGTTTACATATTTGAATATAGTTTGTCACTGACCACGGGATATATGCTACGTTAGTGATACGCCGAATAACAAAAAAAGTATATATAAAAATACTCTAATATACCTTGCACATGCAAATAAAATGCGAAAGTAAATAGTTTAAAATATTTCGTATATGAATAATAACTAGAGAAACGTGTAATACATTTTTCAATGAAAAACTAATTTAAAAACGATTGATGTGCACAAAATATAAAATGTCGGTACTTTAAAAATTAAAATAGTGTAGACTAGCAATTTGGGATAAGCTAGAGGATATTAATATTAATTAACGTAGGTGACAAACGTTCCAGTTCAACGTGCAACTATCATGCTTTTTTAATGTCATCAGCACATACCGTGGTAAGTGATTGATTTCGTGGAGATTGATAAAAGTTAGATAACTACTTGATCAAATCTAACCAAACTTAGCAAACTTAATTCTCTATGCATTAATTAAAACATTAAGTTATTTTTTAGGATAAATATATTTATTTGTTTTTTTATGGTACTTAAAGTTATCTATTTATCTCTGAATTTTTAATTGTATTTCATATGTTTCTAAAAATGTTCGAAATGCTTAATTATCATTTTGATCAATTTTTTGACCATATGATTTTTTTTTTACCAAAAAAAAAAAATTTAAAGACTTCAAAAATAAAAAACACAACCCATGTGACTTTAAATATATATATATTTTTTTCATTTTAGTAAATGACATCTTGGTAAAAAAAAATTATCCATAGTTAGAAAATTTGATCTAAATGACACATTAATTATTGTAAAAATTTTCAAGAAAATATGAGTTGCAATTAAAACTTTAGGGATAGATGAGAGATTTTGAATATTATATTAGGACATATGGATGTATTTATTTTATATTTTAATGAGTTATTTGATATCACTTTTGTTTTTTTTTTTTTTTATAAAATTTTAAAAAATAAGATATGGAAATTTTTTTGATAAAATAAAATTAGAAACAAATTTTGAAAAAAAAAAAAAAGTTTTCACAACTAGTTTCTTATACTATCACCATATGTTTTGAAAGTTAGATTGGGTTTGAGAGTCGAGAAATGACCGTGAATCATGAAGGAGATCGAGGATTCATGCTAGGACTTGGTTCAAGATGTCGAGGATTCATATTAAAACCTTGCTGAAAGAGCTAGGGATTTGATTCAAGTCTCTTTCAGTTTAGGGCAGGACCTAATCCACAACAATCGAAATTCCATCAAGGACTAGGTTGTGAGAGATAAGGAGTCAATGCATGGCACTCGAGATTGGATTCAAAGTGCTCGAAGGTTGGCACACTGATATCAAAGGACCTCATATAGGATGCTTTAGGAGTAAGTCCATGATTAGGCAGGAGGTTTTCATGGTTCGGGTTGGGATTGGGTTTGGGATGCTTAGGGTTAGGGTTGGGAGGGGAGCGGAGTTCGGGTCGAGTTGCTTTTGGTGGTCGATCCTAGATCAGATATGAAGCACAATGGTTTATATTCAAGATCGAATCTAGGATGCTCGAGATTTAGGATAGGACTAAATCTAATGTGTTTGATTGTTTGATTGGAACCAGGTTTAGAACGCACATGGTGTAGACTATGATTGAGTTCGAAATACAAAGGATTAGACCAAGACCGATTATGGAGCTCAAAGGTGTTAAATTGAAATTAGATCTATGATGTTTTGAGATCAGGTCGGGAGTACTCAATGAGATCAAGTAAAGAGTACTCAAGTTTTGAATTCAAAAAACTTAAAAAACTTGTGATTAATCTTAGAAACTCAAGCATAAGATAGAAATTTAGTGCATTTTGTTAGGAAAGAAAAAACTAACAAACAAAACAAGTTTTTAATTTTTTTAAAACAAACGAATAAAACGAAAAAATTAAAATAAAAAATGATACCAATCATTCATAAAATTATGTTGGATTTGATTAAAAATCGAACCAACGAGAAGTTTGCAGATCTAATTGAACAATTAGACTATACATCTTAAACAAAAACAATTCAATGAGATCAGTATATTTTAATAATTCTAGTCAGGATTTTTCTTATATGTGATTAGGTGATCACACGAAAAGTAGTAATTGATAAATTATCCAATTTTGTGTTAGGAACGTGGTAATGAAAAGACCATATTACCGTTCTTAGCTAGCAACCCTAGCACGAGATAGATTCTCTCTTTATGATATTGAAAGGGTAGGTCCCACTTAATCAACATCGTCCACTTAACAGGGGGACCCATCTCCATCAAGAAACCACCACCTTACTAATGTTATCCATAGAACAAAATTTTCTTTTCTTTAATTTCTTGTTCTTGCTCGAATAAAGTGGTGGAGAGACAACCTGGACCCGCACATTCTTCTGTTTTATCTGTTCATCTTTGACCTTTGACTGCCCTACTACTGTAACATAAACAGACAATTCTGACCTAATTATATTGATGGCTTCTTTGCTTCTTTTTCTTTGCAATTTGGGTAATTTCCATTTATTACCCACAACTTTAACCTATTATTTCTTTCAGTCGGTTTATTGCATTTTACTACTACTTGCAACAAAGTAACGAGCATGGGTTAACTTTGTCGATAGAGTCACTCTTTTTGCCTAAGAAAGTTAACTTTGCCAATAGCCGTACTCATTTATACAACAAAAATAATTATAACAGATATTGAAAAAAATATATATTATCAAATTTTTGTGGGTTAAGACCCAATAATTATATAAAAAAAATATTACTGTTTAAAAAATTTATCTTTTCAACTAAACAATTGAATGTAATTTTAGGTCATTGTTCATTATATAAAATAATCTCCTCTGCTACATCTATTGAGTAGTAATTTTTTTTTTTTTTTTGGTTTTGAATTCTATATGTCACTATAGATTGGTTGCATTTTTTTATTTATTTATAGATAATACATCTTTGGAGGATTTCCACGACATTAATTTTAAATTTACTATATTATACAAACTTGTTCGTTACAATAAATTTGTATTAAAAATAATTAATGTGGTTTTACTGTACATTATTTAAAGGTTTCGCTTGTGAGAGAAAAACTTCTTGATATCCAATGACCCAATTTTATAAAGAGTTGTTAAATATGATACAAAAGCTCTCTAAAAGCGTAGAAACTTTGGAGATTGGGGTTACTATTGATCCATTTTCCCCACTTTTCCTTTCTATCACACAGCAAACATTTGACACACCACCAGACTGTAAAGGATGTATTAACATAATGTTGTTGCACTCAACGTCCATAATGGACAGACACCCAAAAAGGAAGACACCATAAAGTTATTCCTGTTAAAGCAGTAAAACAGAGATTGAACCAATAGCAACAATACTACTACAAAAAGGCAAGACATGGTTTGGCCAATTACCCAATTACGACAGGATAATAATTGAAAAACCAAAACTACAAGGGCAAAACTGAAAATACCATCCACCCCCGTTAATGATGCTCAATCAAATCACAAAACAGTCTAATAAATGCTCTAAATTAACCAATCTGTCACATAATTTACCTCTTTGATGTAAACAGGAGTTAGATATTAGAGCCTGTTTTGTGGGTCCCAACTAGTCTCACTAATTTCATTTGACCAGCACAAAAAGCTTTCCCATTCCCCCTTTCCCCTTTCCCTCTCCCACAGGCCACAGCCGAGCAAATTCCATGACACGTGTGGCAAAGAGTCTGATAAAACCAGACCCACACCCACACACACACACACTCTTTGCTACACTTTTCTCTGTTCCATTTCATTTCATATAAGAGGAACCAAACCAGAACACACAGCCTAACGAGTCTGAAACAGAATTTTCAGACTTCCTCAGATTTTGCCATCACTTCTTACAAACCACCCAAATTAATACCGCCATTATTGTCTTTCCGAACTTATTTTCCTCCAATGCCTCGAAGTTTAGAGCCTTTAGATTTGACAGTTCAAATTCCATACCATTTTCGGTGTCCGATCTCACTTGAACTAATGCGTGACCCAGTCACCGTTAGTACCGGTCAAACTTACGATCGTTCTAGTATCGAATCATGGGTAGCTACCGGTAACACTACCTGTCCGGTTACCCGAGCCCCACTCACCGACTTTACTGTAATACCAAACCACACTCTTCGCCGTTTGATTCAAGATTGGTGTGTTGCAAATCGTGCTTTCGGCGTGGAACGAATTCCAACTCCGAAACAGCCTGCGGAACCGAGTTTAGTTCGTTCTTTATTAAACCAAGCTGCCTCCGAGTCAAGCCCTACCCACTCTCGCCTCTCTGCTCTCCATCGACTCAGAGGACTCGCTCGTGATTCGGACAAGAACCGGTCTGTCATTTCCTCTCATAACGTTCGTGAAATTTTAATCAATATCGTGTTTTCAAGCACTCAATCATTAGATTTGAGCCACGAGTCACTCGCGATTCTGGTTATGTTTCCGCTCACTGAGTTCGACTGTGTGGCAATAGCCTCGGACCCGGAGCGGATCAGTTACTTAGCTCATTTACTATTTGATTCGTCAATCGAAGTCCGAGTCAACTCAGCTGCATTCATTGAAAATATTATTGCTGGAACAAGATCATCGGATCTTCGACTTCAAATTAGTAACACAGAGATTATCTTCGAAGGAGTGATAGAGATTTTAAAAAATCCTTTATCATCTCCTCGTTCACTTAAAATTGGAATAAAAGCGCTTTTCGCGTTATGTCTAGCGAAACAAACTAGACATAAAGCGGTCTCCGCAGGAGCAGCGGAGACATTAATCGACAGACTGGCAGATTTTGATAAATGTGATGCAGAAAGAGCCCTTGCCACAATAGAATTACTTTGCAGAATACAAGTTGGTTGCGCAGCATTCACAGAGCACGCGCTGACTGTGCCCTTGTTAGTCAAGACTATTCTGAAGATATCAGATAGAGCAACGGAGTACGCAGCGGGAGCGTTGCTGGCGCTGTGTTCAGCGTCTGAGCTGAATCAGAAGGAGGCGGTTTGCGCGGGGGTATTGACGCAGTTGCTGTTGTTAGTACAGAGTGATTGTACTGATAGAGCTAAGAGGAAGGCACAGATGTTGTTGAAGCTGTTAAGGGATTCATGGCCTGAGGATTCTGTTGGGTATTCTGATGATTTTGTTTGCAGTGAAGTGGCGCCGTTTTGATGATTGTTTTGTCGAAGGGTGATCACTTGCTAATTCTAAAATTTTAATTTTCTAGTTTTCATTAGTTGAAAGCTGAGGGGAAAAAAGGGAAAAGAAAAAAAAAAAGAAAATGGAAATTGAGCTTTAGATATTGGTATATGGAGGGATTGTAATTTTCTGTATGTAATTTTTGTATGTAAGAATTTTTGTTTAAAAGTCTTTTAAGGAAAGTTGAAAAGCAAATGAAAATTGGATCTGCTCATCTTTGGAAAAGAAATTTATTCTTTATATTTTTTTCCCTTCGGTTTTTAATTTTATATTTCGTGGGGGTGACAGTGGTAACGTTGAATTGAGATTGATGATTATTTTAATTATTAATGTTACTATTAATTTTCTTTGGGTACACTCTTTTGAAAGGATGACTTTGTGGATTTGTAGCTTAATTTGAATAAGTTGGTGGCGGATAGCTTAATTTGCTTATCTAGGCTGTGTTTGACAAACTTTTCCTCGAAATCCGATTTGAAAGTTGGACAGCAGAGAACTTGACTGGAATCTTAGGGTTCAGGGTTTTCAACTGGAAGGGTTAGAGTTTAAGGAATTGAAACTCTTTGAAACCCAAAATACCTGTTTTAAAGTCTGGGCAATCATGATGATTTAGCAAGTTCATTAAAAGCCTGAGAGATGGTGATCATGGCTGCCTAATGTCCCATGGATGAGCTGCTGAGTTACCATACACAGAATATGAGCATAAAATGTTTCCATAGTTGGTAAACTGTCACAAGATGCCAGCGTGTTTCTCAAAAATCAAAACCCAAATTGTGTGACCTCTTACCCTAGAGTTAAGACCTTTAATTTCAGTTAAATAATTTCTTGATGACGTTATGATTAGATCTTGAAGGCTCAGGTTATTGTCTTAGTTAGGAGTTAAGTCATGAAATTATCGCTCCTGTTCTTTTCTGATGTAAGAGGCATCATGTGTTGGTAAAGGGACGGTACAACTTGGCTAAGACTCAAGACTATCAAAGACAGCTCCATTTCAGCGTGCTATAGGGATATGTACATAGAAATTTTGCCATGAAAAAGAAGAGCAGCAAAGGAAGTGCTCGAGGACCCACAGTATATTTGGAAAAGAGGTGTGTGGTTTAAAGATGTAGGAGACGATCTTCACATGTTTGAGTAACAAAAAACCATGGACTTAATCACATGCTCTGGTTTATATTCTCTCTCTCAGGGATGGCTACTGGCACTCATCTGTCTCAACCCAACTTTGGTTTCTACTCTTTTAAGTCACAACCAACAGGAACAAAAGCAAAATTCGTTTGTCCTTGAACCCCTCTGATATGCAACATTTGGGACCCAATAATTAATGTTTCTTTCGACTTTTTTGAACTTGCAAGTGTTGAATTCTTGAATTAATATTCCTTCTATGCTATCAAATACCCTTTTGAAGCACTCATGAAGGTCTATGGGTACCCACCAATCCATGCTTCTAGCTATGACCATTCAACTGATTTGATTTTCATCCAATACATTGTCTTCTCCATGCATCATTGTTACAGATTTTTTATTTGTTCGGTTCTCTATTTTGTTTGCTTATACAAAAATAACGCATTATATTTATACCCTTTTACCTAATATCATTTGTATGCTCTTAAACAGAGATTCTGCCCTCCAAATATCGGCGTGTTCCCTATTTGTTTGTAAATATAGATTAACCAATTCATCTTTTTTCTTCTTCTCGAAGATCATGTCGGTGATGCAATAAATATGAACACAAACAGTAGCTCTTTTCTGCCTTTGATTGCCTGAAATTCACTCTCTAATTTCAAAATTATATTCGCTCCCTATAGCCTATCGGGGTCGGTGGGTATATCATATAACCTTACGCTGATACGCACACCCATGAAAAACATGCGGTTTCCCTCCTGTTTTTAGGTTACTTCCGTAACAGCAAGGGCAACCATATAAATGTGGCTGGTTGGTAGTTACCACACTACTCTTTGGTCATCTGAATTTTAGAGGCCACACAGGTTGAATAACCCATGATATTTGACATTTTTCTGATCAGACAGACTTTCAAATTTTTTGAAGTTTTTTTATATTTACGTTAGAAGATTCCTTCTAAATCAAAATTTATTTCAAAATGATTTTCTTTTTCTTAAAAATATAAATGAAGACAAGTAAAAATTATATTTTTAATTTTTTTTGAATAACATCGGGAGATGCACGGATGTCGAACCTGGGCCTAACATTTGATCCACAAAAATGGGCTGTGTATTTCTTCCAAGACAGACACGTTTGGTGGCGGCCTAGAAGTTCATGTTTCCACACATGTTCTAGGGGCCCGCTTTACTGTGTCATAATTCTCGATTTATTCTGACCATAGAGGCTGTCATAAAAATAGAACTGGGCCTTAGGCCTGACATGTCATCCTTTTGCTGAACCCAATTAATGTGTCTCAACTAAACATATCATACAGGAGCCTTTTCTTTTTGTATAGTTACTTGAAGACATTATTCTCAATTTATAGACTATGAATTCCATATAGCTATATATTAATTATACAATAAAAATTTATTTTATTAATTTTCAAGTTAACTAATTATTATGTAATTTTGCTACTTTTGAATGATATAGTGCAATTCAATATGTAACACAAGGAATGGTTAATTATGTTTGCTTATTGTGCTACAAAAATTTATCGTCATTTTATAATTCAACTAATTTTACTGTGCTTATGATAATTACAGATTATTATATATAATTCCACAGAAACAATACCTTGTTGTGTTAAAGGGAAAAAAATAAATACTATTTGCTTCGTAAAATATTATTTTAAAATAATTACGAATTAATAAATATTTAGGTTTAATGCATCATAAATCTTATTTTATTGATTCGTAAATTTGAAGGCAATTATAGTCTCTTCAAGTAACAATAGTAAGCACTATTATACAAGTGATTTTTTTTTTCGAAAAAAAGATAGAAAATAATTAATGAAATGAAAGTGACTATCCTTAAAAAGAAAGCAAATAGCGAAAGTGACGAGTAGGCAAAATAATAATAATAATGATGATGATGATGATAAGCCCTACATCTGCGGTTCATAATTTTTCATCATTTCATGCCATAATATTAGCATCACTCTTTTTATTTTTCCCACCCAAAGTATGAGGTTAATCAAATTAATTCACAAAAATATTGTGCTTTCTCCAATGTTTTGGTTTTTCTGTTTTTTGTTAGTTCGGTTATCGAAGCACTCGGGCAAAAATTTATGAGCCGTGATCACAAGGTTAGGCAAAAGCTTTCTTTTATCAAACAAAATGAAAATAATATGACAGTTCTCTTTCATTTGCTAGATCACAACATTTTACCGGGTGTACATATATATGTGTGTGTAGTTATAAATCATGCATAAAATATGACAAGAGAGATCAAAAATAGATTTGAATTCTCTCATATCTACGATAGCATGATAGCTCATTTATTCATTTTTGTATAATGATGAACAAGAATTAATCGGCTTAATTTGCTGCAATGATATCACAATTATAGTAATTTATTTTGTTAGTCTATCAATTAAAAAGATCTAAAATTTTTGAATTTGTATATATGAAGCTGTCATATTATTGATTGGTTAACAATTTAACAAAAAGTATGCATGTTTTGGAGAGATTCTCCTTTTATCTGCAAAACGAGAAAATTTTGATTTGTAATTAATTGCAAAATTGTATAGTACGAAAAGTATTTGTATTAACGAAACTGATAAAAAAAAAATAATACTTTTGAAGGGTACACATGATTATACACGCATGAAATTAACTTGAAAAATTCTATCTCATACAGACCAAAAGCTAATTAATGCTTAAGAGAAACCAATCTATATATTTAGCCAACTATAACTGTGATTCAATCAAGGAAAAAATATGCAATAACAAATCTTGGGGTTGGTTTTCTATAATCAAGAAGAGACCCAGCACATTATCTCACATGCAACTTGTTTGTATACTTCTTCCACTGGAAACGTCTCTCCGAACTGGTCAGATGAAGCTCCACTTGCCTGCTTATTTTTTTCACATGGAGGATCAAAATATAAGTTTTCAACTTGCAAGGTAAAATTGATAGTTTATATTCGTGATATCTTGCTATATTAAGTTTTAAATAAAAAAATTGTACATACATACATATATGAAACTTTAAAAAACCATGTCATTGTGATTTTTTAAAATATTTCTACATATAGCCTTTGATCCGTTGAGAATGTTAAGACATGAAAGAAGTGAAAATTTTGAATCCCTCCATAAGCAACTTCATAATATATATATAATTACTGGTAACGACAAGGAGAAAGTGACTTACATGAGTTTGAATCATGTACATGCTCCGATTGCAATCAGAGGAAACATGAGCAGACAGCACCTCGACATTATGCTTCTCGAACACATAACAGATAGTAGTGAAGAGTCCCTGCTTCTTTGGAGAGCATACACTAATTTGTGCTTCATCACCACAAATATTCAACACCACATTTGAAGAAGTCCATGTTTGAAAGAGAACAGGATATCTTGAGACTGAGGGTAAAGATTTTGTTGTGCTAATTGCCAAGTTATTTGAAGATCCTTGATCAGCTAAAAATGCCTCTCTGGAGTCTGCTTGCTTTTGTGGGGCAATCATAGATGGCTCATAACCGAAACTCATGGCACCTTGGACCCTTTCTAGCTTCTCTTTTTGTAGCTTTTGGAGAGTTTGCTGTAGGGTTTTGATGTAGTTCACTGCTTCATCAACAACTGTGGACTTGTCAGCCTGTAAAAAATGGAAGGTACGTAGTTAAGATAGACCTCATGAAATTATTACTTTTCGTCAAATTTTATTGTCATATATATATATATGAAAATTGATGACATGTTAATGAGTTATAGTTCAATTGGTATCCGTATTATTTTTCTCTTCAAGAAGTTTGAGTTTCAACCTCTCTTTTATAACATACGTGTATAAAAAAAAATTGACAATATGTTTCGTAGCTTGTACACATAAATTGTTAGATAATGGAATTGGAAGATCTAGGAGCTTTCGATAGATTTCGTGGATTACAATATATAGCATGTAGCATTTCGCCCTACATTTAAAACAAAATCCATTGCTAAATACGCCCTGTATGGATGCAATTCAAAAATTGAAATCCATTTTTAGGTTATCTATCTTGGCCAAGATGGATAGGGTTTCTATAAATCAAGAAACAAGGGTTTGAATTCAATGTGGGAATTAATGGATCAACATGTATCGAGAGAAACTGGCAATCACACACAAAATTTTACCTAGTTAAAGCTTACACTTACGACACTTTAATGCAAAAAAAAATGTTGATATTTAACTTGAACTTAGTCCACGCGAAAGTAAAAGAAAAAAATGACCATCCTTCTCTATAACTGCATGCTTGTGAAGCAAACAAAAATGGAACCCTTTTAGAAAAAATTCATACCGAAAAGGCAGCCTCTTTTCATAAAGCTAAAAAGTTAGTGGCTTGCTCTTCAAAACTCACCAAGAAATTGTATGAAAACATGAGAAAAGACTATAATTAGGCCTGCCAAGCTAGAGTGTGTGTGTATATATAAACCCTAGCCAGCTAACGAAAACTCCTCAAATTGGACTAATCTTATGCTCCTGTTGGTTAACTTGAACCTTTAAGTGCATGTATAATTAATTACCTTAGGAGGAAGTTGAGGAAGCAAAGCGTGAAGATTAGAGAACATGGTCCTCATCTTCTTTCTCCTCTCTCTCTCAGTCCATATATGTGTCTCATGATCTGATTCATCTCCTCCTTTTCCTTCTTTAACTTCACCTACACTTCCCTTACCATTAATTTTGCGCATTTGACCTCTCTTCTTGGCCTTATTTTCTTGTTCTTTGATCCCTGTTTCTGTTTGGCTATTTGAGCTCGAACCAGGCAGTAGCTTATTCTTCTCTAATTTCTCTTCACTTCCACCTGAATTATCAGAATTTGATAAATCCCAAGTTTGGTTATCCCACATGAAACTTTCATGCCCTCCTTCTTCGGACATCCTTATATTAAGAAGGAAAAAAAAACAGACAGATGGGCAGGCAGAGAGAGATAAAAGAGAGGGTTTTGGTGGATGCAAGGACGAAAGGGGAGAGAAAGGAGGTGTTTATAAAGGTGGCAAAGGGAGAGAGATGAGAATTAGGGTAGGGTGGCAAAGGAGAAGATATTAGACAAAATACAATCATAAGGCAATGCCGTTACTCGTAGGCATGAAAACAAAACGGAAACATAAGCTAAGCGCGTTGGTACAAAAAGGATTTCATTTCTTTCTCATATGTGAGGTCCCACATTTTTTATGGCCCCACTTGACCAGACCATATTTATCTTTCCAAAGAAATTATCCTCCTAGAAAAACCAAATGCCTTATTTGGAAAGAGAATCTCAATCTTGATCAATGGCAGTTTTACCTTATTTGGATATTGTTATTTCTCAAAGACTTTTTACTATTATTGTTATAATTTGGGGTGCATTTATGATTCAATCTTTTAATTCAATGGTATTTTTTTTTTTTGTAATAAAAGGTATCTGAGCTTACTTTCTACATTATTAATTACCTTAATTGGATTATATTCAAGAAAAAAATTGTGAATGAATTTAGATATAGGTGAAAGCTTGCGCAAAAAATATTATACTAAATTACTAATAAATAAATAAAAGAAAAAAGAAAGTCTAGGAGTTTAAATTATAGATCATAAGTAAAGTTCTCAAAACAAGCCTTAAAATAGATAAATAAAAAATTATCAAAATAAGATGAGATGATATTCGGACAATATAATTAATTAGGGAATGAAAGAAGCAGAAACTGAATATTATCCGACAATATGAAATTAAAATCTATTTATCATAAAAAAGGAAAAAAAGATTAAATCTTTAATAAATTATCTGTGACTCAGCATGCCGCTAGATCACTTAAAAACTGAAATGAGGAATCAAATGACAAAGACAACCCACAGTATTCTACGGTTGCTCATGGTTTAATTAAAGATTGAGTAATCCTTATCATTTGTTTAATTGAGACAAAACATCATATTTATAATTAGCATGTTCTCATCTTGTGTCTGACACCATAAACAATTATTAATCCCCCCAAGAAAAAGAAAATTGCTATTACATTATATATATATATAAGAACGTTACTTATGAGTGTACGTAATGATTAAAATGTCAGAATTGCCTTTTATCATCATTATTTTCTAGAAAAATAATATATATATATATATATATATATATATATATATATATATATATATATATATATATGGCGTTATAAGGAAGATAGAATTTTTTAGAAAAAAATAATTTTATTAATATCAAATTCTTACAAAATAATTACTCTCTTAACATTTCTTTTAAAAAATATTATAAAAATCTTTTCGGTTTTAGCGAATAATTATCGTCTGAATAACTTCTTATCCTTTCATAAGCGAAAGTTAAAATATATGTTAACTTCTAAAATTAAGATTTTTTAAAATAAAATTTGTATTCCAAATCTTGCACGCAATTGAATTTCTTACTTTCATAGATCAAAAGAAAAACAGACGGTAATATCAAACTCTATTGATGACAGATTTGAGTCTCCAACCACTGCCATTGAATTTTAAATTCTTTCACTGCCATTTGAGTCTCCAAAATTTTAATTAAATGACCTAATCTCTAAGATTTGGAGAATAAAATTCTCATTCACAGAAAAAAAAATCATATTTACAAATCATATCTAAAAACTAGGTTTAGATGGTAGGAAATAAAGAAAAAAAGAGGGAGAAAAATTTCATTCATTTCAAAAAATATAAAAAAAATAATCAAATAAAAAAGTTCTTGCTAGCTAAAAGCAGCCGACGACAGCCTAAATTAAGGTTTATAAAGAGATATTTTTATAAGAAAAATTAATTAGAAAAAAAGGTAATTCAAGTAGTACGTACATTTGATATGTTTAATGTACTCAAAGTTATAAGAACACACATTAATGGTTAGTCTCTACGGCCCTTAAATAACAGTTTACAAGCCTTATTAGTTATTTCTTCTCTACCAAACATTTTATCCTACTCTCTATTTCTTTGTATATCAAAATGAATATTATCTGGTCAAAATATTTAAATTATATATTATACTATATATAATGCCTATTATTAGAGCTCATTTGCAAGGTACGTACAATTAAAATGTCAAAATATTTTAATCCCCCAAGAAAAAGAAAATTGCTATTAGATTATATATATATATAAAAGAGCGTTGCTTATGAATGTAGGCAATTACCTTTATCATCATTATTTTCTAGAAAAATTATATGTTTATATACATATGTGGCGTTATAAGGAAGATACAATTTTTTGGCAAGAAAGTAATTTTATTAATATCAAATTCTTACAAAATAATTACTCTCTTACCATTTGTAATAAAAAAATATTCTAAAAATCTTTACGGTTTTAGTGAATCATTATCTTCTGCATAACTCTTTATCCTTTCACAAGATAAAGTTAAAATATATTTGAACTTCTAAAATTAAGATTTATTAAAATAGAATTTTTATTCCAAATCTTGCACGCAAATGAATTTCTTACTTTCATAAATCAACAAAAAAATAAATAAATAAATAAACCGTATTACCAAACTCTATTGATGAACTATTTGAGTTTTCAAACACTGTCAATAGATTTCAATTTCTTTCAAATAACAAAATAAACTTTCAAACAACTTATAATCAAAGGACCTAATCTCCAAAATTTGGAGATATAAAATTCGCATTCGTAGAAAAAATCATACTTACAAAAAATAAAATTAATCAAATAAAAAAAGAAGTTGTTACAGCTAAAAGTAGCCGACGGCAACTTAAATTAAGGTTTATAAAGAGATAAGAGAAAGAAAAAGAAAAAAAAGATACAAGCTTATTATAGCAATAATGCATGCATCCAAATCGAAGCAAAGCAACACTTTTCCAACTCCAAGCCATGGTATATGGATGGCACCGCTCCGTAATATTATAACTGTTGTAATTTACATTACGAGAAAAATTAATTAAAAAAAGGGTAATTTAAGTAGTAAATTTGATATGGTCAATACATGGACTCAAAAGTTATAAGAACACATTGGTTAGTCTCTACGCCCATAAATAATAGTTTACAAGCCTTATTAATTATTTCTTCTCTTCCAAACATTTTATCCTACTTTCTATTTCTTTGTATATCAAAATGAATATTATCGGGTCAAAATATTTAAATTATATATTTTACTGTAATGCCTGTAATTAGAGCTCATTTGTAAGGTACTTACAGTTAAAAAAGAGTAGTTATTTTCATGTTAATTTGTATACACACACACACACCAACAATATATCAAATTTATGTAAATTAAGCTGCGCATATTCTAAACAAAATTACCTCTATATAATTATGCTTTGTTCCCTTAAAAAAAGAGAAAAAAACATTATAGTACATCATTTAATGAGAATATCTTCTGCAAGGTTGTCTAATATTTGTATTATTTTGTGTTTGCTTTATTGTTCAAGTAGCTTTGATCGCGCGTGGGCTAACTAAGCGAAATTATTAAAAGAAAATGCTGTTGGTTTAGATATTCATGGGAAACAAGAAAAAATGTATAGAAATAGATCCTATTAACTGCCTAATTACGGTAAATATTCATATTCATATAATGAATTTATTTTAAAATATTTACTTTTTATACGAATGTGATTTAATTATGAAAATTGAATTGTGAAAGGTAGGACTCGAATTTGAGATCCCACGACCCTCTCTTATTTATGAAAAAAATAATAGAATTAATATGATCGAAGGCTACTCGTGACAAAAGTATCAGTACTAAACTTGTTAAGGTATCTATTTCCAAAACCGAATGTTTATACTTATTGTTGAAACTTTTGTAATAACGAGGATTATCTAATTAATATTTTGGTGTTTGTTTTTGTTTTTAAATGGTTTCGTAATTAGGTGTGTAGATATACACATATAATTTACCATAGGAGGATTTGTTATAATTTAATTACCATGCCAATCTAATCTAGTTAAACCAAATATTGAAGCATCTAGCATTTACCCAAGGACTGATTAATAATTCAGCTAGCATGCATTCCAGCTGGGATTTTATTGGCAGCTGCAAAGAAAAATAAAAAGAAGAAGATGAGATTATAAAATAAAGAAAACCTAAATGCGTCATCAAATCAATCACTACAAGGCATTATTACATACATGGCAATTATCTGTCTATAAAAATAACATATATAGTACTAATTAGTATAAAACAAAAAAATCTGGCACTGAAACTATAATACGGTTTGATTGTAGACGTAACATATATATGTATGTGTGTGTGTTCAATAAAGTTGTAAAGGGAAACCTCTCAAAATGGTTATCTTTAGAATGCTGTTTTATGTAAATAAAGGAAGGAAGAGAAGTCACATACAAAGCTGTTGATACCTGGCCCTGCATAATAAAATCAGCCCAAATAAAATTGAGTAAAAATGCATAAAACCATATATAGGATTTTTTTTTATTATTATTCATTAGATGAAAAGTTTTTTTTAAAAAATATTATACATCATTTATTTATTTATTGAGAAAAATAACGATCAAGCTGGAAAAGAACTCCGTTACTCCAGGATTTTCCCCCAGTCATACTAAAAAGAGACCTTAAATACCAAAGAAAACAGAATAAAAAAAAAAAAAAACAGAAGAAGAAGCAAACCTTTAATAATAATACAGCTTTGTAAAATTTCTTTTTGAATCAAATATCCATGGTTAGAGGTAACAACAGGGGAGGATTATTTGGGCTGCAGGCTTAGATTTGCAGAGTGGCGGCTCATTTCCAATGTGACGGTCTGATGGAAACATTGGTGTCGTTTTAAACGACAGTTCATTTGTTGCTATCAGAAAGCCAGATTCGAACGGCAAGCATATGTTGGCTTAATAAGATGGAATAATGCATGCTCTTTTGTAAAATGCAGCTGTTCTATTTTTGTTGACAACCCAATATCATCATATAACTTGTGAAATTCATTAAAAACGCATTGAATTGAGAAGAGTCCATCCTCAAAATATAAATATGGGGCCTTTCCTTTTCATTTATCCTAACTAGTTTAGTCATAACTCAGTAAATTAACAAGTTTGGTAACATCATAAAATAGTTTTTTTTTTTTTTGGGTGCAAATTAAACAAAAAATTTGAAACATCGAAGGATACATTCAGCTAATTGCAATCTGCATCCAGCTAAATGCTCTGATAATGTCATAAAAATTATTTCTCATATATTCATGATAGTCACGATTATTTGAAGGCATAGGACAGACCCCTCATCACTCATGTTGCAACTTATAACATACAGCTCTTGGGCTCTTCCAATTTTATGCAGTTCATGAGCAAATAAAATGGTTTAAACCAAGGCGGGTGAATAAATAGGATCTGATCCACCCAGTTTTTGGATATGATGATCTGTTTTTAAGAAAATAAAATTTCCAGGAAATGACAATATCTTCTCTCTCAAGTGAGCAGGGCTGTCATCTTACAAACGGGGCAAAGATTTTTCTGCATTAGCCACTGTTTGACGCAGTTGATATGAAAGTCATGTCCACAATCGATTATTCCCATATCATCCCCATCCACATATTCTTCCTGTCATGAAAAATGAGTTAAAACAAAATTAAGAAACCAATAGAATAGCCAGCTGAAATGAATAAAAGCGGCATCTATTTCTTCTCCTAATCCCTATACATCAACAGTAAGTAGCTCATACCTGACAGATACAGCAAGGCTCCAAATCTGCTGGGGATTCTGTGCTAATGGGCACATGTTTTTTCTGTTTCATTAATTTCAAAATGGTTTCCTCACTTAGTCCAGTGCTCACATCTCCTATGCGTTCTTCCAATGCCAACAATTCCTGATATTCCAATCTTGTTATTAAGAAAACAACCTTCCGAGAATGACTACCAGGGTAAATAATTGCTCAATTTTACCTCATAAGACATGTTATCAACATCGAGGCGCATATCTCTATGCCGATCATGCATTTCAGCCATCCCATGATAGATCAACGGGTCAAAAAGCATGTAATCCTGAAAGGTAACCATACCAATAAAAAAAAAATTCCAGAGATACCATTTCAAGATCAAATGTTACACAAAATATTATCACCAACGTAAAAGACGAGCCAAAGCTTTTCTCTAGGCCAAGAGTGCATCTCCTAGTGAGGCATTCATAAATAAAAAGCTTAGAAATGCAAGACTATGCTTGCAGCTTCTTTCTCCAGAATAGACACACGTTTATTCGATAAAATAGTAAAATACATTAGCCATGCAACAAGCTAGATGGTCAGGGGCCTATGTACCTCAGGGTAATTAACTAAATAAGGGATCAAAAAGTCAAGAAGCTAGATTAGTGGTATGTGGACATCATAGAATTGAAAAAAATAAAATCCAAACCATAATTTTAATCCTCCAAAATTTTCACTTATATTTAGTTTAGTCCCAGCTCTTTTTAAATCAAATTTCATTTCCAGCTTATAAGTTAAATTTAGTTCCAAATCAGGCCAATCACTAATGTGGAAATTCTAGAACCTTCTCAACATATTCTGCATCTCCAACTTTAGTTGATTACAACTAAAAAGTGATATTCTAACTTCGACTAAAATAGAAAAATTTTAAATAGGACTACATCCAAAAAACACTTTTGAAATATTGAGGACCAGACATTGTTTTCATCAAAATTACAAAATAAAGACCTCAATGGTATACCTTTTCTACCATTATTTTCCTTTCATTTTCCAGACCCAAAGAGCGTATTTGAAATTTCTAAAAGCAGCATCTGCTGAATTGATAATTCTTATGAGATATGTCAATTTTTCAGCAGGTTAAAATTTAGCTGCAAGAAAATATACTGAGTATTGTAAAATGTTTATCAAGTGGAGAGTGTACTTGAAATTTGTTAAACTAGTATCTGTTGCATTTATGATTTCAGGCTTGTGTAACAGATTATTTTTGACACTTTCATTGTCTTGCAACCAAATCAACAGACTGGCATTACTAACACACTCAGTTTACAACATTAAATAACAGCCACAATAATATAAATAAATATAGATCAGTTTAAGAATCAATCAAACCTCAACTCGAAGGTTTTCACCCCTGCGCATGGCATTCAATACTTGACGGATCTGTTACACACAGAAGAACACAGGCTGTAATTTCAAGAATCAGTTAATCTCTAGTTATATCAACGATAAACACACTTTCCCAAGCCAAAAAGATACCACAACTAGACAGCATTGTTATAGCAATACTAATTTCAATAACATAGAAGCATACTGTGCAAATTTAGCTAAAAAATAGAGGTCTGATAATGATAGTTACAAACCCAAGTCCAGAAAACTGGGATTTGGATAGAGCTTAAACGAGTAAGCAACTGTTGAACGAAGCAAGGTGTGAAAAACCAATACATTTTCTCTGTGGCACATTAATTCAGAGGTCAAGCACAATCAACAAGTTGTTTATACACCGGGCAAGCATGCAATTCTAACAGGCATGTAAATCACAAACATACCATGATGTATTTTGAATTTCTGAATGCCCTCAGTTGGATAAAGTATGGGAAATGAATAGGGCAAGATTCATAGCAATGCTTAGAATTAAGTTTGTGCCTAAATTCTTGCTGAGGAAAATGTAGTTACTGCAATTCATTGCCACTTAAAATTCAGAATGTTAGCATTATCAGCATTATCACCATTCCACATTTAAATGAGAAAACACCACACCTAAGAACACATCCTTTATGGCAAGAACGCAAGCAGTAAAGTCGAAAAGCAGCATATATATATACAAATAGAAGGAGCGAGGGAGAGACAAATGCAAACCTCAGATATTAGCCGATGTCTCCCTTCAATATCAGCAGCTAAAGCCCTCAATGAACGGGGCATACCAAGAACATCATCACTTTGTTCTTCCATGAGAAGTGCTGACCTTGGAAATGGTGGATTATGTCCCTGGCTACTAGATCCAGAAGAAAGAGCTGTGTCCTGTGCAGAAGAAGGGCCAGAAGACAATGGGGGAAAATGACCACTGTGACCTCCAGATTCTGAGTCCATAGGCGGGAACAGAGACCAAGTAGAAAATTCTGAAAATCTTTGCTGATTATGTGTTGTGGGGTTGCGATGAATCCATCCAGGAGTGGGCAAAGGATGGACACTTGAAGTGGGGCCAATTCTAGTAGAAGAAACAGTAGTACCTGAGGTACTCGTGTTCCCAGTGGCCAAACTCCAGCGTGTTGGATCTTGTACCATGCTTCTCATTTCAGTTGCAGGTGCAAACATTGGATGCTCTGCATTATTTCTCTGAAAGCTTCTTAAGTTTGCTTCCTCTCTTAATGCAGCATCTAGCTCACCAGGAATAAGGGAACTTGACGAATTTCCAACCCTTGAAGTTGAAAAATCATTCCAACGAAGCATGCTTCTTGATAAAGCAGAAGGGTTGATGGCATGAGGCAGGCCCTGAGTGCCACTTGAATTTGCAGGTTCTATTGATCTTGATTCCAGATAGTCACTAACAGAGACAGGTCTGGGAGGATGCTGCAAGGACCAACGCCTGGAACCTCCTGTTGTTGATAAACTGAAAGCAGCAGATTCCTGTTGAAGTCCCGGACTTGTCCTCCTACCAAAATTTCTCAGAGGATCTGCATTTCCACTAACATTTGATGAAGGAAACGCATCAGAAGGCACTCCTCTCAATCCATAACCAAATCTCGGGTTCAACTGTTCAGGAGGAGCAACACTCGAAGAATTTTGTGAGGGAGTGGATAAACTTAAGCTGCTAGAAACACTATGATTATTGGGGCCATTATGCCATGCACTAGTATCAGCTTGTGGAAAACAAATTGAGCTTCCACCAGGAAAAGACTGTCCAGAAGTACCTTCAAGGGCCTTTCTCTTGCAGGATAAGCCCCAACCCCCAGAGAAGATCCTGAACTGCCATTTGTCTCCTCTACTATATAACCAGAACTTCCAGATGAAGTACCAACATCAGAAGAAGAAACAGCAGAAGAAGATGCCCGCTCTATTTCTAATCCATCAGGGTTGAGATGATTAAGGCCTAAGACAGCTCTGTCTCCTGTACTGGGCCTGCCATTAAAGGTGTCTCCAATATGAACAGCATTTGGATTTACATTTGGTGGGATATGATTAGAGCTGGAGCCCTGCAAGAACAAAGGTCCACTCCTAACCTGATTGCCACTGATCCCCACATTGACTCTGCCTGGAAAAAGGATGTTAGTTGTTTCAAATCTTTGACCAAGTGCAGGATAAGCATTGACTGAAGAAGACCACCTTTCTTCCATTTTTATCCCATCGTCATTCACCTGATTCTGCATGCTTAACCTTGAGCTAGATTCACCTGAATTCCAGCTACTAAAGCTCTGGACGTCATGAGTCATAGCATTTGAACACGATGCATTGCCAGAAGATAAAGCATTATTTGACAATCTGCTATCTACTGGATTCAGCATGTTACCGAGAGAAGTTTGCTGACTCATACTGGTATCTTCTGAAACAGATCCTTGATCGGTGTCAATAGTTTCAGAGAAGGAATGAAAAGCACCCTTTTGCCTTTGCATCAGGGACAATGTGTTCCCCCTAATATAATCTATAAGATGCTGAAAAATACTCCAAGTTTTCAGCAGGAATGATGCTTTACGTTATGTACTTATCAGCAACACCTATGAGTACATAACAGCAGAAAAGAATAAAAATCACCACATGTTAGCATCTAGTAAATTAAAATTCCAGCGCCTGTGACAAGATGCTGTACATTTTTTTTATATTATCACCAAAAGATCGAAGAAAAAATGAATGGACGACAGAGAGGAGTGGAGTGAAAGAGATCAGAAAAGGAAGTCTTTGCTTACATATGTAGTAGTAAACTCTGCTTTGCCAGCGCGTTTCAAAGCTGACAAGAAGACCAGATGCATTTAAGCATGTCCTCAACCAAAATCCTGCATTTGTCCCCAAAAAGGTAAATGGATTAACAACCTGGCTGCTAGCATCTAAAATGTCTAAGGCTATACTTTTTAAACTTTAGCATCAGTGAATGTTAAGATTTGAAAAGGATAACAGCACACGAAAGCCACAAGGACCTCAAGTACACATTTTTCTGTAATATTGTTATCGAGCACACAAACAATAAATCAAAAGTGCAGAATATATGCAATTACAAGCAGTTTGCATTATGGCAACACTACCAAGATATCCAGCAATGCATAACATTGCTTATTGATGGAAAAAATGGGGTTACTGGATTCCATATCCAGACAGCAAGTTTCCGAGACACATCCATAAGACAAGAATTTGAAGCTTTAGGGTGTCTTTAAGCATTTATAGCAATCTACAGCACCACAAAAAGTAAATGAACTGTGTGTTTTGGCAACAAATTGCAAAGCAATCAGACAAAAGAAGATCCCATTTCAAATCTTTCCACTTGTCTCAAACACCACATTATACAATATAACAGTCAATGGAATTTTGCACAAACTATAAACTGTAATACATAAATCAAAGATTTTATACTTTCCACTAAGATCTCTCTCACGTAACTCCTAAAAATGGCAATCAGTTCTTCCTATCTTGTTTGGGACATTAAGATACTCATCTGTCTTTTTGGAATTTTATAATCATGATTTTTTTTTTCTAAGATATTTCTCAAGGAAAGATTCATAGACAAGGTTGACTAAACAGATTGCCTCTGGCATTCAAATGCGACTCCAGGTTATAAATCTAATTCGACTCCACATAGCGGCAGCACCGATACCCTATCTCGTGTTGCCAGGCATCCCAACCTCAGCCTTGTCAACTATACATGCTAAATTTTGTCTTTTCAAAAGACTATCATGACTATCAATATTCTAGCCACATTACTAACTTAATCCATACCGATCTATTTCTAGCCCTTATGGTGCAAACACTAGATATTAGCCGTTATAGACTCGGATGCTGAACTATCAATCATGGGCACACTAAATAGAAAGATTGCTCTTTTCTTATATTTCTCCTTTTCATTCCTAAATTGAAAGTCATTCCATATCCCAATAGCTCCTTGCTAGGCAGCATTGCATAAGGCCTCGCTTATCCACAATATCATTCACCCTTTTGGATCATATTTACCAAACGCTTAAGACAATGCCCATTGCTATAGCTCAGCTGCAGATATATCGGTGCACCATTCTAGTTTCTTGCACTATTTTCTTAACAATGAAGCTAATGTGCAAGCTCTATAATAGCGAGTAGTATTGTGTAATCACAGAAAAGTTGCAGCAAACATAGCGTTTGCCAATATTGGATTAACATCATTCGAGAAAACCACGCAAAGTAGCAGCATTTAGCTTCAGCACACAGATTTCACTATCGAGATTAGATGCCAGCAACTCGAATAAAAATTTACAAATCTAAATGCATGCAGAATCAATATTTTCTATCTTTGCGTAGCAATTTTATCACGCTCAACACGTTCACAAAACCCAAATTTAAAAATAAAGAAAAAGAAATAAACTTCGTGAAAATTGCAAAAAGCAGCTACTTCGCCTAGAAAAGTTAACAAAAATTAAAAACCATTTCAATGAAGAAAAAAAAATTAGATAACAATGGTGCTAGCAAAAGACCCATAAATAAAAACAATGATCAAATGCATGCACAATCACAATAAAAAAGAAAAAAAAAACATACGCACAAATTAAACAAAAAAATCCAACATGGGTCAGCCTGATCCTTCTTTTTCTCTCACAATCACCTCAAACTAGACACAGCCCCAAAAAATAAATCCCAAAAAACAAGATGAAGAATTTTCATTATCATAACCATGAATAGAGATTAACTAAAAAAAATTACGATTATCGAAAAAATTTACAATAATTACATAGATTAAGATAAGTACCTGAGAGAGAGGGAGATGAGAGAAGATCCAGAAAAATGAAACTTAAAAAATATCAAATGGGTTTTATTAAAAAAAAAAAAAAAAACAAGCGGAAAGAATTAGAAACGTAAAAATTTCTCCTCTTTTTTTTTTTTTTTTTTTTACTTTACCTCTTCCTCACACTTTTTTTATATATATACTTCTGTTCTTCTGGCTTCAGTTACTTTAAGAAATGGTTAGTTGGAAAAAAAAAAATAATAACAATTGGGCAATGAAAGATTGAAATGGATGAAATGTCTGCAATCCGTTAACTTATTTTTTTATTTAATGTGGTGATTGTATGTGTGGTGATGGGGTGGTCTTTTTTAAGTGCTTAGAGGGCAAATTTACTGTTGTACACGTAGCTTTCATGCATAACCGTGGGACCTCCCTCTCTCCAACCTTTTTATTTATTATCATTATTATTATTATTATTATGTGGGCAGGAAAATGGGATTTTGAAAATGAAAGAGAAAGAGAAAGAGAAAGAGATTTGGAAATGGCCAAAGGCAAGTAGACACCCCACTCTGAAAACGGAGATGATTTTGGAGCTTGTATTTTGTATTGTAAGCATTGTTTGGTACAATTTGCCATTGTTTTACATCTAACTAACTAGATATGACCTGTTTATCTATGGTGGTAGTGGTGGTGGTGTTCACATGAACGAGACTGTAAAATTGTCAGGTTAATATGTTCAGGCCCAAGTTTGTCAAAGATTTTGATGGACCCATCTGGCCCATAATGTGATTCTGCAATATCTATCTGGCTTTATTCTAGTAAAGGGGATGTTATGCTAGTGGAAAAATATTCTGGTGTAGCCAGAGATGATTTGGGGTTGATTAGTAGGTAGGATTGTTGTAAAATAAATGGGATAAAATCAGGTTTGGAGAGAAAGGGCTTTATTCCGCAGGGGACATGTGGGTGCTATAATTGAATAGTTTGTATTCAAATGGTGATAATGGACAAGTTGGACTAACCTCAACCAACAACACCACCACCACTCTTCGGGTAGTGTAATGGAAGAGAAACGTATCGTGGAGATAAAGGTAGGACCAAAAGTTGGTTCTCTTATTTGTTTGTGGGAATCATGTGAAGTAAGGATTCGTTTCTTGACGCTATTAGCTAAGTTTAACTCCATCAAATTCTTGTTTCTTTTTTTTTTTTTTTAAAAAAAGTTCATGAAAAACATTATATCTCATAGTAGCGATGATAATAGGCTGGATATAAATTGAGTATTCCTTTTATTCAACTCATTAAATACCCATTAAAAATATCTATCGGGTATTAAAGTGAAAAAAATATATATATTTATTAATATGATTTCGAATATGAATACTCATTCTTTATCTTATTAATATTCATGAACTTATTTTTACTTTTTTTAATATACAAGAATCTAATTACTTAAACTTTAAAATTTAAGAACTAAAATTTTTTTTTCAAAAAATAAGGCCCAAAAAAACTTATAATTAAAGGACCAAAGTGACAAAACAATTTTTGAAAATTACGAGACTAAAATAAAATATTTGATAAATTATTTTTAGTAATATTAAATAGACAGATAAACATATGTGAATTGAATAAATATTTCTATGATAATTTTTTAATGAATACTGATTAATAATATTGTTTTATAAATAAAAAAAATAAATTAATGGATCGGCTATCTGTCTACTCTCCTCCCCCACATCTAAAGAGCATATTCGATCCTGATAAAGATAGTTCTGGACCAGAACCGCACTTGACCCAGTTCTTTCCAAAGCCTTATGTTAGTACATGAACTGGGCTTTGGCCTCAGTAGTACAAACATGCAGGCAAAGTTAAAAGCTATGGCGTTGGATTGGTGCTCCATGCCAAACCTGTTAGGTTTCTTTGATACCTCTCACCATTCCCTGTTAGTTCCAAGCAATAGAAGTCCGTGCTAGTTCCAAGCAATAAAAGCAGTGATGATTCAGTTTTTCGATTTAGTTTTTAATATTTTGGTTTTGGTTATTGATTAATTGAACTTACAAAATAAAAATAAAACCTATATGGAATTATTATTCAATTTTTTGGTTTTTGATTTGTGTTTTTCCAGTTTAAATTATTTTTTAAATAATATAAATATACCATCAATCGCTCGTATATCTATAATACTATTAAAATATTATTTTTTAATTTTATTTATATTATTTTAATTTTTTAAAATCTTTTTTAGTTAAAATCTAACAAATAAGTTTAAAAACTGAATCGAAATCCAAAAAAGGAAAAATTTTGGTTCAATTTTTTTTTAAAAAAATTATGTTAAAAAATAAATTTAAATCATCAATTTTGATTCAGTTTGATTTGATTCAATTCAATTTTTTTATTTAAATTGACCGAGCAAAGTTCACAAAATTAGTATGTCCATTGTATTGACAAGTCAATTTTTGTATAAAAATCTTAAGTTTTTATTGGATTTTCAAGTTTTTTATGCACATGTAGACTAATGTATTTATATATAAAAAAAATTATTTTTAATAATTTTTCTAATCCAAATCCCATACAATAATTTTTAGAAAGAAAATCTTTAATAACAATCTTAAAAAATAAAATCTATTTTACGATTTGGATGATTGGGTATCTTTTAATTAGATTTTTTTATATAGAGTTATTTTAAGTTTGGACACCAATAATATAAATACAAGAAGTACCATTCAATTTTGAAACCCATTTTTCTTTATTAAAAAAAAAAAAAACAAACAAACAATTTTTTTACACTAAATTTCCATACAAATTATGAAACACCAATCATTCATTAGTCATAGTGACTAAGACTTCGCCACATTAATTTATATAACATTTTAGTTTGAAAAATAAATTTTTTCTTAAAAAAAAATACCCTATATTGTTATGTGCGGTTATAATTGTACATCTTCAAATCCTTTCACAAAAGTCACAAAATTTCCATTAAAGGCAATTCAATCACGTTTCGTAAAGAAAGTTCCATAGTAAGTTTGCCATGGACAGTTGTACCCAGCAGACAAACTCTGACACACTTCGATTCCCGAGAAAATCTATTTACACCTAGGAATCTCCCTACAATCTGGGAAAAATTATGGAATCAAAGAAATTGGCCGCTTTGCTTTCTTCTCTTGTCTCCGAGCTCCTCCTCCTCGTTCTCCTCCTTTTCCCTTCGTCCACTCCCCTTTCTCTTACCTCCAATTCTCATCATTCCAATTCCAGGGATTTCAATCCCGATTCCCATGGAATCCTTTTCCGTATCATTAACCATTTTCTCTCCTGCCAAGAAATCACCACTTCACTCTCCCTCCTTCCGATTTCCAAGAAACGGAAGAGAACCCAATTGCGAGAACCAGACTCTGAGCCGCTCCATGAAGACAGAGACCGCGAACTCGGAAATCGACTCAGTGAGTTGAACCGAGTTGCTCTTAATCCTGACTCTTTCAAAGCCACTTTCAGAATGAGCTCTTCAACGTTTGAATGGTTGTCTGGCTTGCTTGAACCGTTACTAGAGTGCCGTGACCCAATTGGAACACCGATAAATCTCTCAGCCGAGCTCAGGCTAGGTATCGGTTTGCTTAGATTGGCCACCGGGTCAAGTTACAATGAAATCGCTAGCAGGTTTGGGGTTACTGAGTCAGTGAGTCGGTTTTGTGCCAAGCATTTGTGTCGTGTTTTATGCACCAATTTTCGCTTTTGGGTCGGATTCCCAACTCCAACCGAGCTTGAATTGGTGTCAAAAGACATTGAGGCTCTTACCGGATTGCCAAATTGCTGTGGTATGGTAGATTGTACAAGATTCAATCTTGTTAAAAGAAATGATCGCAAATTAGCATCAAATGACGACGTTCAAGATGACAGCATTGCAGTTCAAATTGTTGTTGATTCATCTTCAAGAATTTTGAGCGTTGTTGCAGGCTTTCGTGGTGACAAGGATGACTCTAGGATACTAAAGTCAACAACTTTATGTCATGATATTGAAGAGCGGAGGCTATTGAATTCGAGTCCAGTTATGGTCAATGGGTTGGCAATTAATCAGTACCTAGTTGGAGATGGAGGATATCCTTTGCTTCCATGGTTAATGGTACCATTTGTGGATGTTGTGGCAGGATCATGCGAAGAGAAATTCAATTCTGCAAACAATTCAATGCATGTTTTTGCACTTAGAACCGTAGCTAGTTTGAAGAACTGGGGTGTTTTGAGTAAACCAATTGAAGAGGAGTTTAAGACTGCTGTTGCTTTTATTGGGGCATGTTCGATTCTTCATAATGTTCTGCTGATGAGGGAAGATGATTCTGCATTGATTGATGTGGGAGATTATTCTTTATATGATCAAGGTTCTCATTTTTATCAGGATGCTATGGCAGAAGAGAATTTGACCGAAAAGAAGGCTTCTGATATGAGAAGAGCGTTGGCCACAAGAGTTACAGAATTTCATAAGACCTGAGGATCTGTCTTCTTTTGCAATCTCAATTTTGCGAACAGAACAGCTTGCTTGAACAGATTTTGGAAGGGAAGTGCACAATTCAGCATTTTTGAAGTAGGTAATTCAGGTTTTTGTTTCACAGTGCCAATAAAATTCATTGGGATAGATGCTTTGCTGACACATTTAACCTTATGGATCGGATTTTTTTTCTTTTGTTTATCAATTAATTTTTAAAGATGTATAGGATTCCGCATCTTTTGCCATAATTAAAGTATGTCATAGGTTTTCTTTTCTTTCCGAAAATGTAGATGTTATCTCCAGAAAAACATCATCTTGGTAGAGTGAAATAATAATCATTCTTTAAATTAGCAATGAGTTTTTGAAGTTGTTTTTTTGGATAGGTTTCTCGTAACAATGGAAGAGTTATATTTGAATATCTCTATACAATGTTGGAAGAGAATTGTTTACGATGTTTTAAAGGAAAAACACCAGATAAGCTAAATTTAACTAGCTTCAAACGTTGTTGTTTTATGCGGACTCGTTGATCGATGAACATGAACACTCAAGAGTAATCATATTCTGGGTTTTTTCTTGTTCAACTTCATGCGTTTCGCTTTTGAAAATAACTTCGTATCGAAATTTTTTAACTGTTTGATGACTGAATGCTGTGAAAGGAGAATTCTTGATGGGTTGTAGGAATTTATGTCATGTAAAAAGTCTCATGAGATGGAGAGGAACAGGAATAGTTGCTAATCTCGATATATACTTGCAGACCACTTTGTTTAGGACAGATTGATAGCATTTTTATTAGTTTTCAGTTTACCTTTTATTCAAGCAATTCTGAAGTAATTACAGCCCTTAATATCTCTATGTTAGCAATCTCCCTAGTCCCTACCTCTGGAAGCAACTCAGAAGGCAAAACAATGGTCCTTGCACCCAACAGAGTCAGATAATAGAAACTATCAAAGAAGAATGCTTCGGCACTGGCCCCTGGGATCAGCACACGTGCGATTAACCCCAGAATCCCTTAGAATTCCACCTTCCCTCTTTTCTTGCTTCAGATTATTCCGCAGTATTAGTCTTTCATACTCTTTGAAGAGCACCTCAATTGCAGCATTCTTCCTTGGGCTTCACCAAGTTTCTGCAAGGCTCAAAGCCTCCAGGCATGAGAGAAGAACAAATACTGTCGATAGACCTCAGCAGCAAATCTGTCTCGTACCTACAATTGAAATATTGTAGATGGTAGAAGCAAAGTAAGTTTTTCTTTCATGGTTGAGAATATAATTTCCTTTGATATCATCTTCCATTTATCGATTTCTTGATTCCAATTAACGATTGTATCTGTTTAGGTTACCTTTTACCATCACTTTGCTCCAAATGCCCCTAGATAACTTAAACAAGGTGATACGAGTATTGTCAAAATGGTCTAAAGTTTTGATAATTCTTCTCAAAGAGTAGGTCTTTGCTGCTTGCATTTGTCGCTGGTACCCATCCAACTATCATTAGTTTGATTTATCAGATATACAAAATTTTACAGCAATCCTGTTTACCGTTGCACTACTTTGTGGATATGATGCTTTCTCTTCCATAATCATATTTTTTCTAGAACTCAATTAAATCAAGAAGTAGGATTTTGTACATGCTACAAGAACCTAATGATTTTCTTTTGCATTAGACACATACAGATACAGTTCTCTTTCCAATGCTCCTGGGTCTAGTGGTTTGGTGTTGCGTGCACTCAACCATGGTTCAAGCATTGATACAACAGACATACAGATCTCTGACACTTGTTTTCTCGTACGAACGTGTGCCTGTACCAATTGATACCAACCATGGTTCAAGCATTGATACCAACGACAAACACATACAGATCTCTCACACCTGTTTTCTAGACGAACTTGTGCATGTACCAATTTATTAGCACGTTACTTGTTGAGTTGGTGATTCTTAATGGATGGAAGAAAACTTGGGAACTTGCAATTTATGCCAATGTGGAACTACCTTGCTGAAACTGGGTTCAGTGTTCTCGAGTGGTCCATGCCATTGTTTTGGTGTTGGATGGTTTTCAGAGAAAGCTGCAATTTCACGGTTCGGATCAAGTTTAAGTTTAAACGTCTGCATAAAAGTATTTCCAAATTTATGGCAATGTGGAACTACCTTGCTGAAATTGGGTTCAGTGTTCTCGAGGGGTCCATGCCATTGTTTTCGTGTTGGATAGTTTTCCGAGAAAGCTGCAATTTCATGATGCGGATCAAGTTTAACTCTAAACGTTTGCTTAAAAGTATTTCCAAATTGCACGAGCTCATCGTTTCACAAATGGACCCAGTCGCTTAGAATTAAACACAAACATTTCTTTTTTTTCGTTCCCTAAATCCCCGGCAAGACTTCCTGCACCCGCAACACAGTACATATCTGCAAGAGCCCCATCACTGCAATTATATGGGGACCAAAACTCAAAAGCACGTCCATGGATGGAGTTACAGAGCGTAGACGGCGTAGAGTTGCAACCAAACCCACCTTGAGTGAGGAGAATGACACTTGTTACGACTTAACCTCATGCGATTGCCAACATACAGAACATTTATCATATCACCTCCCACCTTTTGCTGGCTTTTAGAATATGATGTAGATATATTTTAATGCAATTTCATGGCCACATTAACGTTTTCAAAGGCTGTCCGGCCTGGTAAGACGTAGGAATGTTTGCAGAATATATTTATGAGCTTATCAGACGTGACAAGAGATGCCCTCATACTGAAGTGGCACTAACAGCAAGATTCAGCATGTCATTACTTTCTTTGGTCTCTCTCCACCAACAAACCCACTCGGCGGCTTCCTCACCAATCATCAATACCATGCAGTGGGACTTGTACGAGGAACTGGAGAGCATCTTTTTCTCTCTTATGCTAATCAATCAACAAGAACTATTGCAAGATTTTTGGACCAGGATTTAGAAAAGAACTTCATTTTTTTCAACAAAAAAGATCATTTTAATCCAGATGAGAATTCGACTTGATTAGCCCTCTCTCTACAGTCTAGTAGTCCATGTGTTCATCTGGGGACAAGTTGCCTTGATCATCTTCTTCTTCTTCTTTTCCTTTTTCCCCTCTAACATATGCAATATGGATCTGTTCTGTTCTTTTTTTCTTTTTTTTTTTCCTATAGAATCCGGTGATTATCCATGAATCTATACACTCAGATATGGGCAAATGGAAACATCATACGATGACAAGGGATATTAACAATAGACATTAACTGAATATTTACATGATGACATTTAGTTTTTTTTTTTTGTACTTTTTTTTCTCTTAAAAAATGAAATGCTATTGTATATAAATTATGGAATGCGAATATAATATAACAACCTGTTGCATCTTGCAATGAACTCATGCCATAAGTATTTATCTATTTTAAACATAGATATTTAAAATTCAAGCCATTACTATTTGCATTGGAGATTAAGAAATGAAGTAACACATGTATGGATCGCCCCACACCCACCCACCCCAAGCTAGTCAATGCCCTCGTAAAGGATGGGCAAGGGGGTGTGGTAGCTATTCATCAATGGCAATTATCTTGTCTTGTGGGCTACTGCATCCTTTTTTTATTTCCTATCTCGAGAATATAAAAATGAACAAAAAAAACAAAAACAAAAGGAATCCTTTTTTTTAATTATCTGGATTCTCATTGATTGGTGGTTGGTAGCCCTAAGGCTTTGACTCAAAAGGAAGGAAGCCTGTCCTCACCAAACATTGACCCATTTTCGTTTTTTTTTTTTTTTTTTTTAAGGGCTCTGATGGGAGACATCTTTCATGGGCTTGTTTTCCCTAATGATTGTTTTGTTACCTAATAGCTTGTGGATCATAACAAGTAGCTCATTTTAATTATTAGGCTGTAACTGTGATGCCGTAAGATGACGAATAAAGACTGGAAAAAGTTTGGAGCAGAGTCTACTAAGTCAATTATTTAAATTTTCGATCTTGTTTATTGAAATTTCATGGAAAATATTACATAATTGATAACAACAATGTAAGAAGTACAAATGTCATGAACTCATGATATAAAAAATTTGTTCCATTCTCACCGACACGTAGTGATGTGAATTAAAAGGAATGTAATTTCTCACCCAATAATGGTTGGGCTAATGTTCTTTCTTCTTTCATCGAAATGTTTCGTGATACCCTCCTCAACATAGAACCAGAAGGAAAAAAAAAAAAAAAAGGTTAAACGAAAGCAAGATTTCGAGGAAGGAAAAGGATTTCTTACATCATGATCACATTTCTTTTTTTTTAATGCTCCATAAATATATAACAAATTGCGTATCCTCTAATCATTTTGCTTTGAGCCTTTGACCATTTCTTTTTTCTTTTCGTTTTTATTTATTTATTTATTTATTTATAGCGGTCTGTCTGTTCAGTTATAGAAAATAAGGTTTGTTTTCCAAGAGAGTTGTCCATGACAAAGGAAGATAGGATTCTTGTTCAAATAAAGAAAAAACTCCAATTGGAAAATTGAAGCCTGTATTGTCCAGTTTTCTATGTTTCTATTTATAATTTTTGGAAAAGATGTCAAAAATGTTCTCCAAGCTAAGAATTTGGACCTCCTCATTTAATTATAGCAGGGAGATGACAACAAAAATATTAATTATTCAAACAATGTTGGATCGAAATAGAAAATCTCAGGTACCATTTGTTGCTCTAAACATGCTTTATCCATTTGAATAATATATATATATATATGCTAGAGAGAAGTGAAAAAATAAGACTAAGGGCGAACAAAAACAGAAACAGCAAAGCCTTCTAAAAGAAGCAGATGTACAGCCAGTGGTGGCCGCCGCAACTCAATCGCAGCTTCAACTTAATTTAAACCCATTCGCAATAATAATAATAATAATAATAATAATTAAAACCCAATTTTGCTAGAAACTCTGTACTGTAATTGGTGATTTTAAACTTCAACCCTCACATATAGAGTAAATTATAAATTAGTCCTTTTATTTTTTTAAAAAAATAAATAATTCCTCTAATTTCAATAACTAATTAATTAGTTTTTATATTTTTAAATGTATTTATAACTCAATATTTTTCAATCGTTTTTACTTTTTAATAAATAAATAAAATGCAAACACTGATGCGGAAAAAAATTTTTGAAACAAAGATAATGTTAATTTAATCATAACTAACACTAATCAAGAAAATAATTAATTAGTTTATTAAATAAAAAAAACCATTACTTCGCTTAATAATATACTCTTAAGTATATGCACATCAAGTACCAGTTTTACATTTGCCCTGAAAAAAGAAGCTGAGACTGTTAAATGAATTTGGAATTTTATTGATAAAAGGACATTTGTGGAGAAAAAACAAGTAAAAGAAATTTATAGATGCCAATGTCAATAATAGTTTGAGAGATTCTTTCGAGGACTCGTGAGGTGGCTACAGCAGGCCACCAACTCTCACGTGAGATAGTGTCAACTTCTCTTAGCCAATTTCACCAACCCCTTACCCACTTTCTATTAGCACATGTAACCGTCTCCAACAGCAAATTGCCCAACACTAAAATATTCGACTTAAACAAGTATAACAACTATTAATCTCTAATTAATTAATTAATTCTCTTTAATCTCAAGTCTCAACAAATTAATTACACATGTTGCTTTTGATCTCATGAATCTCTCAACCTAACACATGAAGGTTCAATTTTATTTTTTTGGGAAAAAAAAGGGACAAAAAGAAAATGACGCATAAAAAATATTTAAAATTTTGCAATGGGAATTATGCCACGGATCCCAAAATGACGCCAACAATGCCTAAGAGAAGGAGTGGCAATGACTACTAGTCCACAACTCTATCACCAATAAAGTTCGTCCTATATATGGTGGGCCAAACCTACCCCGCTGTCCTAACTCATAAGACCTCACCAACCCCCACCCGGATGGAAGCCGGTCCAACAACCCCACTTATCCGGTTCGAACCGGAATCTCATTTCCAATAAATACCACCTGCCCTTACCATTTTCAATCAGGACCAGGCGTCACTTCCATCATTAGAGAAAAAGCCCTTCCAAGGCCAAGAAAGAGAGTAAATTTTGTTAGAAAGATATACACAAGAATGACCACCACCGGAGAAGAACAGCAAAGTCAGGCAGGAAGGCACCAAGAAGTTGGCCACAAGAGTCTTCTGCAAAGCGATGCACTTTACCAGGTAATTTAACTAACCAAGAAATCCTTGTTCTTGGTGCAAGTTTTTTCTCCTTTTTTGTTGTTTTTTTTTAACGTTTTTTATATATATTTGGATTGGTTTTTCTAGTATATTCTTGAGACTAGCGTGTACCCAAGAGAACCTGAATGCATGAAGGAGCTTAGGGAGTTGACTGCCAAGCATCCGTGGTATGTTTAAATGCATAAAAAATAAGAGATTTTGTCTTCTATTAATGTTTTTGGTGTGATGTTAATGAATTTGATTTGCATGGTGGGAAACAGGAACATCATGACCACATCTGCTGATGAAGGGCAATTCTTGAACATGCTTTTGAAGCTTATCAATGCCAAGAACACCATGGAGATCGGTGTTTACACTGGCTATTCTCTCTTGGCCACTGCCCTTGCTATCCCTGAGGATGGGAAGGTAAACTAAAAACTTAAAAAAATTTCAGTCCCAAATCATATTTTAATTATTCAAAAAAAATTAAATCAGGTGATGATAAAAAATGAAATTGGAATATCGTTTGTGATTGTTGTAGATCTTGGCTATGGACATCAACAAAGAAAACTATGAATTGGGTCTCCCGGTGATTCAGAAAGCTGGTGTTGCACACAAGATTGATTTCAAGGAAGGCCCTGCTCTGCCAGTTCTTGATCAAATGATTGAAGATGTAAGAAATATTCTATGCTTGACAAAAAAATAAAAATGGAAAAAGGAAAAACTTCCTTGTTTGTTTACTTGTCTGAGAAAAAGAAATGTTGCTCGTTTTTTCAATTTGAGATATTATAATGTTACTAAACTTACTATTCTGCGTGGGAAACGACAGGGCAAGTACCATGGGACTTTCGACTTCATCTTTGTGGATGCTGACAAGGACAACTATATTAACTACCACAAGAGGTTGATTGAGCTTGTCAAAGTTGGTGGATTGATTGGATATGACAACACCCTATGGAATGGATCTGTGGTGGCTCCACCCGATGCACCAATGAGGAAGTATGTGAGATACTACAGGGACTTTGTTTTGGAGCTCAACAAGGCACTTGCTGCTGACCCCAGGGTTGAAATTTGTATGCTCCCTGTTGGTGATGGTATCACTCTCTGCCGTCGGATCAAATGAGGGACTACATTTCCTGCTAATATTATATATCAAATGTTGACCATTGATTTGGTCACTTGCAAAAACAAGTGAGATGCATTGAATTTCCTTTTTCACAACTTTGTATTTCAATGGGCTATTATATTTGTACTCAAACTCATGGTGAACGATTGAGAAATTGTATTCTTATATTTCTGCGAGTGAATTTTTTATGCACTTGTATATGTCTTGTTGAAATGGGTTTCTCGTCTATTTCATTCACGCCATCGTAGTTTACCAAGTTTACAACTAAATTTCGCGAAAGGTTTGTACCAATTAGGTGTCCTACACGTTGGGAATGCTTCTACGTAAATGGTTCTAATCAGTTGGACATTTTTTTCTGAGTGCATAGGAAAATGATTGATAATATTATGATGACAGATATCATTTTTAAAAATAGAAAGGATTTAAGGATAAATTTGAAAAATAAAAATATTAAATGACATAACACCTATTGAAATAAAGTATCATTTCTTTTATTCATTCAAAAAAATACTACTTTTCTAAAATTATGATGATTTTTTTCTGACATCACTAATATCATGTAGAAATACTCTATGATATTTTAAGATTATGATAGTGAGAAAACAAGAAGCATGTACCTCCTAACTTATAATAGTCACTTTGGACGCAAATATTTGGGGTTGAGCCAAGGAAATTGGAACTTCGATAACTTGTAAAGAAGTCCCAACTTTTCAAACGACAATGAATTATTTAACTTTGTTGTTATTTTTGGGCTAAAGTTGCTAGAAAACTTTGTTTGGAGGGCCAATTTTAAAATACGAAATAGATAGGAGACATTGTAGGGATGCACATTCATAATTCATATTTAATCTATTACTTTTTAATACTCTATATAAAAAAGCAAAGATGGTAGGTGAATAAGGAGAATCTATTATAATTATTGATTCCTGTGCGTGCACATTTATGATCCGTCGAATTTGGTGTGGTGGCTCCATCGTCTACAAGCCCACCAAACAACATGCCTGATATTTTAAGTTACATCTCGACAGCTGACAATTAAAGTAGAAAATTCGGTAGCCGAACTACACCCTGATTGGACCGCGTCATGGAACATTTACTCAAGGAAAGACAATTTTTGTCCTTTGAATGGTTTGCCTTAGATTAACATTCCCCAGTGTGGTCCATTATAAATGGCACGAGATGGTGATTTCCATTTAAGGGCTTTTTGGGCTTTATGATAATTCTTTCTGGGATTGATTTTTCTGTTTGTATGGATAGTCCCACTCTTTTGCAGTATATATTGGGCCTTGTTAAGAGGGAGGAAAGAATGTAGGAATGTATGCTTAGATATTTCGAGTACAATATTGATGGCATTGAAGCAATGTAATTTAAATATTTCGTGTCAATTACAGACAAATATTTTAATTTGAGGTGCATCGAAGTTGAAACTCGGGACTTTAACTACTGCCTATCAATCCTCCTTAAGCCAAGCCAGCACCTCCAGCGAGTCACTACTAGTTAATCCCAATTTAACCAAATGAGCTACATCTAAATCGTATTTTGATGTGAGAATTTTAAGAAAGGAACTAAATCAGGCTCGCCATTCATCAGAAAAGCTAGGGCGCTGGGTAAAAAATCTCGGACAAAAACCTGAACAGAAGACCTAACCAAAAATCAGATAAATGATAATACATTCTTATTCCTATGATAAACACACGTGATTCCATTAACAACAACTCCTACTTGGACCTGTCAAGAGCAACAGCTTTATGAAATTTCCAATACATCATCTACCAAAAGTTGATGACTCTTGTTCAATGGATTTAGTTTTCAATTTATCATATGATCCAACTCCTTCCAGACTTCACTCGGTACAGCATTCTTTAGATATCATTAGCTCCCATGTCTAAGGAATTTGTCATTTTTAAAAAAATTTCTTTTTTTGAGAATCCAGGAGTTTGTCATCTTTAGTTACGTCCAATTTACAAAGCAAATAAAAGTTGATCAGTTTAGTTCTTTTTTGGTTGGGTTTGTTCGTGCTAATTATTTGGGTTTGTATTAAAAGAGGAGAGGAGAAAGAAGAAACTGATGTTTATGATAAAGAAGGAAGAGGAAGAAGGTGGGAGCCAAAAAGGATGAAAAATAAACATAGATTTAACATATATCAACATTTTAGATAAGTTATTTGACAATCATAGTTTTCCGTCAAATATTAATCCAAACAAAAAGAATTTGAAAGTTAAGGGAAAAAACATTAAAAAGAAAAAACTAATATAAAAATCAAGAACATAAGAACACACAGATGTTTAAAACCAATCCAATAGTTATCAGTTTGACCCACTTACAACAGCGCAGGTCAAAGATAAGTGCGAAGTTCTTTTCCTTAGGGTTTACTTATTCTGAAATATCAGATTGCCTTGATTTTTTACTTGTCAAAGAAAATGGAATACATCATTCGTGGCACGGAGGCTGGAGCACTCTGATCGGCTAAAAACACCAATAGAATTTAATAGCTTTGTCGAAGGACATAAAGACATCCTTAATAATCCCAGAATAAAAATTGCCAGATTACTCTTCACATGCAAGCAACATTTTTCAGAAATCTACAAAGGAACTATATTTCTAAGAACGTATCTTCGAAAGACCATAAGGGGACGTTTACACAGGCATTTTAGATTCTCATAGGAAAATCATGAAAGGAGACAGGGATTTAGAACACTTGAGCATTCATAAATGGCCGAAAAACTAAGAAATCATAAATACCCAAGAATGCAATTCCCTTTTAAAATGATGAATTTGAAAACGGAAAACAAAACAATATATTTTGAACTTTAAATACCTCTACCATTAATATGAATGGACTGATGCATCCGCCCTAAAAGGATTTTGAAATGCCACTGGCTACATGATAACGAGCAAAGTAACTACGTCAGGTTATATTTTACAGAGTTGGACGGCGGCTAAATTTTAAAGGGATGTACCTCCGTCAGTGGGAAGGGGGTGAAATAATATAACAAAGAAAACTGGAAAAAAGAAAAAGAAAAATACGTCTATGAGGGAAGATTTCACATTGCTTACAGAGGTAGCACCCAACAAAGTGCGTCGTCCTAAAATCTCACTTATCCAGAGTGGGCCAAAAGCTAGAATAACAAGCATGCGGGTAACAAGATAAAAACCAAGGAATCTAGTAGGAGAAATGTATAGACATCCTCTATTTTTCTCTACCTACGGGAAGTGGAAATGGACTCAACTGGCGACTCTGATGGGAAAAACTCTCAACAACCTCATCTGTGAAGACAGACCATGCATATCGAACAATTGTAAGGACTATGAACCAGTTCAATAAAATTTCCAAAACAAATACCAACCGTAACAAAACTAAAGCATAAATAAAAAATGCTAGAGATTGCACAACAGAATACCACTGCAACCCACAGCAGCACAAATTACCAGTCCACTGTTTTCTATAATGGTCAATGAACCAGTACACACGATATACAGAACAAATATCTAAAGCAGTTTCCCCACAACCCAAACAACTAACAACAATCACAAAGAACCAGAGGAAGTTCAACACTCAAAATATTTAAAAGAGACACAAGCAAAAGGGATTGGCAAATGAGACATCAAATCAAAAAGAACATAGAAGCATATAGAAGCTCTCTTGATCACTTATTGGATTTACCATAACAGCAGCTGAGAAGCTGATTCTAGCGACAAAAGCCTAGACAACAGGACTGTACCATCATAACACCTAAGCAAAACCACGTCCCATATTCCTCACAGTACTTAAAAACCTTGTACCATTCCAGGAAACAATTCATCAGCTAACAAAATCAAACAGATCAAGTCATTAGCTGCAGATTAGATAAATAAAACAGACTTTCAACTTTCAACTGATTGAAATTGAACGAGCAATAAGCTCCTAAACAACCCATCAAAATCCAACCAGTCCAAACATTTATAAGGGTTAAGCATGCAAGTTTAATTAAACTGCCCTTGATCATTACCTGGATTACCTTAAAAAAAGCTGAAAACAGCTCATTTTGATTAACTAGAGCAACAGCTCACTAATATTCAGAACATGAATGCATCAGCAAAACATAATATGAGCTCAAACTTAAACAAAACATGAAAAAACAGTGAGAACTACAAACATCCTAAATATTAATACCAAAACAAAAATCAAGCAATGGCTCAAATCAAATCAACGAGACAAATCCATAAAATAAACACATGTTCCAACATTCAAAACCAAGCATAAAAATGAAAATTAACCCACATTTCAACTAGCCATAATCATTAAAATCATCCTGGACAGAAAAATTAAACATTTTAAAAGACATAAGGTCTACTTAATGAACCGGAATCAACAGGAATAAAAAAAAACACAAATTAAAACTTCAGTTTTCAAAATACCAAAATCGATATTATCAACTCCAACCTCTCAACGGTAACTCTTCTGGAACCTAGCACGTGCACCACGTCCACCAAACTTCTTAGGCTCGCACCTTCTTGGATCAGCCACAAGCAAAGTCCTATCATACCTAACCAGGATATCTTTAATCTCTTTCTTGCTTTGTTCATCAACATACTTTTGATAGAATGCAACAAGAGCCTTCGCTATGCTCTGTCTTATCGCGTAAATCTGCGAAGTATGACCTCCACCCTTCACTCTGATCCTCATGTCGACGCCAGCAAAACGCTGTCGTCCTAGGAGGAGGATTGGCTCGTAAGCCTTGAATCGGAGGATCTCCGGTTCGATGAGTTCGATTGGGCAGCCATTGATCTTGATGAGGCCGCGGCCTCGCTTGCAGTGGGTGACTGCTACAGCAGTTTTCTTCCGGCCGAAACATTGAACTGACTCGATTGGTGCGGCAGTCGCCATTGTTAGGGTTCGTGTAAAGCAGAAAGTGAAAATTGAAACCCTAGTGATCTGGGAAGCAGCGGGGAAAGGAAGTTTATATAGTGGGGGTGTTAGGGTTTTTAGTGGGGCGTGGATCAGAGTGGGCTTGGGTTTTGAGAGAGTTGCGAAGTGGACATTATCATAGATGGGTGCATTGGAAGTTGGGTTGGGCTGTCTTTAATTTATCATAACAGGGTGAATCCACAGTGAAATAACACTCGATACGCTCACAATCCCGGAGTCCCCAGTGAATTCACATTTGGTTTTAATATTATTTGTAATTGAGGTGTAATTTAATTTGAACATATTTCTTATTATCCAATTAAAAAAAATATATTACTGTTTTTAAGTCTTCGCTATGTAACCTTTGTTTGTTGTTTCATGTCACAAAATAAAACTGTTTGGTTATTTAGGTGGTGTTTGGATTGGAAAAAAGTTTGACTGTGTCGGTAAAATTTTGGGGTGGGATAAAAATAGGTTAAATGCTAAGAATTTACTAGTACATAACTCAAAAGAAAAGCTGATGAATGCTAACATATTGATCATTGTGCTTGTGCTTCTCTCAGTTTTTTTTTTTTCCCGATAAATGTTTAAATGTGTGTGTGTGCGCGTGCATGTGTGTGGAGTTAGAACGATATGGTAAAAAAATTGTATGTATCTTTACCCCTAGTTGTTGGATGATATACAAAAAGTATATCCGGTCCCCTTGCTTTCTTAGCTTTCGCTGATTTACTTGAAGCAAAGCACTTGAAGTTTAAAATAAATGTTTAGCGAGCAACTTTAGTTCCATTGCTGAACTTTGGAAGGTTGAAGACGATTCTACTTACGAGGCATATTAGGTTTCACTCCAAAAGGTATGAAGAGAAATGCCATTGGAGATGAAATGCGTTTATTTTTTTGACAGAGACAAAAATATTCCTTTTTTTTATTTAAGCTACAGCATACAAAATTGTCAATAGTGCATATTTTTCTTGATGTTTATTTCAATATTCTGAACATTATTATTTTTCATTCTCAACCTCATAATTATAAATACAAATAGTGTAATTTTTATTAAGAATAAACTTGCATTTACTTTTTATTAATGAACATTTTATCTTGCTGAATACAATTAAGTTATGAAATATAAATTAAGTTAATTTTATAGCACTTTTAAATTCAAATAAATACAGGTATAAAAAATATATTAAATCAATGTGACTTTTCAAATTTAAAATATGAGTGTTTTTTTTTTAATGAATTCAGCTACCAAAAAAAAAACTTATAATAAATTTACATGCTTTGTGGTTATTTTAATTCAAATATCACGATACTAAATTTATTTACAACACAACTTTGTTACCAAACAATTTGATTGATTTACTTCGCAGCACAATGGAGGCCGAAAAGGCTTTAATACTCTTAACGACTCCAACTGCTTCAGCTTGGTCTTGATCTTCCGCCTGCAACTACAATAAAGGATGTGGACAAAAATAGCTCTGTTTGCGAGCCTGACAGGGTTCTGGGCTCGGGCTCAGCGATTAAAACTATGCTTCAACTGGTCCATATTAATGTTTTTATAAAGGTGGGGTTACATAAGTTAGTACGTGATTTCTTTTTTCTTGTATTTAAAATACCAAAGAAGTTGGTAAAAAATAATTTATTGCAAATAATAAGCCTGCACACGAATAACTTGTTTTAGGATCTGATTGCAAAGAAACTTGATTATGGTGCAATGCAAGGGATATTTAAACTTATTATCAATTAGTTGTCTTTTAATTTATATCATTTATTATTTTCTTAAACTTATTATTTTTTTATCAGAGTTTTTTTTTTAAATGCAGAGGCGATTGAATTATTTTATATTTAATTTTAAAAAAATCTTATTATTAATTTATTGGGCTTGTTTGTTAAGAGACAGACTTAATGTCGAGAAAAAGAGTTGATGAGTTTAAGATTACATTGGCATCCAATAAATGATAGAACAACTTGGTTGTTGGATTTTAATGAAATTCTGACTTTTCAAGGATAAACTTTTGGACTTTGAAAGAGAGAGAGAGAGAGAGAGAGAGAGAGAGAAGAGACTAATAGCTTCTTCAATAATACTTTCTATTTTTAGCTAGTATTTTTAATATAAAAAAATATTATTAATTATATAGATTAAAGATAAATGTCTTTTCCAATGCTATTTTCTATTTTAACTCTTTATTTTGACAAAATTCATAAAATATTTAATTCTAATTTTTTTTTAATAGAGAGATCGTTAGTGAAAAGGTTGAATGACATAGAAAAAAAAATTCATTAATGAAATATGAGATAAAGAGTCATTTGAACTCCGTAGTATTGCGAAGTTAAATATACTCTATATCTCACTTTTAAATATAGAAATTGTAATAAAAAAAAACATTTAACCTCTTTATTATAAAAAAAATCTTAACATAAAGAGAACATTAGAGATGCTCCAAATATCATATACGAGTTATGAAGATCTTTTTCCTATGATATTATTTTCTTTTAATTAAATCTCTAAATTTATTATTTTTTAAAAAATATGATCTAGAAGTTTGATTATTTATTTATTTTTTAATCTGAAACATACACATGGCATGACCAAAACCATTTATTTGAGTCCACTGATAGCTATTAGTTAACCTAACGTATCAAGTTGGCATAGATGGACGGAGGAGGGGTTAAAGTTCATCAATGTTGCTAGTAAAAGGGTTTTCATAGACCAAAATCAAATAAAGGGGTCAGAATGACCAAAAAATAAAAGTTAAAGAGCATCCAATGATTTTCACCCCTTAAAATAATGTAGCACTTCCAGGATTCAATCAAATTTTTTTGATAAAAGTATTAATGGTGTAATTTTTTAACTTTACATATTAAGATTAAATCCTTCTCTAATGACATAAATTTTATAATACCTAAAGAGTAACTAATGACATGTATAATAGTTACTCTATTAATCAACTTTGAGGAATTAAGGCTGGAACTGCAAAACGGAGTTAAGGGAGCCATGGAAACCCTCAAAGTTTGGAATTTTGTATATTTTAGTCTATAAGTTTTAACATTTGTAATTATACCATTCAATTTACATGTTTTGCATTAAAAAAATAAAACAATTATTTTCTTATTCGATCCCTCGCTCCAATTTCTAATTTCACCCTTACAGATTGTCTACGCTCGAACTAGTGCTTTCATAAAGAATATATATATTTTTTTTACGAATCTTTTTGTTAAGGAATTGAATCTTGGTTGATAAAATGAGAGAGATATCCACTACCAATTATCAACTAGATTAAACCTAAAAAACAATTAAAAAAATTACAAAGTAAGAAAAATATCTCAAACACATACTAGTCCTATTTTACTTAACATCTTGGATGGGTTCTGAGAGAAAAGGTAGGCTGAAAATCAGTAAAAAAAAAATTTCTTGTTTAAATTTTGTTTTGGTTAACCATCAAACTAAGAACTGGGGATCATGTAAAATGTTATTAAAATGGACTGCATATACTTATCACGAAAAATTATAACTCGCCGCAAAATACAGTGAAAAGATATAGGGATATTTAGTATTCAAAAACTTTTTTTAAAAAAAAAATCCCAATAAACTATAGAATACTCACAAATATGAATATTTATGAATAATATGATAATGACGATTAAGGACCTATAAATAACATAAGTATCTTCTAATTAATTAAGAGCTAATTTTGAAACTAAAATAAATTAAAAATCTAGAAATTAATTTTAAAAACATAAAAAAATAAAAAAACAAAATATAAAGTCTTAATTCTTAAACTCGAAGAATTTGAGCTGATTCTGTAAGTTCACATTATTAAAAGATCCGATTTTTTTTTTTAATGGATTTTGATCTCCTGAAAGGCCTATATGATGATTATCGCGTCGTTCTATTTTGTAGGCATTTGACTAAATTTTTGGAATGAATATAATTTGCTCTAATCAGACATTAAGATAAAAATCTATGACCATTTAAAGGATTGGTGCGCATTTATTCTTTCAAACCGTCTACTTGAATTTTTACTCATCAGCCTGGCACATGAACTCATCAACTAAATTCTCCACGTGTATATATATATATGGACGGTCTGTATAATATTTATTTTAGATTCAAAACTAAAATATATTTCATAAATTGAGCTAATTGAATATAAATATGTTTTATTAGAATTGTCCTCTCCATAACATAATTATAACTAATAAACTGCAATCAATAAAATTCACCCATTATTTTATTAAAATAACTTATTTGATATATAGATACACAATCTATGTATTAAACCTTCTTTTACGCTATTAAACAAAAAATAAAATAAAATATAAGTACGCATAGTTCTAATAACTTTCTTTAATCAAACATGTTCCAGTCCCGACAATTTTAATTTATTTAATTACTATTATCTAACAAAAGCTCAAAAAACCAATATACATATAATGAAAAATCATTAATTACTTGACGACGAGTGAGAACCAAAATTGTGCCACGAAGTTCACAAAGACAGAGTGCTGGTCACCGACGAAACTTAAAGTTCCCCACTCTCTCTCCCTGATGACTCCCGAAAGTGACCCCGGCGAGCCTGTAACTCCTGCAGGCAGACTATTCCTCCGGCCAGAAATGGACTCCATAATCCACTGCGCGATCGGTGTCAAAAACGAGATGGGCATAGACACCGTAAAATCAGCAATCAAGAATTCTCTCATGATCAAGCACCCAAGATTCTGTAGCCTCCTCGTACGTGATAAGAATGGACAGGAGCACTGGAAAAGGACAGATATTGATGTCGATCAACACCTTATTATAGTAAACAACAAGAATGGTTTTTGCTGTTCATGTGATGATGATGTTGACAAAATAGTGAACGACTATTTAGCTGATTTAGCAGTTAGTACTCCACTGGACATAAACAAGCCTCTGTGGGAAATCCATGTCATGTTGGAGCAGAAGTGTGCTATTTTAAGGATTCATCACGCGTTAGGAGATGGGATTTCTTTGATGTCAATGTTTTTGGCGATCTGCAGGAAAGCAAGTGAGCCTGAGGCCATGCCTACTCTGGTTACTGGGAAGAGGGACTATAGGAAGGAAGGGAAGCGACAGGATTGGAGCGGGGTTCTTTTGGGAGTTCTAAAGGTGGTTTGGTTTAGTTTGGTTTTTTGTTTACAGTTTGTATTGAGAGCTTTGTGGGTTAGCGACAAGAAGACTTCGATTTCCGGTGGTGATGGGGTGGAGCTGTGGCCGAGGAAATTGGTTACTGCTAAGTTTTTGATTGAAGATATGAAGATTGTGAAAAGAGCTGTTGCTAATGCGGTAAGTACATGGCTTTTTTTTTTTTTTTTAATCCTTTTGGGAGAAAAAACAGTACATTTGTTATTATTCTACTTTGCTTACTGGTAAATTCGAATTCCGTTTGAGATTTTTCTAACTAATGGCAATGATTAAAGAGTAAGTTAGGCATGTTAACTGTCAAGAGAGTTAAGTTACCAAACAATTGGAACCATAAACACCTGTCTTTTTCTTCTTCCCTGTTTTTGTTTCAGACAATACTACTACTAAATACTGTGACATTTCAACCAACCTCATTGAATGCTCGAAAAAGTTTTGCAGCAATTATTATTTTTATTATACTCACAATACGATGCAATCTCATATTACCTTGGGCCCATTTGGCTGAGATTAAAAAGAAAAAAAAACTGAACAAAAAAATAGATTTTATTGAGTCTATTTGTTTATATTGGGGATTTTCATGATATGTGGCCATTGATGAAACAATACAAGTCATTAATGAGATTTACTTGCTAGAATAAAGCTATGTGAAGGAGGTTTTATTTTTATTTTTTATTGCAGTATCATTTGGACTTATTAAGGAAAAAACATGGAAGTCATGCAGATAGGTGTCTCTTTTACAAATATTACTCTCGGGCCATGAATATTGAGGTTCTTGGAAATTCTGACTGGCTAATGACATAGAAGAAATAGAGAGATTGTGGGTTTCGTTTTTAGAAAAAAATGGTGCTGAAAGTTTTGCATTACTTATTAAAATTGAAAAGTGAATGTAAAGGTGAATTTTTTTGAGAAAAAAACTAAAATATTGAGAATCAAGAGACAAGTGGTTAATCTGTTTTTAAACTGGAAGTATTCTCTTCAATGTGTACTTTGTTCAAAGTTGCAAGTATTACTTTGGGAGTTTGCATAGAGGCTGCACTAGCAAACTGCTACATTTCTTTTTCTTGATAAGCAGCAAACTACTACCTGGGCATGATTAAACTAAAACTCAAAAAGCGAGTTTCCTGATTGTTTGTTTTGTCATGATAATTATGCAAATATAGCACACATTTCATTTCTGATATAATTACTTGCAGACTGTTAATGATGTTCTTTTCGGAGTGATATCATCTGCACTGTCAAGATATTTGGATCACAGATCACCGAATGGTAAATTACGATTTTGTTTTGGTGCTTAGCACTGTTGTACTTTAATTTCGAATTTGAACAAACATTGTCCTAATTGATTAAATTAAATTCAATGTCTTTGTAGCTATGCAAGAAGGTCAGCAGATAACAGGGATGGCCATGGTTAATTTAAGAGAACAGCTAACGTTGCAGGTGAATTATGCACTTCTTTCACCATGCCTATTTTACAATTACATGTTTCCTCTTATCCTTTGCAAATCATTCAAAAGTGGTTTTCCTGACTGACTTGATCAGAATCTATCCGAAATGATGAAAAGCAATTCAGGATCGCAATCAAAATGGGGTAACAGGTTTGGCATCATTCTGCTGCCTATTTTTTATCAAAAAGGCAGTGTCGATCCTCTTCAGTATGTGAGAAGAGCTAAGTTGATGATTGATAGGAAGAAAAAAACATTTGAGGCTCCCTTCACATATCGAATCGGAGATCTAATAATGTCTTTGCTAGGATCAAAGGTAAAAAGGCATTTAATTTTTCTAATTAGTTTATAGTTTTGGTGTTTGCTTATTTATAATTCGTTTCTGTTTGCATTTCAGGCTGCTTGTATCCTTAATTACAGGGTACTTTGTAATACTACGTTTACTGTCTCGAATGTGGTAGGACCACAAGAGGAGATTACTTTGATGGGCAATCCTATAACGTTCATAAGGGTGACTACATCTAGCATACCCCATGTACAAACTCTAAACTCTAAAGATTCTCCATGCTTAAACCCAATTTAATAAGGGGACCATGGATTAATTTGTTTCTAATACAGTTTTTTTTTTTTTGGTTGGCTGGTGATGCAGGCACTAACAATGCACATGGTGAGCTATGCAGGAAAAGCTGAGATGCAAATCATGGTGGCCAAAGACATTATCCCTGACCCAGAATTTCTTGCCAAGTGCTTTGAAGATGCCTTGCTTGAAATGAAGGAAGCAGCAGCAGCCACCATATAAAACACACGAAAGAAATTTGCTCGTTGGCTGATTGATTAGTTAGCACGTGAATTTCACTGCACCAAATTGTTTGTACAAAGAAAATACTCTAATACTTTTATTTGATTCATCTAAAAGATAGATATTCACGCTTAGAAAACCAAAGATATTAATCCTTCATTTTTTTTTTAATTCTCTCGACGTGCATAAATGTACGTGTTGTCTTATTTTTCTTCACGATTCATTTTTATATATTTAAATTAATCTGGACAGGTTATTCTTGTGAATTTTATTTTAATTCTGAATCACCTTTATTTTATAGTTTAATGAGAGAATTTTGGTATATTTTTAAATTATTAATCATTTCTTACTACAAAAATTAACAACTATTGCTGAATTTTTTGAACTGAGTGAAGGGCAAACCCCAAACAGGAAAGATTCAATTGAACACATCCTTAAAAGAAAAAAAAATTAGTTCGGTTAAGATCGTTTAAAACTATACCGATTTCTTTGTTATTAGCTTGAAAAAAAAAAAATTCACTCCCACAGGACAGGTGCAAGAGCATCTGGGGATCCATATCAAGGTTACTTAATTAACAATTTGGTGGGTTTTATATATTAAGTTACTCTATAAAGAAAATAAACAAAAATAAAAGAGATAAAATAGATAAAAAAATTTAATCAAATTAATTTTTTTTTATCACTTATAATGAGTTCCAATATGATTATTTTTTATATATTTATTTTTTTAAAAAAATAAACTTATTAAATAATATATATATGTGTGTGTGTAATTCTTCGTTTATATAGCTTATGTGAGCGTTAATGACTGTGCGGCGTTGTGGCTGTGTCATCGATAAATGTTTTGAGTGGATGGAAGTAGAAAAACAAAGAAATTCGCCAGAGGGAGAGAGAGAGTGAAAAGAAAAGACAAAAGGTGCTATAATCAGTAACGGGACAGTTCGTCGTAATTAACTACCTTACAGAGTTGCAGAACGAAGCTTTATTGAGAATAAAAACATAGAAAGTGACACATAAGAAGGGACCGACTCGCTGTCGTTGCACTCAGAAAAATTAATGGTGCACGATGTTCCACCAAAGAATGCAAAAGGCGTGCGGATGAAAACGCTTCCCCGTAACATTTGATTAACGTAACGGTAGGAATGGCCCGTGCCTTGTACGGAACAATACTTTTCTTGTCATTCTAATTCCCGATGAGGATGGGGATTTTTGTAGAGCATTGATGCCTTATTTAAATTTTTATACTATTTCATGTTGTTTCATCCCACCTAATATTATTTTATACTAAATTTTAAATTATAGCAAAAGATAATAATTTATATAAAAAATACAATTAAAAAAATTAATCATTTAACATTATATTCAATTATAAGTTTACAACACAACTCATATAATATATTAAATTATTTTCAATCGAATAAATAACATGTTTAATTTAGTTGATGAAATATCACATTTACCAATAATACAAATGCAATTAAAAAAGACAAACCATTGTATATCTTTAGTATTTAAAGATCATCAAAACTCACTCGTTATGTTGTATTTCGACGTAATCGTCGATTATTGTAAATCCTACATTCATTAAAATTAAAAATAGATCAATCATCACAAAAAAAATTTATGTTATCATTTAAACTTTGGTATATTATTTTATAAATTCATCTTTTTTTAGATACTCCACATACATAGTACAATAACAATCTAAAACAAATGGAGCTCCACCTAAAAACAAATATAAAAAACATAAATAAGATATATTAAATTTTTAAGAAATTAATTAAAAAAAACAGATTCATATGTAGAGTTTTAGCATATTACTTTTATTTTTAGTTGTCCATAACTAATTTTAAGCACACATCAATGCTTCCATCATCTTTGGATGAAGTCTACTTCGATGTGGACTTCCTAGCCTATCACCAGTACTAAAAAATGATTCTAAAGCAATGGTTGACACAGGAATTGCTAACACATCCTTAGTAAATACCATCAAAGTAGGATACTTCACCTCATTTAATTTCCACCATACTTGAATATCAAAATCCTTAATTCTTGGAATAACATCCTCAACTAAACGGTGGTCTATATCTGTCTTGACAAAGGTAACCTTGGCCTTTTTTCTTGAAATATACAAGTCAAACTCGGATTTTATATTCTCAACAACCATTGAAAGATTAGCCGCAACAAAGCTAACACATCCTTCATCCACATTCATATTTTTTTTGGTACTTAGGCAACAAATCATAACAAAGCTTCCTTATATTCTCAACTCGAATCGTAGCATCACTCCCATAAACTTTCTTAAAATAGAACTCAAGTGAATCCATTTTGTACCTAGGATCTAAAATTGCAGTTACTTTTATTATTTTATGAATCACACTCAAATACTCATTGAACTTGTCTAACATACTTTCTATCATTTCACTAATCATTTGATTAGGACAAGTGAGCTATTGAGTTAATGCAACCTTAATTTTATAAAGTTTAGGGAAAAATAAATTAGTCGGGGGTACTAAGTTCCCGAAAATAATTCAATAATACTGTAAAGGATCTTCAATCTCCCACACATTTTCTTTGTAAATTCCTAATCATTATCGGTACGTGCAACTTTATAATGAGGTTCACGATGCTTCAACTTAGAAAAACAATCCTTATATAACAAAGCAATTTCAAGCATTAAATAAGTAGAATTTCATCTCATTCAACAATCTAAAGCCAATTTCTTGGTGATAAGAATGAGAAAAAAGTTAGCGAGCATCCTCAAACTTTTCAACTCTTTTAGTAGTTGATGTCCAAGATACTACACTATCTCTAAGTCATCCAATCCCTTCCTTAATGACATCCAACCCATTTTTCACTATTAAGTTGATGATATGAGCATAACATTGCATATGCAATAAAGAACCATAATTCAACAACTCTATATATTTTAACTTATCCCTCGCATACTCAATCATAAAATCATTAGTGGAACAATTATCCAATGTAACAATGGATAATTTTCTTTCAACATTCAAATCCATCAAACAATTACTTAAAGCGAGTTGCAAGGACAATTCTTGTATATGGATAAGAAACATGCATAAACCCAAAACAAGATATAAACTAAAAATATTAAACTAAAGAAATTAAACAAACATCATTAAGTTAACAAGAAATGAAAAGTACCTCGATAGACAACTTCGTAGTGTTTAGGAACTATCAAAGTAGTGAGTCTGTAATAGCAATGAATCCTTTTTTTTTGGTTGCTTGTTGTCCACAAATCGGTAATGATGGTAATTCTATTTCTAAGTTTTCTGAAAATTCTCATCATTTTTTCTCTTTCATTGCCATATATCATGAAGGCATCACTTTTGACTATATTTCTAGCGGGACACCTAAACAATGGTTGGAGAGTAGATGTAACTTCTTGAAATCGATATGGTCAACCATAGAGAATGAGTATTCATGCATTATGATCATAAAAATAAGCTATTTTCTTCTCGTCTCTTGATCAAAAATATGAACTATTATATCACCCATTAAGTCGAAGGCAAAACCTTTTGTCTTTTATCTATAATTTTTCTCCTTTGACATCCGTTAAAGTAATCATGTATATGTTTAGTATCATTCTTTGACTTGTCTCCAAGTTTCCTCTTGCAATAATTACATTCTACCTTTTTTTCACCATTCATATTTTTCCTTGTGAAATGATTCCACACAAAACTAAATTGCTTTTTAAGAGAAAGATTGGAATCACTTTGAAGTTCACCCATAGCGAGGTTGTGGAGATAATGTTGATTCGATAAGCTGGAGTAGATCGAATGGAATTCAAATATGTTGGCATAGACTAATGTGAGCTACCTCTATCTCTATGGCTTGTCATTTTCTTAAAATATACACTATAAATCAATGAAAAACAAAGTTAGAAATAGAGGATAAAACTAAGAACAATTTATTTCATGATTTCTATTTGGATAAAGGAAATTGCATACATAAATAAAAATGACATAATTTGCATTTGACAATCGAAAAAGTAGAAAAATCGAGTTAAGCGTAGTGTAGTTATCTACCTGTATATATAGATAAAGTGCGAACTAAATTAAAAAAGACAACCAAAACAATCTTGAAATTGGTGAAACTAGAAGAAACACACGAGTGAATGGTACAAGTATAATAAAAGAAAACTTCCCTATCAAAAAGAAGGGAAAAAAAAACCTCTCCAACAAAAAAAAAACCTCACCTAATTCAAACCTCTCAATTCAATAGATAACAAAATTCTCTTAATTCAACGGAATTAACTCTCTCAAAAATCTAAAAGTAGATCAAATTTATGATAGAGTTAATTCAAAAAACTAATTACCCGGATATCAATGGTGGCTAGTGGGTGACGGAGGGTTGTGGTGGTTGGCGTTGTAGAAAGATGTCGTGGTTGGAGTCACGGTGGGCTATGGTGGGTAGGGGCGGATTTGATGGCTCGTGATTGTGAGTGGTGGTAGGCTAAATGGGAGATAGGTGAAGAGAAGGTGAAGTGTAAATTGTGTTTGTATGTAAAACTAAAACCCTAATTTGTAGTCTTAGAGTTTATATATGTGTTAGATATAATTGTAATATTCAAAAAGAAGGGTGAGGCGGGACGACACAAGATGGGGTGGGCAAATACCATCCCCACCCGATCCCTATTGAAAGTCAATAAGAGGTGAGGCACCCCTCCATTCTTCAATCAACTCTAGGAATCCCCGCATTGATCGAGACATGGCAAATTGTCATCCCTAGGTAATGGATGCTTGATGGAAACTTAGAAACTAAATTGTAAAATAAAAATGGATAAATTACAAAAAAAAAAATAATAATTAGATGGTATTGTAGCTACATTTTTTTTAAAAATACACTATTTATTTTTTCAAGATGAATTTTCAATACGATAAATTATGAAATAATAACAATATCTTTATGTATAATTAAAACTCATGCTAATTAAAAAATAATTAAAAAAAAAACTCACCACATTCCCAAACTATATTTTCTTTCTTATGTTCTTCTCTCTCTTTCAAAGAGAGAGAAAAAAAAGTTAACCAAACATTTAAACTTACAATCAAATATGTTGAAATCAAATACTTTTTTTTCTATGTTTTTGTTGATTAAACGTGTCTTTCGTTGTTTACGATCGAATTGAAGACGATTCAAAGTTGAAACAAAGTATGTGAAGTGTAATATGTTTTTTAATTTTTCAAAATATTAATGTATTTAATCCATAAAATATTGGGATTAACATTAATTACTGTTACAAAGTTAAATTCAACAATTAGAGGAGTCAATTTTTTTTTTTTTTATCACACACCATAAAATTCAAAAATTATTAAGTTTGTATGACCAATGATTTTTTTTATATATAAAATTGTGATATGTATTGGAGAAGAGCAACAGTTTTTTTTTTTTTTTTCACACACTATAAATTTGAATGGGTTGGCATCAAATAATAGTACTTGTGCACAATAATAGCTTATAAGAGATTATATTTTATTTATCTCATTTGTTTTTTCAATGTTTATAAGAAATTAATAATTTTTTTGAATTCAATATTAAATTGATAAATCATTGGCAAATAATATTTATAATTTTAAATGTTCATGTGTAATTTTAGAAAACTAGATATTTTTAAAATTATAAAAGTTAAATCTTTTAAAGGTACAACTTCATAATCCAATAAGACTCCATCATTTATGCTTAAAATTGATTGATTGATATTAATTTCTATGCACATTAGATTGAAAATATATATATCTTATTATATTAATCTTGTTGCTTAAAATTTATTTGTTCAATCATTTGTTTCTTATTAAAATTCTCCTCAAATTATTTTTTTTATTTTTTTGATATAATTTTATTTGTTAATAAATTGGGTTTTTTATATATGGATTTTGGAATAAAAATTTAGAATGTGAGTTTTTCATTTTTTAAAATATATTATTATAATTTATACAATGAGTTATTTTTATGATTTTTAAATGAGAGTAGGATAGTTGCATATACTCAATTTTTTAAAAACAAAATTAATAATCGGTTAAAAAAAAGAATTTGTCCGTTTTATTTGCTATTAGAAGTTATTGAAACCAACTTTGTAATAATTTTTATTTTAATCTATTCACTTCGATATATTCCATATAATTTAGGTATATTTATGAATCATTAGTTTTTTTTAGAAATTAATTATTTATCCGCACACATAACATCAATTATTTATTTTTATTTTTTTCATGTTCTAAAATATGTATTTTTAAATAAAATAATTTAAATAATATTTTGAAAGAGCCTTCTAATTATTTAAATACAAATTTTATGCTAATATTATTAATTATTTTGTTAACAAATATATATATATATATATATATATATATATATATATATATCAAATAATTTCGCTCAATATATAGATTCGATTTACATTAATCACAAAAAAAATAACTTTTACTCACGTCATATCATATGAATCGTTAATATTACGTATGTAACGGTTGTCTAACCGCAACGCGAGTGTGAGTATCTAACTAGTTTACTTTAATAGAACTAGAATGGGTGAAGTAGTTGGGATTAGTGGTGGCTCCAAAATTACTCGTTTGATTTCTTAACTTTCCACATCCATGGACATCTCTCTACTCCCTTCCTCGTCTCTCCCATCTTCCCTCGCTCTATAAGTCAACCAAAAAAAAAAAAAAAGGCTACAATTAGACTAAAGAAAAAAATTAATAGACTCTATAATTATTTTATTTTATTTTATTTGTCTATGTTAGGGTGATCACTTACTTTGTTTATGGAACCAAAATAAAGGATTTCAAACCCTCGATGTGAATAACTCTACAATAGATTAGCAATTATTTCTAATTTCAAGTATATTAATACGAATCGTTTTGTGTCAATGCGATGCATCTAAAAAAAATGGACAAGAAACTCAAAGAATGTTTGTTATGGTAAACATGTTTCTTGTATTGAGAAAGCTTTAAATATGATTGATTTTCTAGTTTTATACTTTTAGTTCAAACTTATAGGTTGATCGAGGCTTGTAAGAATTGAAATAAGGAGTTCAACATAATCCACGTGGTTTTACAAATGGATGGGAGAAAAAGTAGCATATTTGTGTTTTTTAACTGTTTCGAGCTTAAGAGGTGATCTACCATTTATTTATCGTTTTAAATTTTGATACTTTTTATAAATTAGTTTCAAGCTTAAGAGGAGTAAATTATAAATTAGCTCATCTTGTTTTAAGAAAGAAATTAATTACTTTTTATTTCAAAAACTAATTATTTAGTTTTTATTTTTTAAATTCTACTTGTAACTTAGTTTTTTTTTTTTGTTCAATTTATTTTGATTTTTCTTAAGAAATATATATACAAAGATTGATAAGAAAGAAAGATATTTTATAAAATAAAAAAATAATTAAGTATAATTAGCACTTGTCAAATGACCAAATGCTAGTTTTGGAAACGTGGGGGCATATAATTGAGTTTTTTTCTTCAAATAAGGTGTTTTTAAATCTTTATTACTAAAAGATAAAAGATGATACTTTTAAACTTATTTATCAAAATAGATATTTATTGACATGTAGATATACATATCATCAAGTGGTCCTACTTTGTTTATTTGCATTTAACTTCAAGTGAAAATCATTAGTAATTTCTCATGCAAAGCTTAAAATAATTTGTGTGTCTAGACGAATCAAAACTGACAAATAAATAAATAAATAAATAGCTCCACTTTTCTTGCTTCCTAAAAACATTTATCATAAAAACAACCTCTGGTTCATCTTCACATCAATGATGACGAAAAAGGAGCGATATAGTGCGAGCTTCCATCTAACCTGCTCCCCATCTTTTGTTCGAATCTCCAACCCATCAACATGATTTTGATGCAATATAATAATTAAGTTCTTGTCCGTATGAGGCATTACTCCATGCTTTTTGTCATGGCTCTGGAGTCCTCCATATTTCATGACTCTAAGCAAGTAGCAGGTTGAGTTCATGTGTTCATCCAAGTATTTATCAAGACCCAAGCTCTCCAAAATCATCCTCTTGATTGTCTCTTATAATTCTGATACATGTTTGGAAAAAACGTTTGTAGCGCACCCCCCCCACACACACACACCAAAGGAAACGCGTCTGTTGCCCAAATTCAAATAATGGGATGAATGAGAGAGAACCCTTCTACGTACAAAGCATTCAGTAGAATTGCTTTTTTTTTTTTTCCTTCTTATTCTTCTTCTTTTTGTACTATGCTGCTATGTGTAATTTTTTGGAACGATGAGACACACAGGTGTAGTTAGAGAAGGTAGTTTTTTATTGAGATACGTAATCTTTTTTTATAGAACATTAAAATCAGTTACAGTTGTTACGAAGAAGAAGACAAATTGGTTGAAAAAAGTGAAGTGGATAAAAATATTTTATTTGATAAAAAAATATTTAATTTGAAAATTAAGTTTAAAACTATTTTTTTTAAAGAATAAAGATTTAGAAAAATCATAGTTTGATAAAAAACCTCGCATGTAATTTACTCTGATAGGACCAGAGTGGGTGGAGCAGTTGGGATTGGTGGTGGTTCCAAAATTATTTGTTTTATTTTTTGACTTTCCACCTCCACGTCTATTCCCATTTTTCCCCTCCTAATCATCTCTCGACTTCTCCCGTCGTCTATACCTTCCAAATCGCTCTCCCTAGTCATCTCTTTACTCCCCTCCTCGTCGCTCCCTTCTTCCCTCACTTTATAAATCAGCCAAAAAAGAAGGCTACAACCAAACGAAAGAAAAAAATTAGTAGACTCTATAATTTTTTTTTCTTTTTGTTAGGGTGATCATCTACTTAGTTTATGGAACAAAAAAAAAAAAAAAAAAAGGATTTTGAACCATCAATATGAATACTCTATAATACATTAGCAATTGTTTCTAATTTCAAGTATATTAATAGGCATTGTTTTGCGTCAATGCGACACATCTCAAAAATAAAAGTGAAAAGGAAAGGCAAAAAATGTTTTTAATAGGAAACATGTTTCTTGTATTAAGAAAGCTTTAAATATGACTAGTTTTCTAGTTTTATACTTTTAGTTCAAGCTTATAGATTGATTGATGCTTATGAGAATTGAAATAAGAAATTCAATACTATTCATGTGGTTCTCCAAATGAATGAGGCGACGGGTAGAATATTTTATACTTCTTAACTGTTTCTAATTTAAGAGGTTATCCACCGTTTACTTATAGTTTCACATTTTGCTACACCTTATTTAAGGAGTAAATTATAAATTAGTTCCACTTGTTTTGAGACATAAATTAATTAGTCCTTCTTATTTCAAAAATTAATTATTTAGTTTTTATTTTTAAAAAATTTACTTCTAACTTAGTCATTTTTGTTCTTGTTCAATTTATTTTAATTTTTTGTTTTAAGAAATAGATAAAATATATAAAAAGATTGATAAGAAAATAAAACGTTAATTTTGTAGAATAAAAAATAATATTAAATCAAGCATAATCAACACTAATCAAATGACTAAATATTAGTTTTTTAAACGAGGAGGACATGTAATTTACTCTAATGGAATTAGAAATGGTGGAGCGAGAAATTTTATAATACACAAAGAGTAACTAGTGACATGTACGGTAATTACTCCTTGAGCCCACTTTGAGGAGAAAGATAGACACACAAAAAGAGAGAGAGAAAACGAGTGAGAGAAAATAAAAAAATTTGAGCGGACGTGAAAATCTTCTCGTCACTTTTGATGGATATGGATGTAATTTTTTTATTTTTTATGTGTCTATCTCTTTTCTTAAAATGGATTCAAATAATAACTATTATACATATCACTTGGTTACTCTTTGTGTATTATAAAATTTTACCCGATGGAGCAGTTGGGATTGGTGATGGCTCCAAAATTAATTGTTTGATTTTTCAACTTTCCACGTCCATGTTTTTTCCCTCCTTTTCCCTTTCTGGTCATCTCTCTGTTTCCCTCCTTGTCTATCCCTTCAATTTCCTTCTCCCTAGTCGTCTCTCTACTCACCTCCTTGTCTCTCCCCTCTTCCCTCACTCTGTAAATCAGCCAAAAAAGGAAGGCTACAACTAGACAAAAGAAAAAATTAGTGGATTCCATAATTTTTTTTTGCTTTTTTTGTTATGTTAGGATAATCATTTACTTTGTTTATGAAACCAAAAAAAAAAAAAGATTTCAAACCCTCAATATGAATAAGTCTACAATAGATTAGCAATTGTTTCTAGTTTCAAGTATATTAATACGTATTGATGCAAAACCATATTTATGTGCTACTCTGAATTTCTCCTGGAGTTCTCCTGGAGTTTCAAGATAGCATATTTTATGTAGTGTAATGATTTATTTCACAAATTGAAAACTCAAAAATAATGTCGATTATGTATAGGTTACTCATCCGATCTTTGACGATAAAAACGGTTTAGAACATCTTCTTCTTTTGATTTATTCACAGTATAATTGTCTTAACCTACTTGAAGTACTCATGCAGAGTCTATGATGCAAACATTATGAGAAATGATTTTCTTGCGGCATTTTGATAGTTATTACTGTAGTGAAAAGGTGATTCAAGAGGGTCTTAAAGCTAGCAAAGTAATCACCTTATAAAGAGGGGAAAAGAAAGATGAAATTATGGGGAATTTTCTTTTTGCTAAACATTCCTTTATTTTTGTGAAATTTTAGAACAACTTTTTTATACATCACCAAAGCATCTCTTAACTACAAAAATACTTTTTTTTCTGATTTTTTTATCACATTAAAACAATAAGATTTATGATTTTTTTAAAATATACACTAGTCAATTATCCATACTACGTTGCGAATTGAGTAAAGCGTAATTATTTCAGTTTGATAGACAATGCCATATTGCAGGCTTATGAAACAATATCGAATCAAAAATTAAAAAAAAAACACAAATTTATAGTTTTTAAATCAAAATCTTGTATTTAATTAATTTTTTATGTGTCAGGCTCTAGTCAAATTGGGTGTAACAATGATTTAATTTTGAATTTCATTGAATTTTCATAAATTATAATTAAATTATTTGTAATGAATTTGATTTTTTTTTCCTAATGAATGAAAGACTTTTTAATTAATCAAAAGAGATTAAGACGGGCGAGCCAATACAAGAGAACAAAGAAATAACACCATAGCTGGCCACAAGGACTGGTCATTACACACAAGATAGAATTGAAAATTTCTCTATTCTTAATATATTTTTCTTACCATTAAGTGATTTTGGTAATATTTTTTTTCAATGAAATTTTTGTGCACCCCACACTTACTTTAACGGAATTGGTGAGTAAATTATAAATTAGTTTTTTTCAGATTTGGTAAACAAATTAATTAGTCTTTCTATTTATTAAAAAAACTATAGAAAAAACTATTCTACACGTAGCAGTTCATCCCGAACATAACAATATTTTTCAATTTCAAGTGATTGTAGGCATTAAAAAAAAAAACTTAAAGTTTATACATTCAAATAGAAGGATTTATGTATTGATCATTCAAATAGAAAAAAAAATATTAGGCACGCAATATTTTCCATTAAGCCTTGGGCCTGAATTGCAACATGTTTACACCAGGCTTGGAAGTCAGTACAAACTACAAAGGGCTCAGCCATTAAAAGAGGACTCGAAAAGCCCATAGCCAACTGAAGCACCAGGCCTGAACCATGCCCACAAAAAATAGCAAAATCAGAGATCCATGGCCCAGTTCTGTTCCTTTTTTATGTCCGTTAAATGTTAGTCATGTTCTGTCGTGCTCTTATCCTGAAATACACAAAAACCCATACACAAGTGGCAACAGAGGGGAGACTGAAGAGAAACAATGAAGATAGGAGCGCTGGGAGTTGTGCACAGAGTCCCTCCTACCACCACCTTCGCTCTTAGCCACGTCAGAGCCAGGGTTAGATGTTTTTCGTCCTCTGGTAACTCCATGACCCTAACATCACTTCTTGTTGGTTATATATAATTAATTAAAAACCCACTAGCCAAATATTTCTAGCTGTTGCATGAAATATAAAATTTCAGCAAAATTCGGTGAAGATGAGTTAAAGTTTCTATTAAGTTCAATTGTTAATTGTAAATCAGTAGTTTTTGGCATTTAGAAAAGTTTAGTAACTGAAAACGCAGGCCACGTATCATTCATTGAGGATGTAGCTGCTACTCAACCTCCTAAGCATCTTCATTACTTGCTCAAAATGCTTCAAACTAGAGGTATTGATCATCGCTATACTAATCTTTGGTATCTGAGAAAACCCTGAAAATGTGAAATGTGCTTTTCTTTTTTCTTTTTCGTTGGTCTATTCGTTTATGACCTGCTACGTTTTGTTATATGTTTGGTTCTAGGTGAAACAATCATATCTCCAGGATCTAAACAAGGGCTGATACCACTTGTTATTCCTCTATCGGAGAATCTTTCAGGTTAGACGTACATTTGTTTGGACCATGTATTATGATACATACGCTCACAAGTCATGGGCTGTTCAATTGGAAACTGTCAGTTTCATAGCACACATTTGTTTGCCAATAGGTTCTGTAACTGCACTGCTGCGCTGGCCAACTGCCCCACCTGGGTAAGACGTACAATTTTCTAGTCGAGTGCCCTGTTAATTTTCTTCTGTATTTCAATGTTGTTAAGGGCAATTGGCAAACTTGTTAATTGCTTTATTAATCTTCCCAATTGGTGCTGTTCACACAGAATGGAGATGCCAGTTGTGGATGTTCGCAAGCATGGGGTGTGGCTTTTAGCTAAGAATGTAATACATTAAACTGGAAGCATGCATCAATGTGCATTCTTAGATGGAGAATGTAGTAGTAGCTAGTAGACATTTGTGTGCATAATTATGTTGATTATTCATTACTACATCAAATTCAATGCCACCTTGAAAGTTCCACTTTTGTGTGTGCTTTGGGCACTGTCTCAGAATTTTTTTTGATTAATTAGACAAGGGTAGCTTACATTCTACAGCTCTTGCAATTCAGGTAGATCAGTATATACAAAGAATTTTGGTTGAGGAAGATGCCAACAATTTCAACGAAAGTAATGGTGAACTCTTTCATGCTGCTTCAGAAGCTGGTGAGAAACTTTACAGAAGGGGTGATTTTGCTGAATCTCAGATTGCAAACCTTGATGGTTATCTTCTTAAAGAGGTAAAGTTCTGTAAGTGAGTTTGTTAATCTACTTGTTGCATCGTGACAGTTTATTGTTCTTTCAGGTGGGGCTGTTCCCAGATGTCTTAGAGCGTAAAGTAACTCGCCATTTTGAGCAAGGGGATCATGTGAGTCATTTATGATTTTGGCCGTCAATTGTTACCAAGTCTAGAGTTTCTGTGCTTAACAAATTCTTCCATACCATGGGTGGAAGGTTTCGGCTATGGTGACAGGGGAATTCTATACCAAAAAGGATGTATTTCCAGGATTTGGAAGGCCCTTTGTATTCTATGCAGAGATTTTGAAGAAGTTTGTCGAAACCTTTCCAGAATACTTATATTTTCAGTCTTACACTTTTTAATTCCTCAATCAAACCTTTTGAGTTACTTTCTTTTTAGAGTTGGACGTACATCAGAAGCTAAAGATGCTGCAAGGGTTGCTTTAAAATCACCATGGTGGACTTTAGGTTGTGCATACCAGGTATTGACTCTTCTTTAATTAGAACTCATTGTCTTTTAGATCTATTGACTTCTTTCTTCTGATTTTTCCGTTTCCTTTATTTTGCTGAATTCTGATCAGGAAGTGGCAGGCATTGCACAATGGGAGGATGAGCAAATAGAATACATTCAGGAGAAGGTGAGTGAAGAAGGTAGGCAGGAGGATTTGAAGAAGGGAAAGGCAACTGCCCAGGTACCTCTTTAGCGGAATAACTCTTTCTGATAAGAAAAAACTGAAATTCCATTCAAAACTGTCATCTAATTCACGTGGGCTGGTTTTGATGCTCATATTGATTTGGCATGCAGATAGCATTGGATGAGGCTGCTTTCTTGTTGGATTTAGCTTCTATTGAAGGAACCTGGGATAATGTTTTGGAGCATATTGCTGGATGTTATAGGCAGGCTGGATTTGACGATATTGCAAGATTCATTTTGTACAAAGATTAATGACCAATTAGGTGAGAATCATGTCTTTCATGGTCGTAATATCTGCTATCAAATCTATTCTTTGATTTCTATTTCTTTCACCTGTTCTGTTATTGGAAGAGCAGTGTGAAAGTAGTCTGTAGTACATGCATAGAGTTTATGTAACCTATATAATAAAAGAAGATTGGACGCTTGATCCTTCTTTTTCGTTTTAATTATACATTTTGATAACAAGGAAGTTCAGCCTGCATTTCATTCTGTCCAATAAAAGAAAACTTCTCTTTGGCTGTGAAAATTTTGGCGGATTAGGAGGGGGTTTAGAGGTGATCAGCTAGCTGGATTTGTTGCTTATTATCATCGAACTATGTCATTAACCATAACTCCTTAAGGTGACGTGTTGACGGGATTCATTTTGCACAAAGATTAATAACCAATTAGGTGAGAATCATGTCTTCCATGGTCGTAATATCTGCTATCAAATCTATTCTTTGATTTCTGTTTCTTTCACCTGTTCTGCTATTGGAAGAGCAGTGTGAAAGTAGTCTGTAGTTCATGCATAGAGTTTATGTAAGCTATATAATAAAAGAAGATTTGAAACTTGATACTTCTTTTTCGTTTTAATTATACATTTTGATAACGAGGAAGTTCAGCCTGCATTTCATTCTGTCCAATAAAAGAATACTTCTCTTTGGCTGTGAAAATTTTGGTGCATTAAGAGGGGTGTAGAGGTGATCAGCTAGCTGGATTTGTTGCTTATTATCATCGAACTAATTCATTAATGACAGCAATATTAATGACAGCATTTACATATCATCCCATTTTCTCAGTTACAGGGGCACTTTAAGCTCTTTAATTTCATCAAACCTAGATATATTTACACAATACTTAAAAGACATTATACATCTCTCTCTCTCAAAAGGAAAAAAAATATATAATAAAATAAAATAAAAATTCTGATGCCCACATCATCACCGTCTCCAATCATCAATAAAAGGGAAACATTAAATTATTCAACCACTAGACCATGAGCGCATTGGCTTTTATCAGTCCAGTTTGAATTGGAGCTGTAATGGCAGCAGCAGTTTTTTCCAACTGGACGTCAACAACTTTTTGTCATACCTTCACTAAGGATAGAGACTTCTTGCTTGCCCCTTTCTTTCTTCTCATCAGTAGCCTCCTTAGCAAACCAAATCCTTGTTTTTTACTAGGAACAATAGCCAGAGCCTCGACTGCAGCATTAACGGATTTGTGCTTTGGTCCAAAATATGCTTCAGGAGCACATACCAAGGCATTAGGACCAATCAATCCATTATCATTCTCTGAGTGGTTAAGAGAGGATTTTTGTGCATCTTCAGTTGGAGATCTGAGAATAATTGCTTTAGATCTATCTTCAGCTATCATTTGATCACGTAAGGAGAAGCGTCTGTTCATGTTCTTGATATTGGCGGTGGTGGCAGTGGCAGCGGCACCAGCAGGAGTGAAAACCTTGTCAAAGAGTGCTGCTTCTCTTGGTGAAGCCAGAGCCTTCAGTTGTTTTCCAAGGTTAAGGATGGTTTCTTGGCATTCTGCCAACTTTACAGAAGCTGCTTTGATTTCCCAGCCCTGCATATTTGACCATCTGATTCAGCAGTCATTCCAAATAAAACAATTATCTAGAGTGAATTCTTTGGATTATCTTTTTATTGTTATCAAATTACTTTCCTAGCTAAGTTTTTGAGTATATACATCCGACAAAAGTCATGTTAATTAACACTAAGATGTGATCAGTAACTTACATCCTGCGGTTGTTTCCCCTCTTCATTTATGCCACAGCTCCGGGTTTCCTTTGCAGCACTGTTAAATGTTACAATATATATCAGAGTTCTCTTTCAATTTAGGGAAGGTATTGTTTTTCCTATTTGGTAGTTTGCTGAGGATAGAAGAAGAAAAAACTTGTTACCTTTCCAGCTGAAGTTGAAGCTCGAGACAAGTTGTTTCTAATTCTTCACAACAGTTGCTTTTTTCCTCCAATTCAACTTCCAAAGATGAGAACTTCTGGAAGACCTGATTCAATTTAGATTTTGTAACTGTAAGCTGAGTATCAAGATCTTCATTGATTGACTTCTGATTTTCAATCTGATCCTCAATCATTCCTTTTGATTCCTTCAAAATCTCCACTTCTGCCTGTAACCTTTCAACACTTTGTTCTGATTCTTGAAGCTTCGTCATGAGAGCCTCTGTCTTATCAGTTGCAGACTGCAGCCTGGCTTCCATATCGTTCAGCTCATTTTTCAGGCTATCGTTCTCTTCTTGCAGATTACTCAGATTACATTGATCTTGTTGTTTGCTTGTTTCTTTCACTGGGGTATCGATACTGGAAGATTCAATCAATGAATCCGCAATCGAATATTCATTTTGATGCTTCAAAGTGATATAACCACTAATATCACATTCCAGAGGATGCCTTGAGAACGCTGCTCTATCATGTTCACAAGCATTTGGATGGCTTATACAACCTAAAGCAATTTTAATGTCCTCCAGGAGTTCAGTTAGACTTCGTTTTGAAATACGCTGCTGTTTGAATATTGCCGTCAGAACAACCTGAAGCCAGTCGAAATACTTATCATTTGAGCTGACTTTCGAGTGGATCTCTTGTTCCGCAGAAACTAGTTCCTTACCAGCTGAGGAAGGGCGATTCCCACCTGCAGAAGGTGTTTGCGTGGAAACTATAGCTAATTTCTCCATCTCAACAAAATCATCCATTAAACTCATGTCCATAATTTCAATGGCTTTACGTTCCGACTGACTCTTGAGTTTCCCATCTCTGAAATGTTCCAATTCTGAGATTAGAGCATTAGCCCACGATCCAGTATCAGAACCTGCAATTGGAGATAGGAGTTCACGTGATGATGGGCTATGCCTTGCCAGCTGCACAGATTTCTGGTCTCCAGAAAGCTCTATAAGCTGAGCCTCAACCTGTGATAACCTTAAAGCAGTTTGTGAGAACATGGCCCTTGAAGATTGGAGTTCAGCATTCTTCCTGGTCATCATTTCTCTCAGAACTGCATTATCCTCTTCCTTACCACGTAATTGTTCAATCAGGAAATCAATGTTCTTTACAGGAATTTCTGGAGAATTTTCCATAATTGGGTCTCTGAGTACCAAATCTCTGGTGAGGTTCAGTTTTCTTCTTGATTCCACCGGCTCCCTTCCCAGCATTTCAACTTCACTCTTCATCTTCGAGATAACAGCAGGACCAGGAAGCTTTTTCCGCAGTAGCGTACGGAGTCTCTGACATTCTGCTTCTAGCTTTGTGACTTTCCTCACATTCTCCAAGTGCTGCCTGCGTGATGCATCAGCAGACCGACGGCTATATTCCAGTTCCTCATTCCGAACCTCAAGTTCCTTCTGAAGCATGTGAAACTCGTACTTCAGAAAAGTATTCTCTTTCTCCGTGGAATCTAATCTTACCATTAGTGTATTGAATTCTGCAACTGTCTGAGATGCTCGTTTATGCAGTTCTTCGACCAATTTCTCTTTGAGTAAAAGGGCATTACTTAAATTTGTGTTCTCAATGGCGAAATTTGTAAGCCTTTTGCTTGTCTCCATCAACTTCTCTTCCAATGTTTTCTGTGCCTTCTCAAATTCACTTGTTGCTTCCATGACAGCATCATGTATCTTTTGCCCCTGTTCTTCTCGAAAAGAGTTTAGCTGCTGCAAGCATTGCTTTAATGCAGCATCTGAGTTACTTAATTTTTCATTTGCAGCTACTCCTTGCTTCAGAGCTGCATCAAGTTCTTTCTTTAGGCAATCTACTTCTGCTTCTGTCTTTTCCTGGGCTACAAGAAAAACTCTCATTCATTGGATTAACAAAAGACAACTAATCAAGCATATAAAGAAGGATTATCAGAAGTAACTGATGGATGGAAGCTAGCGTATAGAACGGAGAGAAAAAGAAGGTAAGGATATTGACGAATCACCTGCTGTGGCTCTCTGTTCTGATTTTTCATCTTCTGTCACAGGATCATCTTTTGCATGAAAATCAAGAAGCACTGAAGCTAACTTCTCGTTTAAATTTCGTCTAACTGGTCCTACTCCACTCCCAATTGGAATATTCTGCGTCTAAAAAAATGAAACAAAGGAATGCATGAGTTGGATTTCACATTTTCACAATTAAGTCCAATATCCGCACACGAAACCTGCTCACACTGAGATGCAAGTTCCCTCTTGCCAGCGAAGAATCAGAAAAGAAAGAAACAACAATAATAAAGGTGTACGCAAGATTGTTACAGGACTTGATCACATACATTAGAAGAATCAGAAAGGTGTTTGGCAATTAAATTCTTTATATTAAAAAAAAAAAAAAAAAAAAAACATTAGAAGAATTACAAAGGTGTTTTCACAGCGGGGAAGGGAAGGCTGCAATAGAAATTTAAGTGGTTTTGAACAAGAGAAGGCCTTGTAGTTACCTCTTCATCAATTCCTTTCACAGAAATGCCAAATTTGTTTGTTGCCACAATTGTCTTTTCGGAAGACCTTTTCCTCCAAAGCCATGTCTTGTTCTCCATCACTTCACTCCCTGTTTATACTTATAAAGTAAATTCATAAGCAAGAAAAATTCTTGTGAAGATTTCAATTAAAGATGCGAAGCTAAAGCAATTTTACAAAACATAAATACAGGGGCGACAGATTGATAGTTAAAGATTTTAGCTCCTAGTCTCAGTTCAACAATGCAATCATTGACTTTAGAAACATTCTTCACCTAGTTCTCAATCATTTGATGAAACTATACTCATATGAGCCTACTTGAATCATCTACTAATATAAGCAAGCATCAATTACCATATCTAGCTATCTGCTACCATGTGGGCTACCATCTTCATAAAAAGAAGAAAAAGCAAGCATTGTAGCTGTTGCTCACCTGATCCTGGCTTAGCAAGAAGATATTAACCGTTACAAATGACCATCCAAATGTTCCTATCAAAGCAGCTGAGAGGGATGGAGAGAGGAAGACTTAATGTGTAGAGACTGACAGACTGTCAAGACTAGACTCTAATGCAGCAAAACCTTGACGGGTAAGGTAGATACTATGAAGTGGAAAATAGTTGAACAAGAATTTGAGCCCATAAAGATCATGTGATCTTATACAAGGGAAAATGTGAGCAAGGTTTTTTCGCATAGGATACTATGCTACTGCTCCACCGACAACTATACACAAGTGAGCTAATCATATGAGAGAGAGAGAGAGAACGAGACAGTGAAATAAAGGAAAAGGAGAAAAGGAAAGTATTGAAATTGCCAAAGGCAAGGCAAGAGAGAGATTGCGCAAAGGCTATCATTTTCTGGTTTCGTTTTCTCGCTTTGCTGTGTGAGATTATGAAAGGATAAATAGATGGTGTCACGTTAACTAAGTGCTCGTGTATAGCACGCTCTGTGCATTATAATTGAGTGCAACGCACTGGCTTCAAAGGAGGGTGGGATTTGAGGCCTTATGAAAAGCGGAAATAGACTATGATAAAATGATTATGTCTTTAGGTATCATTGTTTTGGTTCGTAGTAGGCGCACACACACATATATATCTATTGGGATTTTTGTTTTTTTTAGACATTTTGATGGTGGGTTTCTCGTATCGTATCGTATCCTATCGTTATGGAACTCATGCTTACTACCGTAGCAAAAGTAGAGTATGCTGATATGATAGTCTGCATTAGTCAAATAGAAATCAGAATCATAAGATGATGAGTTGAGCTATTTCTAATAGAATCAAGAAGCAGTATAATTCCATTCTAAAAACGGAGACAGTATAATGGATCCTTGAAATCTAAATTGGAGTGCTTTAGGACGAGGCTGAAATTTATGGGAGGGAGGAAAAGTGAATACTACCCACTTCCATGTGCTTAAAGAATCACATTTGAGTAAAAGAATTCTAATTATTTAATTAAATTGTTTTAATTCAAATTCTCGTATACACAGGAAATCTTTAGTAGCTATATTTGTTTTATGCATTTCACAAATCTTTAGTAGCTAATTCATTCACATTTTTCAGTGTTTTTTTTTAAAAAAAAAAAAAAGCAATGGCTTCTTTACAAGGATTAAAAGGGGAAAAAAGGATCTTATTTTCTTTCTTTTTTTCATATTTTACACTGGAACTTTCACCTTACCAATTTTCAAGATCAGCTTTATGGAATGTCTCCCATTCAAACACTTTTATAAGATTAAAATGTCTTTGAAAGAGATCGAAAGACGTGCGCCATGATACTTTTGACCTCGACTTTATTATAAGAGCAATAACCATCGCAAATCAAAATTTTCATTTTTCATTTTATAATGTAACATGGTTAATCATGATTTTCAAATAGTAAAAGAGGACTTAGTTTCCGACATGCGCAAAAAATAATTGCTTTCGAGACCGCTATTCTGAAGACATATACTGAGAATTCGGTGATCGATTTACGTGATATTCCAGTCACAGATCATGCATTTGTTGATGTTAAACGTGTTTAGAATTAATCTTACTTAAAACTAGTAAAAATCGGTGGGATTATTCCAGGTTTTCGAATCCAACATGCCAGTGCCAGATGTTATTTAACCATTATATTAACGCAACCTTTTGTTTTAGTGATCAGAAATAGTTGCAAATGCTAATGGGACTTCGGACTTGACTAGAAGGGCTCCAATAGGAATTTGCTAGATCAGGATTCGAGTCCTCCCTTCATGGGTCATGAGTCAAGCCCACGCCCAAGCCTAAGGGTCCGTTTCAACGTGAATAAAGGGATGCCAAGCTGCTAAGTACTGGTCTGTGATTAAGTTTATCGGAATTGTCATGGGAGGATGAGGGACCTTGCATCCTGGTTATTTATTTTATTTTTCAGAAAAAACCAAAACAAAACAAAACAAAACTTGACCATTTAGCCTTTTGGGGTGTAAATTATAAATTACTTTGACGTTTTTTCAGTTTTTTGTTTTAAAAATTAATTATTTAATCGTTTGACTAGTATTAATCACATTTAACTTAATATTATTTTATTTTCTAAAAAGTCATTTTTTATCATCAAATTTTCTTCTTCTTTTTTTCTATTTTTTAAATCAAAATAAATTTAAAAAATAAAATAATTAAATAATAAGAAAATATAAAAATATAAAAATTTATTAATTAATTTTTAAAATAAAAATTAATTAATTCATTAAAATGATTTGTTTTCCTGTTCTATTGACAACATTTTCCTATGCGATGATGGAAACTCCTGTAGCTATGATAATCTCTCAAAAGTCAAAAGACTAATAATTTTCCTTTTTCATGAAAATGGAAAGACTAAATTCCTTTCGTTTTAAAAATTCTAAATTTGGTTGTTTTCATAGTTGTCTTTTTTCGAAGGATAAGAAAAAAATAATAATAAGCACACTCAAAGGTTAAAAAAAAATGATAATCACTCTCCTAACAGCTTTTTTTTTTTTTTTTTTGAATGATTAACAACATTCTCCTAAATAAGGCCGGAGATTTCTATAACTATGATACTCACTCAAAAGTCAAAAAATTAATAATTTTCCTTTTTTAATGGAAATAAAGACTTAATTTCGTTTCAAAAAAATTTAAATTTGGTTGTTTTCATACTTGTCTTTTCCAAAGAGTAAATTTGTTTTCATTGTCCATCATTTTAATGCTGTTTATAACAAAAATGAAAAATTAAAAAGTAAATATATTAATTACAAAAGCATTCCGAGCAAGTAAATATCTGTCCTTATTTATTTATTTTTTTTGGAAAGAAATTAAGACGATGGATTTCTTTGACTTAAAGCATTCCGAGCAAGCAAATCTATTACAGAAGTTCCTCGACCTCATTTTGTCGTAGTATAAAACGTGATGAGAAATTTTATAATATACAAAAAATAATTAATGACATATATAATAGTTACTTTATGGATCAATTTTGAAAAAAATATAAACATATTAAATTACATCTAGACATAACAAAAATGATAAAAAAAATTTCACATTCGCTAATTTTTTTTAATTTTCTTTTTCTTTTTTTATGTCTATCTCTCTCCTCAAAGTGGATCCATAGAGTAATTACTATATATGCAACTAGTTATATCGAGACATACCAAAAAAATAGACACATTAAATTATATCCCGACGTATCAAAAGTAATAAGAAAATTTTTCTCGTTCGCTAATTTTTTTTTTAATTTTCTCTCTTTTTTTGTGTTTATCTCTCACCTTAAAATGAATCTATGAAGTAATCATTATATATGTTACTAGTTACTTCTTGTGTATTATAAAATTTCTCAAATTGGATAGCTAGCACATCACCTAGCCGTTCTATCAAACGAAAATTTCTTGTTGGGGGCGTAATTTTGTTGTAAATTTTGAAGGTTAAGCAAAAGGCAAGACAATGGCTTCTCGAAAGCTTCAGTGCTTGGTGTCTCTCCTTGCAGTCTTGCTTGTTTTCCATGGTCAATCAATGGAAACAAATGGAGAACCGAGTCACTGTGATTTTCCTAGCGCTTCAGCAACATGCTAAAGCAACTCGGACTGTGTAAGCAAATGCAAACTCTTCCATTACTCTCCAACAGGTGCCTTATGCGTCTTTCCAATGCCTCCGCGTACAACTCAGACAGGTCTTTGTTGCTGCCTTAAAACTTCCTCTGTGTAACTATGGATCAACGTTGATTCTTGATATATCATCGAATAAATTTGCTCAAGAAAGAGTTGGTTTTCTTGCTAGGCTATAAATAAATCTGGAATATCCAATAACAAAATTGGGCAATCTTTGTTCTTCACCAATCAATGGGATCAATGTTCAATTTGGGTGCCCAAAATTCCTAAATGCGCACTTGATTGACTCCTCGCAATATTCTCTGATATTTTGTTTCCTATACGTTAAATTTGTTGAGCTAGTTGAATATTGACCTTAAAGAGATCCTTTGACAGTGAAGATAGCTAGCCAGCTAGGATGCTACGATCTGATATTTTGTTTAGATTCCACGTAACAGCACAAAAGAGAAGCCATTTGGGTCTTCTTTTGACCAGTGTCAACCTAAATTTTATACAAATAAAAGTTGAAGCCATGAGACGAACCGGGCTTATTACTATTATTGTAATAGAAGATACTTTTTTTTTATTTGTATTGAAATATTTTATTTTCTTTACCACATTCTCCTATATACTTAGATTAAATCCGCTTCTTCAAATTGATAAATTACAAACTATTCATATTAGAATTAAAAAAATATGAAAATCTATTTTTTCATAATTTATGAGATGGAGAAAGCGTACTTAAAAATTGTATGTGCAAAACAAAATTCAGCAAAGCCTCCATCCGGATTTTATTTTTTCAGGATATCTCCTCCAAGGTAATGCTTCATCACAAAAGAGATAAAAATAAAAAGGAGGTCCTCGATCGGCATCCATTCTTTTTTCAAACTTTAAAGTGAAAATTTCACCTTATAAATTTTCAAGATCTGCTTTGAAAAAAAACGTCTGCACCAAATCTTTTTCGTAAAATTGAAACTTGGTATTTGGGAAAAGTTGAAATATATGTCCCACGATACACCTTTACCTTTGACCTCAATTTAAACATAATAATTAGGAAGTAATTAGCTTCTCGTCTCTCTTCCATGCTGTAACGTGGTTAATTTACTGTCAAGCCAGCCCTATCCTGGGAGAGCATGTTGAAAAACTGGTGATTCAATTTGTGAGATATTTCAAGCTATGCACTTGCGTGTTGCTGCAGAGTAGTTAATAACTAATGTTTGGCAATAACGTAGCAGTTAAAGTTCAGCACATGAATCATTAAATAAGTAAAAATACAATATTATTTTGTGTCTGCTTGTGTAGAAATAGATTTTTCAGCAGATCGAATTCCATTCGAATCATAATAGATTTGAATTCAATTTTAAATCTTATAAATTTGAATCAAATTTTGAAATTGTGAGTCCTGATCCTAATGACTCTAGATTTTCATCGAATTTATCACTATATTATTTATAAAAGATTTATATTTATTATATTTAATATATTATTTAGATATAAAAAATATTTCAATCACTACACGTATAATAAAATATATTAAGATAATATTTTATCTATTAATTTTGTAAAAAATTCAAAATACTATATAATTTAAAAGCATAAAATCAAATAATTATAATAAAAATTTATTTTGAACTAGATATGAAGTACGATAAAACTAAAAAATAATAATAATAGTAGTAAATAATCTTTATTTCTTGTCAAAGTGGTAGCAAAATGAATATTTGTTAATTTAAATTTCAAGATGATAGTTCTACGCAACAAGGCCTGCAAAGAAAGAAAGAAAGAAAAATAAATGTGAAAATATTATTATATCTTTTTAACAAATTACTTCACAAAAATTTATTATGTCACTTTACTAATATTAATAATATCACGTAACTAAATAGTACTATTATTGCATTATATTTTTTTAAAATTCAATTTTTGTTGATTTCTTAATAATACAAAATTTTTAGTACCTCAAATTCTAACCTTTGACTATTTGTTTCTATATCTTCTCTTAATAAGTGAAATGACAAAAAAAAAAAAAAAATTAAATAATATAATTTAGAAATTTAAGTGCTGTAAAAAAATTCGAGCAAGACACTTTATTTTTTACCTCTACTATCTCAATTGGTCTGAACTATACTTTTATGTTTAACATTAAAAATACTAAAATGGGATCCAATTCATAAAAAACTGATTTCATGTGTTGTGATTCTTACCATCAAATATGTGTGTGTGTGTGTATCAATTTATAATTTGTTTTTTTTTCAACAAGTTAAATTAAGAAAATGACAAAAAATTGATATGTGATTTTATTGAAATACAATGTCCATTGTGAAAAGTTATGCATTATTTGAACTTCAAAGTAAATAAACTAAATTTCAAACTAATTTCATATAAAAAGAATATGATCCAATCTCATACCTATTTGAATCTAGCGAGTAATAGCGGAGCTCGAGAATTAATATGTATTCGAATCATAAGAACTAGTAATCGTCGATACGCTTATATCAACGACGTTATTATTGCTTGTGATCAAGGATCCAGAGAGTCATTGAAGTCTCATTCGTATTATTATGGATTTATTTCGGACGAGCCGAGCTAATAGGAAGAACTAAACGAATTCTGCATCATGAACTTTGTACTGCACACATCCCTTGGATGAGCCATATAAAGTCAATAAAGAAATAGAATATGAAAGAAAAAACAAAGAAATCAAAGGAGATCGGATTCTATTTGTACTATATTTGAGATGAATTTTGTGTATTACCACCCTTCAACTTCTCTATACTAGACTTTTCTTTTAAGTCTTTTACCCAATTAATTTACCCTTCCGAATGTATATGAAGGATTCATTTTTTGACCGAGAGGACACGCAATATGGACAAATAAAAAAAGAGAGGAAAGATAAAACATAATCGAATTTTTTTCCTTTTACATACCCTTAATACTTTCTATTTATATTATACATTATATTATATACGTTTTACTCATCTAAAAATCTTAAAAGGCTATATCATCTATATCAATTAATTTGATTAAGTTCTTAGTTATGTTTAGAAAGATAGAAATAAAATGACAACAATTTTAGGTATTCACTTAATCTTGCTAGGCATAAGTGCTTTTCTTCTAGTATTCAAAGCTCTTTATTTTGGGGGCGTATATGATACCCGATCTCCCCAGGGGAGGGGGATGTAAGGAAAATTACCAACTTGACCCTTAGCTCAAGTGTTATTTTTGGTAAAATCAAGTCCACTTGCATAAACATTCACAAGCTGCTCTACGAGTAATTCTTAGTGGATAACCCCAATTTAGGTTTAATAGTACGAGTTCAATAGGGGGTGATCATACTTGTTTAATTTATCTCTCTCAACTTGGATGTTGTGAGGTGGGCCTTGAAAAGTTTTAATATAATTTATATATTAAATATTTTAAAATATTATTTTTAATTTTGATTCGAATTATTATTGGATTAGATTAAGATATATTCAGATTTGATCCACTTAATAAATAAGTTAATGAATTTGGCTCATAATTGGACTCGAATAATAACAACAACAATAATAAAAAAACCTTATCTATCATATTTATTACATTGGATTTGAGTTAAGATCCGATCAGCTCGTATGGAAGCATGTCAATTGCCGGATGTATTTCTTTCTTTATTTATTTTTTGTTTTTTAATTTTTGTAGTTGTTAAGGTATTAGCATGTTAATTTTTTAAAACTAAATCCTTTTCTTTTTCTTATTTTGGGTAAGTTATCTAGACCAAAATTCACTCTGAAAATTTTCTCTCTACCCTTTTCTTAGTGTTCAAATATGAAATAATAATAATACGAAAAACCAAACTATTTATTACATAATTAACATCTCACTCGATGAATATTATTAAATTCAAAAAATAAACGTTGAATGTTATTCAAATCACTACAACTTGTTACAACTTCTTGTTGCAGTCACAGAATGTTTGAATGAATTCAAACAAATTATAAATGGTGGAGTTGACTCTCTGTAATATTCATATGCAACGTTTACTCACGGGAAAAAAATATATTTAATTTGTAGACTATATTAACTTTTCGTTTTATGTCGCTTTTAGTCTTTTCTCTTCTCCAATCGAAAAACTACATATACAACGATGAAATATTCTTCCCATCCTAGAGAGATAAAAGTTGATTATTTTTTCTATTTTTATTTATTTTAAAATATTTGTTTAGTCAAACTTTAAATAGTATATTTTTAAAAAATATTTTAATTAAAATTTATTTTATAAAAGGTTGTCCAAATATAATTCTAAAAAAATATATTTTAGAATAGCATAAACAAAAAATATTCACATGATATAATAATTAATAATTTTTTAATCTTAATCTCTCTGTAAAATAAAAAAAGACAATCTATTTGAGACATAAAAGGTAATAGTCTCGACTCTATTCTAACCTATCAAAATCAAATTCACTTCCCTTTTAATTTTAAATATCAAAAAAGATATTTATATTGAAGTTATAAAATCTATTAAAATCTTATCTTTTATTGTTTTAACCTCGTATTTATACTGAAGTAAATATATGTATTCACAACTAACTCCTCCCATTAGATTCAATTCCATGAAAATAATTTGGCTGGTCTGTGATTCTTTTTTTATTATATATAAAAGTTGATTTAAGATTCTTGAAAATAATAATAATGATGTATCATTTTTTGGTTTTAACTGTTAAAGTATTTTAAGTCAAGGTTTCATAAATTAATATTGAGTTCTTCCCATATTAAATTTCACATTATATCGGAAATGATAAAATAAGGGAGGAAAAGTACCCTTACTTGTCACTGGATACTTTTTTTTTTCAAGTACGAATATAGTTTAAAAATATATAAAAAAAAATTCGATTTTTTTCGACAGTGCAACAGGAGTAATAATCACAACAAAATTTA